TCGATTTCCGCACAATATTATAATTTGAATTTATAAGTAGGATTTTATTCTTCTAACAGTTGTTTAGTACCACAAATACAAGCTCAGATTAATTTGGGACTAGATCATTATCAGTTTTCTTCGTTTATTATTGTGTGCAAGGTAGTGACACTAGACTCTAAATGTGATACTAATTCCACCTATCGAATATAATTATCTGCTACGTAGCAGTCAAAGTACATACTTTGACTGCATATGGTAGGCATAATGCTTCGTATCATGTATTCAGTAGCTATACTATTATTAATAAAGATATAATTAATATAGATGATATGTCCTATCAAAGTCTGACATCTTTTCGTAACAAATTTATCTGAATAGGTATAAATCAGAATAGACGTTGAATAAATTAAAAAATATAGATATATTAAATTGTTTGCTGGATATAATTGAATGTGAATAAAATTAACAGTTTCCATTGCATGTTAACCTTTGACTTTCAATTAGGCACTGTAGCGTCTAATTATAAACTCTCGACACAGAGTTGCGAGACAAAACTTATGCCAAAAACGTATGGAGGGTTGGAAAAGAGGGTTATTGATTTATTTTAGCACATAGTAGTTTATTATCAATAAATAGATTAATTTTATAACATCAAAGCAATTAGTGAGACGCTTAGTATTGACATAGATTGTGACTGTCGGCCGATTGGTGAGATATGGCAAATATAAGGTTTCGTTCAAGGCTATGGAATCTTACAAGTAGGCTATTAAGAGTTACTAAGAAATCTGTTTTGACAAAAATGACAAAGACTAAAACAAAAACCAATAAATTCTACAAATTATTTAGATTTTGTCTAATTACTACTACGTTTTTAACTACTTTATAATTCCGAAAGTTACACGTATCTGAAAGTGGACTTTGTCCGCCCGTACATCTGTTTGTTTCAGCGTTATATTTCAGAACTTACTAATGTTGTTGATTTGGAATAGTTCCAGCGAGTTTGGATCAACAATATATAATAATGTAATATAGGTACTTGATTAGATCTTGCTTGATATTAAAAAATATTTTTTTTCTTTTTGCAAGAGGGTCTAAAATTGGTGCATGTAATTCAAAGTAAGCCTTATAATGCATGATGAACGGAGTTCGCTTTAGACTTAGGATGTCAAATTTAAATAATTCTTCAGTATCGTCGTACTCAATCGAAAGTTTGCTAGATTAAAAAACTGTAATTGCATTTGATAAAGAAAGTGTTTTGTAGAAATCATCCAGAACCGATTCTAAGATAACGTTTATTATATAATAACGTTAATATTTATATTGTTGGTGATATTAATGTCTAAGTACCTGTCTTTTTCATGAAGGTCACAAGGGTAATGTTAATAAATTACATGCGTCATACATGCCGTTGAATGAATTAATCTTCGTAAAATAATTAAGTCAGTTTTTGATCGATTTTGCTTATTTCAATTTCATATTTCAAATTTAGTTATAATCATCTTTATTAATGTAATTGTTGGAAATTATCATAATATAAAACAAATTATCCACGATTTATTTGATTGTTGAAATATAACTAATCTTTTAATATATATTGTGTAGGACTTATTGTCATCAACCATTAAATACGTGTATATATTTGGAGATATATTTTCTAGTGTTAATCTTTTTTTAATTGTAATATTCTTATTACCTGTTACTCATGATTTCCAATCTCGTACACCTGTAAGATGTGAAAAGCCAACGAACATCTCCACTCACGGAAGAGATATATTATTAAACTAAACGGCCAAGTATAGATTTTTTAGATGTACAGAATCACCTTGAAATACTGGTTTATTTTCGTTGAATACTTATTTACCGCGCTCGCTGCTAAGCGGTACAATCGTTGGTCAAAGGTTTTGGATTTAAACTGAGGCCGAATCAATCGAATTTATTTATAGCTGTATTAATGTTTTTAGAGTACCCTTAAGATATAATTTGGTGCTTTCTTTATGTATGAGATATCTTAAGGGTATATTTATTGATTAAATACATTATTTAATGAAGTAACAGTAGTTTTTAGTGAATAAATTCCGTTTTAATGTGACGGTTTCCTAATTTAGCATGTCTAATTAATGTCGGAGGAATTTTATTGTTATAATTTCTCTTCGGCCACATTTGTGTAACAGATTCTGTTGAAAATAGACACTGATACAGCTCAGCCGTGTAACTGAATTTAAAATATCTTATTCCTGTATAGAACCAAAGAATTATTGGGAACTTTTCTGTACAGAGACTTTGTAGATGTAATTGCTTAGTCTTTTTCTAGAAATGTACCGTGACATATCGATCTCCACGGGATCTCCCCTGAAGACCATCCACGGTTAATTCTTGGTGTTTTCGCCATGATAACGAGACCTGCTTCTTGGTCATTCTAACATTATCTATTGGTGCTCTGTCGGCGTATACCAATACCGCAGAAGGAGGTGCCACATTCCATTATCTATTATAAAAAATATAAATAAACATAATGTGAAAATCGTCAGTAAACACAATAGCAGTCGCACAAAGACATGCTGTAAAATTTATAAATGTTCGATACTATAACAAATAGAGATGCACTTTATATATTTATTTATAATATAAAGAAAAATGAAATACTAACACACTTAAATATATTAATAGTTTAAGGAATTTGGGAAAACAAATCTAAAGCGTGGTTCTTTTTAATTGGGTAGGTTTCGGCCTTTGTTCCATATTTAATCATTGACATTGAAATGAGAGCGCTTCGATTGTTGCTTAATTAAAACTTAACCTTGTGTCCAAGACTTAAGATTTATTTTAATTAGTACATAAATGAACCACAATCGTTATATTGGTATCCAGGCTGTGAAGCTAGACAAAGCTAATTAAATTATAAATTCGGGTTCAAAGGGTTAATGAAACTCGTAATAATTAACAAGTAGGAGCCACGCTAATTATTCGGTATGAACTATCATACTTCCCAAATATATTGTGTGCTACAAATGTATATTAAGGGGGTCTTCCTATGTGATGGGTTGAAAAAATCGATTTTTTTTTTTCATAAATTGCTCCCTTAACATGTCTAGAATACGGTAGTAAAGCGATTTTAGAAAATTCGAAGTCGTTTTAAAGATACAGCAGGTAAAAGAAAGAGTGGTTCGGAGCGGTGAGTTGGCAGTTAGAGACCGGGCCTATTGTGTACCGTCGGCTTTATACCTGGCCTCCCTTTTATTAATATATTTGTTTATACAAGTTTAGACACGTTTCTACAGACTTAAACAGAAAAGGAGCAGGTAAACTTACTGATAAAGTTATCCAAGAAATTACAAAATTCTACGGATTAGCAATTCGACGCCATCCAGATTCGCTTGAAGATATGAGAAAGGAAGTTTTGGGCAACGTACTATCACAAATGTTCTTCTGATGAAAACCCTCAGCATCAATTTTGTCCAGAAGGCGAAGACAGTTGGTGTAAATGGCGTAAGGCTGAAGCTAATAATGAACTGGACCAATTTCATCACGATAAACCACCTCTAATTCCGCAAGTCCAAGAAGCTATCAAACCGGTTTTCGAAGATTTATCGAAAGACGAATTATTAATTCGTTGTTTAGGAGCAGAGACACAAAACAATAACGAATCTTTGAATTCTTTGATTTGGACTTTCGCTCCTAAACATCTTCATTCTGGTCCCAAAGTTGTTGAAATTGCTAGCTACTTAGCAGTTATTAACTTTAATGAAGGTTTTCAAGGTATTTTAAAAGTTATGTCGATTATGGGATGCCCTGTTGGTCGTGAAGCCCAAGCGTATGTTGAGAAACGGGATGAAAAGCGAATCTTACGCTCTGAGCGGCGCGTAAGTGATGTCGTTAAACAAGCCAGGATTGACTCAAGAGCTGAACAATCTGCTTTAAAAGAGTTTCACGAGGAAGAGGAAGGAATACTCTATGGACCAGGCATCGCCGATTGAGAGTAAGTTGATATTTTAATAGTTTTTAACGGACTTGAAACTTTAAACGCGTTTTTCTCAAAACTGTGTTTTTCAAACTTTCCTCCATTGTATCTCAGAAACGGCTGGACCGAATTACTTGAAATTTACAGGGCACACTCAATATATGTAAACGCATGGAATGAACTATTATCAATCGAAAATTTTCAAAACTTCGATTTTTTTATAGCAAAAAAAAAAAAAAAAAAAAACGCCTAATTTGCAACTTTTATTTCAAATGTCTATCAAAAATCCAATTTTTTTTATATTCATTCATCATTTGATTATAGGTCATTCCGTGCTTTTAAGCCTACAAATTAAAACGCCGTTTTTTTTTTTTTTTTCAGATAAGCCGATCAGCCGGAATCGTGGAGGAAGTGGGAGCTCTTTTTTTCGAGGCGGGGGTGTTCAGAGCGCTGTAACTCTAGTTTGACTGAATATTTTTAGCTGAAATTTTATATTTATACTGTCCAAATATGTGTTAATAAATGATAAAAAACTTGAAGCTCTAAATATTTACTGGTCGTAGAAAAATAATCCTAAAATATCCCTAAAAAACAGGCCGTCACATAGGAAGACCCCCTTAATAGTATATTGTACTAATCAAAGATATCTCCAATTTAGGAAACAAAAATGTTTATATAATCCTTGAACCTTTGGATAACTGTATAACCGTAGGTCACTTCATATTTCATAGATACACTATGTGTGATCTGTGAAATTGTTAAATTTAAGCTGTATAAATTTTTCGTCTATGACTATTCATAATTTAGCCATCACCTATCAAATGGCTTTTCATAATTATGGTAAATAAATTGTTGAAATAAAAAATACGTCAACATTTATTTACAACCGCTGAAAACTGGTGCTTCACATTTAGTCCAAATTTAAATAGTTAAATTTGATCACGATTTTTGAGTTATCCTTAATAGTGTCATTGAAGTCGGCTATTGCGTGGTTTATGTACAAATACTATTACTACTAGTATGTTGATATTCACATGGTGCTATTTTTATTTGTGTACAGAAAGTATGTCCAACGGCATCGATTCTGCTAAGGGGGCTTAGCGCCGAACAGACCAATCTTAAGACTGTATTGCAAGAGAAAATCCCAAGGGAACAAGAGAGGATTCGGGAGTTCCGTAAAAATAATGGAAATACCAAGGTCGGAGAGGTCACCGTCGACATGGTGAGTGTGTATATAATAATTCCAAATAAATACTTCTTCCAATGTTGATTTACGGCAAAGAAATTGTTAACTAGAAGTGTACTTAATAGATTTTTTTTTCAAATGTAACACTATACACATTTTAAATATAGCAATATTACATGACATCGTAGTACTCTGGAACGGCAACGCATAACTGATATCACGGATGTCACATGTTAACGTGATGTCCGTAGTGTACATGTATATAGGCGACGCTTACCATCATGCTTACAATCATGTAAACTTAAAAACAAATATCTTTAAAGTAGCAAATAATTTTATATTTATAAAATAATACGTTAACATTTTAATGTGTCGTGATTTTGTAATGAATAGGGTTTAGCAACAAGAACTATTGCAGTAGAATGAATGATACAAACACGTTACTAGTTTTGTTATTTTTAATATTTTTAGGCCATGACCTTGAATTTTATGCTGTCGGTTGCTTCCAAAGTCTAGGTCAACGTCGTGTATGACGTTTACATGTTTCTAACGTTAGTAACGTCTACTTCTTCAATTTTGATAGTCACACATAAAAAAACATACCCTTAAAACATAGAATGTGTTGGTTAATAGATCGTAGGTTTTATGAAAATAGAATGATTTTTACTGTAGGCTGTCGCTTTCGTACCCTTGTAAATTTAAAATAAGAATACTTTATAACTTTTGGTCATGAAACGATTAAAATGAAATAAAATCGAGATTGGTGTGCACATACGCCTATGGAAAAATAAATGAATATGCAGATACGGCTTATTTGAGATTTTATTACTATTGGTATAGCAATTAAACAGAAATTAAACGATCTGCTTATGAAAAAAAATTAAGAAGTATCAAGGAAACTGTTTTATTTATTCGAGCAACTTTGTAGGTCATATAGTATATACCCTACAGATATACATGTAAAATAATAACAACTATAATTATTTCTTTTTCTTTCTTATTCTTGGATTTATCGTACTTGGCTAAAAGTACCGACTGCATGCAGTGCACATGCCGATCACATGTATATTCGAGAATAAAGAATGTCTGTAAACATTTACCATGTGTTATACATTATGGGGATCAATATCCAGGCATTTAATATGCTTGTATATATATATTACAGTAACACTAGCGAACTTGGTAGCCGTGCGCCCCTACCTGGAAAATAGCAATTGTACTTTAAAACCAAAATTTCGTCTCCATATATTTATGAATAGTTAGGTGACAAACACACGTACAGAAAAATTGTGAAAATGTATATTAGGATATTATTAAACGATACAATGCTTTAACTAACTTTATTGTTTAATATGGCAATGACATCATGGTAAATTAGTGACAGTTCTATTTTGTTTATACAAGTTTAACAAAAAAGGCTTCTAAAATTTACTTATGTTTGGCGACTTTTGTTTCATCGGAGTTACTTGTTAATGGAACTGTTTACCTGGTTTTAAAAGATTTCTCTTGCGTTAAGAAACTTTGCGTATCGTAGCATTTGAAAATATCGTAAATTTCTCTGATCCAAACATGACTATATTAGTAGATGCGTCTTTGACGTTTGTGCCAAAGCTGAGTGTTTATGATAAATTGGTATCGTTTGTTCTACAAATATTGTTACAAATATCGAAGTTGCGGTTTATAGAATTACGAATACTACAATTTAGTTATATTAATATTCTAAATTGCTAGAAGTTAAAATAATAATATTAATAATAACATTGCGTTACGAACATTTATTGTGCGTCTAAATTATTTAAATTCTCTATTATTAGATGTACGGCGGTATGCGAGGCATCAAAGGTTTAGTTTGGGAAACCTCAGTGTTAGATCCGGACGAAGGTATCCGGTTCCGTGGACTTTCCATTCCTGAATGCCAGGAACAACTGCCGAAAGCGAAAGGAGGAGAGGAACCCCTTCCCGAGGGTCTGTTCTGGCTTCTTGTTACCGGCGACATACCCACCGAAGCGCAAGTTAAAGCTATTTCTAAAGAATGGGCTCAAAGGTAAGCTAATATTCACAAATAATATGTATTTATTTTTAAAAATAATAGAAGTACATTAACGTATCTAGTCACCATAGACGACACAGAATTTCGTTTTCATTTTGAATTGAAATCTATAAATTTATCTGCGTGTTGTCTGTGACCCGAAGTCACTATAAAAATATTCGATCACGTGCTCGTAAAAAATTTTTAAACAAAGTATACTGATAATTGTACTACTAATTCAATTATGATTTAGTGTTTTATCGTTGTCGTATTATTTAAGTCGTGAGCACGTACTGACAGGGCGTTATCTGACCCCAGTACATAACGTCATATCAAGTTACATTAATGTGATCAGCTAAAAAGCACCTTTGAATGTCAATTGATATATGTAATAATGTACCTAATTAGTGGCTGAAGTTCGACTTTACTTAGTTACATAAGTATTGAAATGAGAATATACATTGTTTTCTTGATTTTATGGCATTTGTAATTTATGGTGCAATTGATAATGCAGAATTATAAGATATATTAATTCATCGAGAGCTTTACCTACACTTTACAGTGGAAAATAACCGTGTGAAGATAAGGTGACATAGTTGTCGCACATATGTAGATAACATTGTATTGTTTTAGAATTGCAACACTTTGTTTCTAAATAATTGAAATATTGGTTAAAGGTCTTAATTTATAATTAGTCTAATCTAAATGTGTATGTGGCAGTGTGCTACATTCAACGGCATTAGTTCAGTCGACTATTATATCTTGAATTAGAAAATAACATCATTTGACAAAATTGAAAAATATACCATTCTACCTGTTATTATTGCAACATTTAAACTTAGGTATTTTAGTACTTGGTAGTCTAAACATTGATATATGTTTAGACTACCAAGTACTAAAATACCTTAATAATTGAGAAGAAAATTTTGACCGGTAGCTCTTGTTCTTGGTCTTCTTTGCTTACGATTACTTTCTCTTTTAGTATTAATTTTGTTCTTTTTGTTAAAAAATAACCCTTTTTCTTTTATATTTCGGTATACTACTTCGGTGGCAAACAAGCATAAGACCCATCTATATATATGGCGCATATGATGGTTACCGTATTCTACGCCTGAGATACCAGGGATGTAATATGCATGTTGCACACTTAAGAAACCTTAATAACTCTTGAAAAACTTGAAAAACCCCATGCTGTAGTATTGTAGAAAAACCTCTGCAGGTAGTTCATTCCCCAACCAAACCAACAAATAAATACCTCAAGATATTGTACATACATGCATTAATGTGATGCAATTGGTTATTCAGGGCTGAGTTACCAGCGCACGTAGTAACCATGCTGAACAACATGCCGAGCAAATTGCACCCCATGTCTCAATTCTCGGCTGCTGTCACCGCACTCAACAGTGAGTCGAAATTCGCACAGGCCTATTCCGAAGGTGTTCACAAATCCAAATATTGGGAGGTAAGTGTGTACAAAAGCTTTTCAATCAATCGAAATATATTTAATCTTGTATATCTATTACATAGAGTAAGTGAACTCTACCGTCAGTTTGGTATATAGTTTGGGCCAAGAATTACTGACATGAAACTGTTTTTCTTAAATGAAGAGAATTGAGGGAACTCACTATTATATTAACAAATATTAATTAGTACATTTTCTTTACTGATACGGTCTTGTATATAGAAGGAATTATGATGAATATGGAAGGTTTTAAGTATAAAAACTATTTTCGCCTTCTATATTAAATTAAAGTACGTTATGTTGTTAATCGATTAATTAATTAAACCAGTCTTTTATTTTATTTCAACGGATGCTAAGAAAACGATTTGGATGGTTGACCCAATAATATGCATGATTCACTTCGATCGATACATCGATCGAATAAAAATAACTCGACGCTGCAAACTGTGGTTGACGTACTGGTTAATTATTATAAAATTTATTACACTACATGTAACTGTGTTGGTTTTCTTATTGTCCTTTCTTAATGAAATTAAACTAAACGTATTATAAAATAAATTAAAGGATGTATTGCGTAACAAATTATAAACACGCGTTTAAATATTTTTACTGATGAAATAAAAATTTTAAGTTTACTTCTATAGATTTCGCATTTGTTTGTATGTAGGAGAAAATGTCAAAACTACTGAGAGGTTTTTCATGTGTTTTTGATACACCAACAGAGTAATTTATGAAAAATATTTTCGCGATACCGGATGGCATTTAAAACTTAAAAAGAAGGCAATTTCCTAGTCTATAACGATCTTTCGTACTTATCAATCGCTGTGGTAGTAATTTTTATTTATTTCTTCTTCATCAGTACGTTTACGAAGATTCAATGAACCTGATCGCTAAACTGCCAGTAATCGCAGCCACTATCTACCGCAATACTTACCGCGATGGCAAAGGAATCGGTGCGATCGACGATAACAAGGATTGGTCTGCGAACTACTGCACAATGCTGGGCTTTGACGATCCTCAGTTCACCGAACTCATGCGCCTCTATCTCACGATTCACAGGTATTTATTATGCTCTTTCAGTGGTCACAATTGTTTCATGCACTATAATTCATTCTATTGTAACTACTCAATACATAATGTATATTTGAACCCAGTTCATGTTTGCAGTCTCGTGAATATCCGAAGTCCTGAAATATTGTAAAATATACGACTAAACTTTGAAGGTTTCATTGTTCTATTCACTTTGATTCGGATTTTAGAGATCATATGATAGAAAATTATCGTGTATATTAAGTCAGAATGAAACTGGTTTCTTGCAACAGTCATAGATCACATGGTACTTGAATATGCAACCATTTAAGAAGTACTTTTTTTTTCAATAATGTTACTTAGTGTACTGCCTTGAATTTACTTTGTCGTGGCATTTGTATTGTGATGTTGTGTAGCAATTAGTCATCTTGCATATATTTTTTTATTTGCAATGCGTAGTATACACATAGCGAATGATATTTATGTACATTGTGAGAATGCAGAATAGGCAGTATGCGAATTTTGCATGTGATTGCCTTATCTTTTAGCATATACATCATTTGCACAATTGATCATACATCTGGTGTCAAGCGTATCAAGTGAATGTCAATAGATATTGTGGTCGAGAGCTACTTTAACTCGGCAGACATAACATCCGCTTATGTGCATATCACAAAGGCAGTTTACAACATTTTACATACCACTTTACATTCATATAGTTAACATTGAAAGGGTACTTTTACAATTGTTGTCCATTGCTGTGAATTGTGCATTGATAAATAGATGAACGACTTATATCTTCAGCACACACATAATAGCATTAATCTCTGTTTCGCGAAAATTATAAATTTAGCTAATATTATTTGTTTTAAAAGAAATAAATAGGTATTACAGTAATTGAGATATAAATTGCAATAAATAAACTGCATACAGTTAACTTTTTGTTTAAATGTTCGCTTACGTGTATTTAGGAGTACATAGATCGCTTTTTATCTCAATTAATTAAGATTCGCAGACACAACAAGAAATGTACAATAAATAAATTTATTTCATTTTTGACTGTCTTAATGCGTCTTACTCTGTTCTTATTACATATTAATTAATTTTATACAACAGTGTACTACAATGTTAAGTTTTGATCAGTTTGGAAGTTATTATTATTTGAAGTTAATCTTATTTGTAGAACTGTATTAGGAAAGATGTCGATTCAAAATAATAAGCACTCATTGATATTGTGGTACCAATTATTCACAAGAACCTTGAGTCTGGACCCGACTACCTTATTCAATATCGATTTCTTTAATATATACCTTACATTATTTTGTATATATAATTTACAAAAGAAATATATCCACGCCCGTTTTTTACAGAAGTCAAGGCATTAAATTTATAGGTTGTTTTCTATTTAACCACTTAAGAATATGGTACAACGATATTTTATCACCAGTAACGGGAATATAGTTGTACTTTGTAATAGTTTATTTACTAATAACAACCGAGCCTTAAAACAGTAGTTGTAGGTACTTGTTCTTGTTCCATTGAATATGATAACAACTGAAATTTCATACAATCCTATATGAAAAGTGGTTTTGATTACTACAAAACAATGTATCTTTCAATGTTAAATTAAATAGCTGAATTTATGTGGTTATGAATAATGTAGTGAATTTTAAAAGCTTTATATGTTGTCAATAGTAATAATCATTAGTTTATAATATCGTATCAATTCATGTAACATGTAAGCTAATAAACTACAGCATTGAGTGAGACGCTTGACCGGAGAAAAATGTATCACTAAAAATAGATGTTTCCATTTGGCACATTGCACTTTGTATCTCATCTGCATGCGTATTGCTCGCGACTTCATATGCTTGTGTGTGTTGTTTACGAAATGTGTAGCATATAATAATTTCTTTTAATTGTACTCGTTAACATATAGCTTTCCCATAAATCATGTTACATACTGTAATCAGGGCTATCCTTTATCACAAGTTTGAGACCCTTTAGCCTTAAACTTGTGATAAAGCGTAAATGTTTATACGACTGGAATGCCGGCAAACAAGCTGAACGCCACTTAAAAGTGGTCTATATATAGGAACAGCCTATGAATATAATAAAATATATGTGTCGTCCGTATTTATGTAACTGGAATGGGAAACAGGCTGACCCACCCACTAATGTAAGGCCACCATCACTTTGTTACGTGTGATAACCGAGACACCACTCATGCGTTGCCTTTTCGGAGGATTATGATGCCTTATATTCTCTTATTCTGTAATTTCAAATGTGGAACCTCATGTTCTCTTCTCGAAGAGTAACGTTTCTGTACCTTATTGTAATTGACGTATTTCACCTCAATTTACGCAGCAAAAGGTGTCGACGGAAATAGTTTTTTTTTATAGATATAAAGTCAGAGGTAATAGTAACTTTGTTCAAAGTGTCTGATAATAATTAGATTTCTTAACAGACTATATAACAGAACAGTTAGGCTTGAACTGATATTTAATTAAAAAAATCTAGTTTTATTATCACTCAGATAGTATCAGTGATAAGTGTAAGTATCAAGAGTAGAAAATATACGTAAAGTCTTTAATAAATATAAGAATATAAATATACATGGACTTGTTACTGTGTACTTGTAATCTAAATGACAGCAACTAAATCTTGATATACGATCTATTTTCAGATATACTGTTAACTTGATGAATGTATTTGATAAGTTTAGTTTTATGTCATTTTACTTTACATGATAACGAAACTTATCCACGAATGTTATATAATATCAATTTACAGTATTGTAATAAGATATTATATTGAATGTAAGCATGTATATATATATGTTTTTGCAACTTTTCGTTTAGTAAATATATTTAAAATGCGCTCGCGGCAATACTTTGACAAACTTATTGTAAGTTATAGTAAATAAAACGTAATTTTTATGTAACATTTTAAGGATGATATGAATGGAGGGTCTTATACGCAGCTTCTGACGAATTCTATTAGATTTGCTTTGTATTATGTAACCTAGGTACGAAAATATATTATCGTTGATGCCTTTAATGCAAAAGATCTCAATTCACATATTATATATGTATGAAATTTTACAAAAAGTTGTGTAAAGCATATTGGTAGAGTAAGTTTCATGCTTTACACGTTAGGCATCAATCAGCACAATACACCATGCGGTGAATATTCGCAGATCCACATAAAATTACTTGTTTATATTTATATGTTGAAAACCCGAAAGAGTAAATCGGTGTGTTTAGAGCTTACAGCTCTAAATGGTTTTTAAATAACAATTGTTATAAAAATACTATCTGTATTTTGTTTAGTGACCACGAGGGCGGCAACGTTTCTGCTCACACGACACATTTGGTGGGTTCCGCCCTCAGCGATCCCTACCTCTCCTTTGCCGCAGGATTAAATGGCCTCGCAGGGCCTCTGCACGGGCTTGCCAACCAGGAAGTAAGTATACTTATTTAATATGCACATTATGACTAAATTTAATCTAAACAATAATATTCATATTAGACGAACCGAACAAAAAAAAAACTATGGTCTATGGACTACAAAAATCTATGGATGTCATCCATAGATTTTTGACCTGACTTGACTCGAAAGTTTTAATTTTTATAAATTCAATATATTTATTGAAATATCTTGTACCTACCAATCTACAACTACTAGTGCAAAAATCACTCATCAATAATTATTGATGAGTGATTTTTTCAATTTACAAACAAATTAGTAGTAAGGTAGGTAACCTTAGAATCTCGAAAATTCTATTAAAACATAACACTCACTTGATTTCACTCTTATAATAGGTACGAAAACTTCTTCATTCCGTTCATTAAAAAATGGATCTCTATTAAGTATTATTAAACGATACGGATATCTAACGGGCATTGATAATGACACACTATCAAAGTATTATAATTAATGTGAATATCCATTTCCTATAATAAAATTATCAACGGCAATTAGTAATTCATTATAGCTACAATTTTTCCGTAGTACTAATTATCAATTTTACTACGTAAATAATCCTCTTATGTAATATATATATATATATGTTATATAAGAGACTTATGTAATTAAAATCAGAATACAATATAATAAGAAGTGATAACTCACTTTTTTTCAGAATATTCGAATTTTTGCGTATTACCTTTTTTATCTCTCATACAATATTACAGAAATTAATTTATTGGTGTGGTAATATATGGTTATGTAATTGTTATATTAGACCATTAACCCACTAATTCAAATTAACACACTTTATCCACTTTTGTACCTACGTATTTAATTCGAGACCGTAATTTTCCGATTAATGTCACTGATCTAATTACAGTACGTATTTACTTAATGTACTTCAACGTTAATTTGGTTCATATTTACTTTATATTTAGGGCACACATGTTTGATTTTCACCTGCGATGTAGAACGTTCTGGAAGGTACTGAAATTCCTATAGAGGATTTTAATGAGACGTAAGTCTAATCACATTGTGCATCCACAATGTTGTTACCACACCAATGTGTGCAAACTTGATGCGTTGATGATGTTTTACGTTGGCTAGCCCGTGTTTTTTTAAATGTCATTTAAAAAAACACGTTATATTTTGTTTAAATGTGAATATAGTATGTTGCACCCACCTGCTCTAATGGTTTGCGCTGGCGGGGCCCCAGTGGAGGATGATAAGATGTATATAAGATCAGGTCAGTTAGCCCATCATAACAAATTTGCAGGGAATTTATCAGCAACAGTCCTCATTTACTAACAATCTCCTTCCCCCTGACTAGTTAGTATGAACGCGATGCAAGGATTATTATATTTATCACGAGGTAGGACGACTGTTTGGTCATCTGTATAAACAGCTTTTCAATATTATGAATGTTGACCATCTACGTATTAACATTTACTATCAGTAATATAGATTAAAACACAATTTTAGTGTGTCCGTTCGAAAGTAGGCCCAATGTGTATCAATTTAAAGAGAATTGTTTGTATAAGTAATTTATCGAAGCAATAGTGTGACTTGAATATCTTTTTTACGGTTATTAAATCAACTTAATCTATTGTTATTAAGTGTCTAGTACAATTTACGGATTCGATACATACAAAGAACAGTTGTATAATTATGAAAATCAAAGAATAGATAATGTATAAGGTGTATGAAATTATCAGTTCTTATAATGTAATATGCATATGCATTACTACACTACTGGAATTGTGAATCTAATTAGATATGCATAATAAATTACTTTAATTTAATTTATTATATGAGAAAAGAGTAGTATTATAGTAATATAATTTATTAATTGTTATTTATCTGTTATATTTATAGGTACTCGTCTGGTTGGAGAAGTTGCGTAAACAGGTCGGTGATAACTTCACGGAAGAACAGCTGAAGGAATTCATTTGGAAGACCTTGAAATCGGGCCAGGTCGTACCTGGATATGGACATGCTGTACTCAGAAAGACTGATCCCAGGTATATAAAATACAATAACTCCTCGAACTTAGAACGTAGAAATACATGATACGTAAAAAATATCAAATTCATCATCATATGAAGCTGTAATTCACAGAACATAAACACATTTTTTTAATTCAAGCAGTTTCATAACAAATATATTTGCAGTCATTGCTATTGTACATGAGTTTAACTTCACGTGAATATAAATAATAACTTTTGTACAGGTATACCTGCCAGCGAGAGTTTGCTCTAAAGCATTTGCCAAATGACCCGCTGTTCAAACTGGTCGCAGCTATATATAAAGTAGTGCCTCCGATCCTAACTGAGTTGGGCAAAGTGAAGAACCCGTGGCCAAATGTGGACTCCCACTCTGGTGTACTTTTACAGGTAAATGAATTCATGTATTATTATTTTACACATTATAAATATGTGTATGTACAAAGTATTTCGTTGTACAAAGTAACTGGACTAGAAAATTTGTTATAAAATATACTTAAAAATTTCCGAAATAATGATGACTTTTATTACAATAGAAAATTGAGGTGCTTTGTACACAATGCATAAGTTCATATATACAGAATATAGTATTAAAACTTTTATTTCCTATTTCGTGCTTGTACTGAATTACTCCTTTAGTATACATCAGTGGTTAGCATTCCTGCGAAATCAGGCTTACCATGACTATAGATATATATGATCTATAAAATACAGTGACATCCAATGATGGGAGGATGAGTTGGGTTATTAGTTCGTTAATTGCAGTGGTAAAATATATAGACCGTATGTATTAATATAATATTATCACTATTTATTGATGTTTGAAAATGTTTGTTTACAGTATTACGGACTGAAGGAAATGAACTACTACACGGTAATGTTCGGCGTGTCCCGGGCTCTCGGCGTGCTCGCCCAGCTGATCTGGTCCCGCGCTCTCGGCTTCCCCATCGAGCGGCCCAAGTCCCTCAGTACCGAGCTCCTAATTAAACAGGTTGGCAAGTAACCACCACGTAGCAACGATACATTAGGGTCCGTGTTTGGCGACGTGTAGTTTAAATCCTAGACTGATTTGACACAGTTCGATTCACACGATACACCACGATAGTCAATTGTATCTATAAACACTTAAAATATTATAAGCCTAATATTATAATATACTGAAATTAAATTTTATAAAATATTATACAACTTGAATGCTTTAGTAGTTGTAAGCGTAATAATGAATTTTTATTATGTTTAACTATTTAATATGATTATTGAGTATTATAAAAATAATTAAATTATGTACTTATTCACATGTGATAATATTATGTATATTTTGTAAATGTTGTACTATATTTAATTGGATTATAATCTTTTTTTTATGTAAATCATTATACAAATTGACTAATGTAGTGGTGTGTGTCAACTGCATCCATATTTTGTAACTTAAATAAACTAACGTGCAAATGAATTATTGGGTCAATAGTTCTTATTAATTCTAGAATATTACTATTATTGTATTTAGAGATTGTGGAATATAATACAGTATGCGGTGCATACTTAACTATGACGATGTAAAGAATTTGCATAAGACCCCATTATCCATAAATACGTTGGTTTATTTAACTGTATGAAAAAGAACAGTGTCTGTAACAATAAATAGACCCTATGTTAAGTGAGTGGTCTAGTAGTACTTAGAGAGGTGTGATTTGTCTTCTTTTTTAGGAAACAAATTACTATCCTACTTCGCTATACTTTCCTGAGCAGTTCTTCTCATTTCTGTTATTTATTTCTTTTAAATCATGATTTTAGCTGTACTGTAATGTAATTACTTGTTACCAAAGTATTTATATATTATGATGTATATAAAAATACAAAATCATTATTTTTAATTTATGAATGAGTTACTGTATTGATAGCCATATCATTTATAATTTCACCCTGCGCACATTTATTAAAAGGTCCAATTGAAAAAATTTAAATTTGTTAAAATAATAAAAAAGTTCTGTTGATATGGCTATGGTATTAGCATCATTAATATTAATTCACTTGTTGTCATTGATATTTATTAAAACATCTCATAGTAGTGTCGGTATGTATGAATTTGCTGTGGTGTGGACATTGATTTAACAAGTGATGGTGCCTCGTCTTCTATCGGCGCGATTCAATAATTCGACAATACTAAAATAAATTGGTATGGTGTATAATTTACTTTTATTACAAAATGTCCTTTATTAAACCGTAAACGTTGGCTTAGAGATACATTTTTAGAGATGTATCTTTAGGTTTTATATGTATCCGTCGCTTTATAACAAACGTCAACATCGCGGTATAAAAATAGATAAAAGGTGGTAAAAGTAAAAATTGTAGTAGAGTAGATTATCATAGTATATAGAGGTCGATATTGGCTTAAAACTCGTAAGTAGTTTAGCAGTAAATATGACATGGAAATTTACTCTTTTATTTTTATTGCAGAGAGAAGTAGACGCAGAAATGAATTCTATATTTGAAAGTGAAAAGAAGTAATAACAAACAGTTATGTTAATATATGTATAAATAAATAGTAAATATATTTTATTTTACGTTTAATTAATTGAAATTGTATAGGTGAATATTTAAAGGGAAGAACGGGTACTATGGTGATACCACAGAAAACTTATTTAGCACACGAAAAAATGTTGGACCAGTTATTTATTCGGTGATACAAAATTTTCAATTATTCTTTTTAATAGATTTTTTTAAAGTTACTTATATTTGGATTTAAATATGTTATGTGTCGCATGGACGGAGCGTTTCCATCGCAATAAGTGGCTAAAAGTAAAAAAAATGTAAGTTTATCTTCGTCCAACGTCCAATGGTCTAAGTTCATTACAATTATTTTAACGTATAACTTCGATAGCGGGCGTTAGTTTATGTCACTACTATAGATATGATAAAATCTATGACGTTATTTAATATGCTCACGTATCATATTGTTCTTATCATTACTATCGGCGTGGAGTCGCGACGGCGAAGCGTATCATGCAGCTTAAACGATTAGATTGTGACTTGTAAGAAATTATAGTTGATATATTAAGTATTTCCTCGAGTCATGTTTCCCTATTGTCAAGCAGTGGAGAAGAACAGTGGCTGAAGTCTAATGGTACAGTTTACGGTAAGCAATTCAACCATTAGGAAAGACTTTATTCGGTAGGTATATCTGCACTTCAAATCGTAACACGCAAAATGTTGGAATATTACAAGGTAAACACAATTGGTAAGTAAATTAACTAAAATTGGCTATAAAATTCAACTGTTTAAAAATGGATATTACACCGCGTCATATGTGAACCGTTAGTATAAAAATTAAAATTTATTTATCAATTTGATGATAATTACCAGTTGGTGTGAGGAACAACAACTTTTACAATATTTTTTAAGTAATTTGAATGGATGACGAGCTTTCAGCTCACTTCATGGTAAGTGGTAACCATCGCCTATACTCATGAACCTAGCACTACGGACATAGCGTTATCATGTGACGCCCGTAAACTACTCATGTTTCATTTAAGAGGGTTAAAATTTCATGCCTCTTATTCTGTAACTTTCACTGCCTCGTAGCTTCAGCTGTGGGGGAGATAATGCAGCTCAGAAAAGAAGCTGCTTGGAGGCTGAAATGAATGATGATGATATTCTGGTGAAAATATGCAAATTGTCCAATATAAAATATAATAATAAAGTATCATAATCAGCGAATCATAGATCCGTATTTGTACCTAAGATATGCTTTATGTTTATAGTTCTAGTATAATGGCGCCATAAAGGTTACAGTAATAAAACATTGTACTTACTGATTACAATTTTATTAATATACTGTACCTGCTATAAAGAATACTCTCTAATTACACAATAGATACTGTCAATATTACTGTCAAATAATCACACACTATGTTAATATAATAATTTCATAACCCTAAATGGAATGTTAATTGATTTAGTCATAAATTAATAACTACACTCATGTCCAATTCGTATAAAATAAACATCGTTCTGTTTTTCAAAGTATAATACATAATCTATTTTTGCTACATCTAATTGCCTAATAAGACGCCACAAAGTCCATGGTCTTCAGGTGGTTTGGACATTGGATTGCTACAGTTTAGTAACATTAAAATTTATTTGCCTCGATGTTTACATAACAATAATCCACTTTATAGTCAGGAAGTCTTAATACTTACTGACTATAAAGTGGATAGTTTTAGATACAAGGCAATGTTATATAAGTTAGTTACTAAATTCACTAATACTGCTTACTATTATTTCTTCTGACAATATTTAGCATATTTCGAAATCCATTGACAGTATTCAATTGATTGATTGCTTAGTTTTAAGCAGCATTTTAAGCTTTGACTAATATTTTTTAGCCCCTCGCCCAATCATAGTGAATTCTTCCGGAATTAACAACGATAGAACGAAAGTGGAACCGTGTGGACATCTACATATTACTAGCAATAGTATTTTAACATTTGTACGATTTAACTTGCCCACCACCATCTCCGTATATACTGGAACTGAATATTTTTTCTTAAGATGATTCGATGTTTTTCTATTATTAAGTATTATATATATATTATATAAGTATATTATTATTAATTGTGTATTAAGACTCACCTGAAGCAAATTTATTTATTTTTCCGTCGGTATTCTTTGTTTATATGCACCAGACTCTGAAGAAATCAGACCAGGTGCTTCAAAAATTTATTCATCAATGCCTTTTGTAACATGTTGTATTGGTATGAGTGGTTAGCTTTAGACAGTTTGCGTATAAGGCTTTCGGATCGGGAGAAATTATAGCGCGATTTAATTTGACCCCAACGCCATCTAGTATCTTTTTAACTACAGCTCTAGTCACAGTATGCTTTAGTAGGTACTATAGGATCAGAGGATTGGCATTCAGTGAAGAAATTTTGGTATATTTAATTAAACAATGCTGCCAAGACATTACTTATTGTATAAAACTAACATTAATGCCTTATATCAGGAAATGCAGATAATTTGGTAGCATCTTATATATTGCATCAGACACATTAGCACTGCTTTGGCACATTTTTTTAGTAAATGCGGAAATGAAGAGTAAAATTCTTTTGTGGAAACCGAGACATACAAAATAATATAAATAAGTAGTAGTCTAGCTTAAAAATTACATGTATTCTCTTTATTGGTTCCTGAATGTAAAATGCGCAAAGTATTATAGTCTATAGTATATAGTCTTTGTTGATCTATATTGTTAACCTACAAGTTTTTTCAGTCTTCTTTTTTATTCTTACTGAGTTTCACTTCTAGTTTAGTACAATCTTCCTTTTCTGTGGTTTCTATTATGTCAGTTTTGGTTAGTATTTCTGCCATTGAATATTCAGGTTCTATAGTAAAAGCATCCTTCTCAGAATTCTCATCTGTTTCGAATTCTAGTATTTCCCCGAAAGATATCGTTTTACTATTTGGCGGTACAATGGTATCGAGACTCTTTTCTATTGGTACTGTATTCGTAATTGTTTGGCTACACACTCGCCATTCATCAACCATAAGTAGGTGTTTGTTAAGATCCCAGCCTGAAAATAATATTGTATTATATATAATATAAGGTAATTTATTTAAAGTCATGGACACACGACTTATCCAAAACTAACAAGTATGGATTTTAAAATTCAGAGTGTGTATAATTTGTACCATAGACAGAAAGTACATTAGAAAATAACTATAATGGGTATGTTTACATGGTAAAATAATGTTTAAAAATACAAAATTTTACTGATTAAGACCGATAGGAATAAGAAGCTAAAATCACTTGGGGAATATGTGAATGACTAGAACCTTAATTCAGATTTTTCTATATTATTTGTGTGAAGAGTGAAATCTCGGATTTTGTAACGCTATTATTAATAATTCTATTCTTTTATGGATGATAATGACATGATTCACCTGCCTGCGCTAACAGTTCACGTTGGAGTGTTGTAGTCGTTCACCAGTGGAGTATGATAAGATTAATATAACGTCAGGACAGTTAGCCCATCGTGACAAATTCGCCAGGAATTTATAACAATAGTTTCCAGGAGGAACCGCATGGAGGTCGACCTAATGGTACATTGCTAGCAATGGGTTAATTACTAGTTCCCAGAACAATTCTCAATTGCAACAGATTATAATCGACAGGTTTGCATTTTCTATTAATCATTTGAGATTAGCAAATGGTATAGAACCACATAACTTACCTTAAGCTGTACGGTTCGCAATTGCAACTGACTAAAACTTTTTTATAGTTTACACAATTGTAGCACTAGATTTAATTTTGTTCAAATATGAATTATTAAATAAATCAACCCTGAACTAATATGGCGATAAAAAATTTGCTCGGGCACAAGTTGGGAACTGTGTTAGGAGCTATCATATTTTATTTACTATAATACTTTACAAATTCACATTTATTAATGATATAATTTATGGCCTCGGTAATTTAGCGGTTTAGCACACCGCTTTACTTTCGATGGTCGCGGGTACGATTCATCGCACGGTACAAACATTCATGAGTATGATTGTTTGTATCGGTCTATGTATAATATGTATATATTTACTAAAAAAAACACATACATATTTGTATCAGTTATCTAGTACCCATAACAAAAGCTTTAGCTAACTGAGGGCGCAAAAAGGGCGCTGTGTGAATTGTCGTAAGATTGTTATTATTATAATAATGGAGTATAGATTATGAAGGTGAAAACGCGAAAGGTTGAATATGTTTTATAAAGTAAAAAAAAATAATTTTCTGGATTAGATCTGTATTTAATGCTGAGGTCCCAAATTTAGATCAGAGGATTAGATTAATAGTGAAGGTGAAATGGTTATAAGCAATTAATTATAATCAGTTCTATGCTATACATATTTTACCAGTTTGTGCTAATCCTCTTCTTATTTTAAACCACTCCTTTTGTACTATCTTGTCTACATATACTATGAGCTCTTGCGTAGGCTCGTATTGGAATAGATTATAAGATTCGGAGACGTTCGTTGCTTCACGACTCCATTCCGCCGATTGCAAGGTGTGACATACTTGTGCGAATGGACGTGGTTCTACTGAATTGCAGTAAATAGGCTGAAAAAATATAAAATCATATATCGTGAATTACAAATATACACATGTGAGATATTTTTTTGTTTATTTATGATTACTATTTTTAACTTTAACAGTACCGGTTTAACAGAGTGGGACTGACTGAAAAATAATTTTCATTAACAAATATAAAAGCTTACCAAAGAATAATCGTTTATAGCGCATATGATTATGGACAGTAACGCAGCATGGAAATATGAACATAGTATGTCATCAGCCGTTGCTTCCTCCTTTAATAATACATGCATCTTTCGTTTACTTATATCTGGGAGCAGTAGGTACTGTTTATCATTATAAACATCAATGATTCTTCGCAAACGTGCGCTATTTGATTGTTCATTAATTATTTTTTTTATTGAATATCCTAGTTTAATTTGAAATCCACACAGCTTCAAGTCTGTAAATGTAAAGTAAGTATATGATACATTTTCATTGTTAAAAATTTAAATTGTGTATTGTTCCGTATTCCGAACCTCCTTTTTTATATATTAATTTATAAGGATTCGTAATCCAACATGTATATTTAAAATTATATACATCTAAAATAAATACCTAATAAATTTGGTCCCAATTGATAAAGTATTATTGGTTCAGCACGATTAATCTCGCAAGGGTTCGCAATGACTTCTTGTTTCAAATATATGTCGATTACTTGTAAAAATCTAGGCTCATTTAAAGTTCTCAAACATACAGCTCTCACGGCAAAGTAATTGAAGATTATGTGAAGTATCATCATTAAGATAAAAATGATGATGGAATTCCTGTAAAATAATACAGATATGACAATCAATATATAAAATATAAAAAATACTTCAGCAATGGCGTACAAAACGTACAAAGCATTAAACTAAATACTCAGCGATACAGTAATACTAATCTGAGGAACATGTTTATATAATTAATAACTTGTAATCACCCAAATAAACTAATGATGAAAAGCGCTGTTATGGAAGCGATTAAGTTGACAGCCGTCTCTTGTGCCGAATCTTTTGCAGATACATCAGCCATGTTACCTCTTAGGGCATGATGTTGAGTCATAGCCGCTCTTGTCGCCCCGCCTGTGTGATGGTACATCGGTAACGAAATGTTATATATAAATATTATTAGATTTATAGGTAGGTATAAAAATTAGGATCACAAGGCTATATTAATATGAATGTTAATAAGAAGTTAATAAGTGGATTGTAAGAACTAATGGAGGGAAACTATATATTTAGCCGGCAAATAACGCAATCATGATTATCATTACATAGTATAAAAAAAGTCGCTGTAGCTGTCTGTCCCCATGTATGCTTAAATCTTAACTACGCAAAGGGTTTTGGAGCGGTGTTTTTTAATAGATAGAGTGATTCAAGAGGAAGTTTTATACATATAATACATGTACACCTTTACGAAGCTGGGGCGAGTAGCTAGTAAAGTAAAAAACTAAAATTTTAATATTGACACAGAAATTAAATTGGTACTGTACATCATATTCAAAGCCATCTATGGCTAAGCTACATTTAAAAAAACCTTTGAAGATTACCATTAATGCCAATAATGATGTTCTAGATTTATTTAAATTATTATAAGTGTAAGATAAGTGGATAACGAATAGTATAGTAGAGAATTTTTTTTTAATTTTTGTTGTAAATATTGTCATTACATATATATAGATATAGTTTTACTTACCAGCAACGCCAACAATAGCTTTCATCACAGTGCTTACACACAAAGCGAATGTTGTATAGTTCCTGAACAATGGCAAGGCAATTTCAATACACATTGCTGCGTCGTTTAGTGTATCCGCATACAGTCTCCACTTTTTACTGTATGCGTCTAAATATGTCCTGAGGAATAAAAAATAATTATTGACAACAATATTATGAAGATTTCAATACCATATTATATCTCTATTCATACTAATATTATTAATTTAAAAGTGTGTTTCTCTATGTATTGCCTGTTCACGATAATACGGCTGAACGTAATTTAATAATAATGCCAAGTTAAGCAGAGTTTGTGGTATGGGTACTAATAATTGTGTTATGATATAAACATATAGATACGTTTTTTTTTACAAAAACATACATAATACACATAGAGAAAACACTCAGACAGATACAAATAATCATACTAATGAATACAAATGTTTGTACTGTGCAAGCAATCGAATCCGCTAGTGTCGGTATAAAGGCGGTATGCTAACACTCTAGACCACCGCAGCCGTCAAAAGTTTGTAGACGTAAAAAAAAAGACGTAAAAGTTTGTATGATATATAGTCTAGCTTCGTACCACATTTTAATAAAATTGAATACGAAGACTGTATCACGAGGACGAACGTAAGCTATACGGAGCTAGAACGTAATCTAACATAGATCACGTTCTAGCTCAAGAAATTAAATAAATATAATTAATAGTCAGATATATAGTTTATAGGTTCAAGTTTACAGCCTGTTTTATATAAATTTAATGTATACGCCAATATTTATTTTATATTTGGGTTCGGGATCGGTGCCTACAATGTAATCCATGTCGCCGTATGCATTTCTAAATTGTATATGTCATTATCATCCGTAATCGCATACTCATAGTCAGCTTTTAATTTTTTTTTTGGATTATAATGTAATGATGCCGCTAACGGTTTACGGAATACGCTAAAATGAATGAATGCCAGTGGAATATGCTAAAATGAGCATGAAGTCAGGTCAGTTAGGCCAGCTTGGCAAGTGGCAATGATGATTTCGAAGGGGAATCGCGTTGAGGTCAACCTGCCATGGTACATTGTAAGCAATGGGTTTATTAGACTCCAGAATACTAACAATCGCCTTCCCCACTATACAAGTAAAAGAGTATTAGCAAATTTGGTCATAACACTAAAAATCCTATTGCCATAAAGTTAGTTTAACTAGGGTCTAAAGTTAGTGTGTCTAGGGTTCATTCTCGGGAATTCCCGGGAAATTCATGGGTTTTGTTCCCGGGAAATCAAGCTCGAGAAAAGTCGAGAACTCGAGAAATCATGTACCGATATAGAAATTAAATTGCCCTTTGTTGCGTGGCGGCGCAATAATTTAAGATATTAACGTTTTTGTTTTCTTTTATGTTATTTTTTTATTTTGTAGAAACTATTTTTGTTTACATTGTTTTTTTTTTATCTAAATAAGTAGCCAAAAATGGTGCTATCATTATATATATAAGTTTGAATAATTAGGTACTAAAAAATTGAAATTGGCGTTTTGTAAGGGAATAACCTGCAGTATTTTTTTTTTCAAACTATATCAAAATAAATAATATATAAAATATATTTATTTAATCAAAGTATATACCATTTCTATTTATGCACTTTTGCCTTTTGTTTTTGCACTTTGGACTGCCCCATCGGAGTGCAATTTTTTCCCTTGCAAGAAGTTATTCAAATTTCTTGACGTTATTGGAACCAAATAATATGACAAAACGTACGTAAATGTAAATTTCTCGACAACCCGAGAAGACCCGAGAAATTGACCTCGAGAATTCTCGAGACCCGAGAAATTGAAAAGCTCGAGAAATCATGAACCCTAGTGTGATCGCAAAAGGCTTATTATTAATATTACACGAGAGGACTTTTTACATTTCGTTTAGTTCCGCAGATAAGTCACCACTAACAGTACCTACCTAAGTCGTTACGATTGAAGTAATTAATTATTATTATTATTAGTATAAAAATCAATTTATCGTAATTAGAAAATTTTGTGTAATATGGAGAAAATTAAATATATACTCCTACTCGCCGCTTCAATAACAATGCGTAATCTTTTCGTGACTTTCTGGACCTCTGTTGTGAAGACTAGGTTGGGGGTACTGGCTTAAATTATTATTGAGAACGAAGCTTGGGTTCATCATATAGTCAGTATAAGATGGAAGAGGAGAATGCTCACGCCGCTTCAATAACAAGGCGTGAAGTCTTTTCGCGATTTTCTAGACCTCTATCATGAAGACAAGGATGGATTATTGGCTTGAATTATTATTTAGAACAAAATTTGGGTTCATCATTATAAACCTGGTTCCAAACAGGACTCAAGGCAAAGACACAAAAGGCATACCATCGCCAATAAGTTTAACACCTTTTGGAATTAAGAAGGTATAAAGTTGATTATTTACAAAGATTACGATTTAATCCTGTACCGGTTAAAAGAAGCCAACAAAAAAAAAGAGGAAGATTTATAAAAGGTCTGCCTTCTGTACGACAACGCGACTATACACAAGTGCCGTATTGCAATGTGTGCCATGCAGAAAGTGGGCTTAGGAATTATGACGCGGCCACCCTACAGTCTTTGGAGTGATTATTGTCTATTCTCAAAAATGAAAAAAGACCTTATTGGGAAAAAATTAAATGAATAAAAAGTGACGGATGCTTTTTGGCGTTATGTTCATGTAACAAAATTCAACAGATTAGGTAGGTAAAAAAATAAATTAGGGTCGCAGATGAATATACCTATTCAAAATTTATACTTATACTACGAAAAGCAACTAATGTGATCAACTATGCTATATAGAAATTGTAAGCATATATGTATATAGATATAAAGTTATATATATACCAACCCATGGCTGAATGCAAACAAAATTCTTCCTAGATGTCCACACCCATCTTTTATTACCCATGTAACCGTAGCAGCCAAAGGTGTGGCGCTAGTATCTCCTACTCCCACACCACGAAGAACTTCTTGAGTGGCCAAAGTGCCTATAAGTTACAACAAACATCATAATATATAGGTTATTCTAACATGAATTGTCTTTATATTAGTAATGGAAACATTTGAGAATAAATCCAGACAGGAGGCCTAATTCAGACCTCATTTCATTTTATGTATGTGTATGATTTGAATCAATAGTAGTAAGGCAGAGTTGCTTTTCTGCTATTATATTGATCATCCCACAAAAATTTTGTTTGGATACAACAACAAACTGGCCTTGAGGTGAAATGTGTAATGTTAAAAAATAATCCAGCATGTGTGCCAAATGAAAACATGACTGTGTCCGCATCCAGTATTCCATCAGCCAAATGTCTATAGGATACCATGTAAATGAACAATATCACAGTAGTGGTATCTGGGTGTGGGTCTTAACATGAATAATTTTATGGCAAATAAAGGCATTTACCTCTCTCAATGTTTAAAAAAAATTGTGTTAAGACCTGGTTAATAATATAAATATTATATATTAAACAAGAAAGTTAAAAAATACCTATTGTCTCTATCTCTTTACAGTACTATATGTGCATCCACCTTCCACAATAACATATTTTATCTTTTTATTATTATATTTACAACTTACCTGTAATGGTACTGCAAAAAGCCTGAGCAGTGTCCCAAATTTGGTAGGATATGTAGTCTTTACTAACACTACCAGGATAGCCTTGTGGTAGAAATATTCTTGTGAACCAGTTAATGACATCACTTATTCTTTCATCATCCACTACTACTATATTATCTTGATCTGTAATAGACATTTATAAAAGATATATTTGAGGTTATTTATAAATTATATCATGTTATGAGGATCTTTTCTATCATTGTCCATAAGCTATATATTTGATAGACTATATTATTTTTTTCAGCAGAGTAACCCAATTGTACTTATCCTCTCCAATATACAGAGCTGTAAAGTAAAAGTTTTAATGTTGAAGATATATAATCTGCATAATTTTAATTCTAAAATTTCTTCTCTAAAACCCTTCATCTACATTTAGTATAGACCATTAAGTTTTTTATAGATGGAATAGTAGTATATGTTAGTGGCCCAATAATGAAATATGAAAGAAAGATAACATAGTAGTTTTCCGTGGTGAATTGACTAGGCACTATATTAGGGGGTATCACAGGTAGTTTCGAACTAAATAGAACATTACGGCCAAAATTTTAGCTACTAGTACCCAATAGTATCTGAGAATGCATTTGGCGCACACTCTGTGTTCCACATACATGATACTTAGAGAATATAATGATAATATTTTGCACTAAATATACGGCTGGTACCAGTGGAGTTGGAAGATGATAAAATGAGTGTGAAGTCGCTCTGTTGCCAATCAGGAAATCGCAGTGATGACTTGATAAACTTAGCCAAAACTAAATTGAACTATAGATTCATTTATGACTTGTACACAAACTTACCTGGCGGTTTTACATAGAATCGTTTATTGGATGTAGAGCCATATTTTTCTTTCAACAATATTTCTCCTTCATGTATAGTATACATAATAATTCGAGATAAACCTTCAACTTTCAATTTTATATGATAATTTTGGCATTAAAAGTAATATTTGGAGATCCTTTTGGTATGGTATAAAAACATTAACGAAGTTTTGAGTATAATTATAAGTTATAGGAACAATTAATAATTGTTGATTTCCATATTCTCTTTATAATCCTAATTAAAAATATTTTTATTTCAAACCCTATATGAAAAGTAAGTAATCTGTGCTGTAAGGCAGATACCACAGGGCAAAGAATATACTCAGGGTGTCACAAATCAAAGTAAAGCCATTGGCCCTCACTCTTTCTTATCTTAAGGAAAACTGTGACAATTTGTCATTCGAAAAGTCAAAACATTCTGCTATACGTTCCTATTTTTCTCTTTAAAAAAGTACTCTGTGATCTGATTCTGATTTCATTCAATGAATTTGTATTTACAAAATTTTTACTTATTTAAAAATAGAATTATATTATTTTAAAGGTAACAAAAAAACCAAAGAATAACAATATTTAGGACAAATCTATATGTAAAACAATATGTGAGGATATTTATGCGAAATGGATATGACACCGAATATAATCAAGGAAGATAGCAGCAATAATCTCAATGCAAAACTTGAAGAGGATCTTGACGATCTCCAAATTTCCACTATTAATAACAATGATATTAATGATGGCGTATTCGATAATCGAGTGAGTTCAAGGACTGACGATGTAGATAAGTTTTCTTCTATAGGAAAACGTTCGTATGCGCCTGTTTTTGGTAGTGTTGCAGTGTCTAATTCTGATAATGTTCAATTTGGTGACACTACTCATTTTCATGGTCCTGTAACTATCATCCATAACAACACTGGTGTCGAGAATGTGTCTTACACACACACAGAAGATGACAGTGAACCTAAACGAGAAACATATTCAACAACTACGAAATGTGACGAACCTCGTAAGTTTTTTATTGTTTGTTTTATTAAATTGTTTAAAGCTATTTTAATAAATGTCGGTTTAAAATTTTAAATTAATATATAATATAATATTGAAGTCAATTTATTTACTATACAATGTTTTAGTTGCAGTTTAAAATTGCACCTTTATTTAATGTAGACATTGCAGTAGTAAAAACATATTTCATACTGGTATGGTAAGTAATTTATAAGACAGAGAATTATGATTATACTCTTATAAAATCAATTAACAATTAGAATGCATTGTATTTACTACTGTTGATATCTACTATTTCATTATGCTTTAATGAGTTCTAATAGGACTTTTTCTTAAATCACTGAGTAATCAATTTTTATATAAGAATATAAATAATTGTAATTTATTTAATTGTCTATGATTTTGGGTACAAGATGTTTATATGGGTGGTGCTTCTAAAGCAAATGCTAGGTACTGTTTCGTTTATTATATTATATATTATCAATCCTTATATACTGCTTACAAAGTATATTCATCCTTACATGTTAATGAAGACATGGTTCTTACAAAATCTGCTTATATGACACAAATAGTTATTGAGTATTTTATCAAAATTATATATATATATATATATATATATATATATATGTATTTGTAACACTGATACAGAAAAAAAAGTATAAACTTTTTTTTCTGTATCAGTGTTTTGTAATCATAAATATCAATTTCAACCTCCTCAATTTGTAGTTTTGTAGTTCTATGATAATGGTAGGTATACTTTGAATAATGTAACAGAATAACTGTTTTACATTAATTTAATATGGTTAAAATGACTAAAGAAATTATAATTATTCACTCTATAATTGATGTAGTTTAAGGCTCCACTAACTTCATAATTAATCAGTTATAGTGGAATTTTAAAATGTCAGTTGCACAGTTTGCACACATCAATTTTAAGAATTGCTTACATGTTTGACACAGTAGTGAAGAAATAATGAGACACATTTAATTATCACATAAATAGCATTATATTGATGGCATTGGTGGTCTAGCGATATAGCATACTACTTTATTTCCGATGGCTGCGAGTTTGATTCCTGTCATGGTACAAAAAATTGTTTTCATGAGTATGATTGTTTATATCGGTCTGGGTGTTTTCTATGTATAATACATATGAATTTTAAAAAACAAATCTGTATACTTGTATGAGTTGACTAATAACCATAAAACAAGCTATAGCTAGTTTAAGGTGAAGTTCGCACTGTGTGAATTATCCTGAGATTGTAATTATTATTGTTAATGCTATGTCTATATGATATTTTTATATATGAGACTCGAATTATTAATATTTAAGTATTTTTATATGGTGACTACTTATTTATCATGACAGCAGGAGCACCTTGATATAACCTATATAATGTTACACCTATATAATGTATAAGTAAAGCTTTAGAGATATGTATTATAAAAGACTACAATAGCATCCTGTGCATCTGTGGTAGACCATCCTTTTAAAATACAAACTACTGTTTGTAAAGTAAGTCCTAACTCACATATACTGGTGCTGTATATTTGATTTTTTTTCACAGCTGTTAGAAAGTTTCAAATTCACTCCTGGGTAAAGGTAGTAATCTCCGCAGTATTTGTCATTCTAATTGCAGTTACATGTGCCTTAGCTCTCTTAATACCACGTAATAATAATAGTTCCAATGATACTATGACTGAAATGGAAGCTGAATTGGAAAGTAAGTTTAAACATTTTTTATTTATTACAGTTTATACATAATTATCTCTTTTGTAGCATAAATGTTATTTTATAAGTAGCTAATAGCTACTTAAAAATGATAATTTTATTTGCAATAGTTTTTGGATTTAGTACAATATTTTAATAAGGTGTTACATATGAACGTGGATGGTTATAAGGGCAGAGGAAGGCCGAAAAAGAGATGGAACGACCATGTGAAATATGATATGATAAGAAATAATGAGATGACTGCGAACAGGGATGAATGGAAGAGAAAAACATATTACGCCGACCACAAAAAATGGGATAAATATGAAGCAGATGATGATGAGTTTTAACATTTAGGTTTGTTATGTAAACTAAACGCAATCTAAAGGAGAAGAGCATCCTCCTCAGGAAATAAGAGTTAATATCCATGTTTGGTTTATACATAATAATTTAGTCTTCGTTAGCTGCTGTATATTTTCTACACATAGTATTTTATCTTAGTTATTTGACCTGAGATTATTGTTATTATTATTACCTCACATGGAATGCAACAAGCATAGTTAGCTTTATCACGGTAAAAATAGACGACATTTAGAAGATGTTTACGCAGACTACTTTGTACAAAGTGTTCCCTTATTCAAGACTCAGTAAGAATACTTCATGGTGTGTACTTCCTAAAAATAAATCATTATAGAACAGATTTCCTTGTTCAATACATAATGGTAATGAGTTTAAAAGGCTAATAATTGGCGCGGGAATCCATTCAGATTTCATTACTATTATTAACATCACCATTTTAACATGATCATTATCATTGTGCATGTAGGTACATGTAAAATTTTACTCATGCTATTACCCTTCATATTAAATTTGCTAAGCAGAATCCTTATAGCTTTAGAGTAAGGAATTAATAGAACAACTATATAAAAAAAATTGTATTTAATCAACAGAAGTACCCATTTTGCAGGCATTTATAATTGGATGACATATGCATGTGCTGTATTTAAGGTTTCATTTCCAATAATATTTACAACAAACATTTCAATGTGGGCAAATAATACAGTATTTAACTATCTATATCTAATTCATATCTAACGTGGTAAATCACATATTTTATGACTTTATTATTTCAGACTGCATCTCGGTGGTGGGAGTATATTATAACAACATACAACTGATTACGTTTACTATCATATCGGTACCCTTAATATTACTGTTATATTCATTACTAACACTTCGAGCCCGTGATATTGATAAGAAAAGAATATCCCATTCTAGGATTCATAGTACTACAGAATTTGAGACACGAATGATAAAAAATGTTAAAGAGGAAGGTATGCTAATATTGTGATATAACCTAAGTTGTTGACTCTATAATTATTATTAATTAACACTGCAATAATGATTGTTATTTTTGTAGGTGATAATTAAATTACATATATAGGATCACATCACATTGCTGGCAAGTGTATTAAAACTGTATATATTATTAATTAAAACTGATTTAATATTATATATGTGACATAGGTCTGTGGATGACCTATGTATGTACATATTTAATGTAATAATGTTTAATATTATTCAGCAATAATATTTATTAGAATGTCCAAATGAAATTATTTTGATATTTGATTGAAATACAAAATATTGTATATAAAAATTCATATATATCGATATTTCAGTACCTATGCTCTTAAGTTTCTTTTCGTATTCTCTATAAATACCCACGTATATAAATTTGTTCTAAAAAAAGGAATCGAATAATATATAATTTGTTTATAGTTTAAATTAGAATAACAAAGTCTAGTAATACAGTTTTGTTGTTAATTCCATTAGGAATGAAGTACATAATTACTATTCAATCGAATAATACCTACATTTCTTTGTGTGTGTTGTTCGTATTGTTATCAGAATATTTTATCACAGTATGTATGAATAACATGTCTAAGTCTGTATTACTAATTTTCAAAAATAATATTTTTCGAATAACATTATATGGTAGTAAATTATATTTCTATGAATACTGAAATTGCAATAAGTATTTGTAAAAGCTACTACTATTTACTATTACATGATAAGTTGCTTGCTAGAGATAGTTTTATATTATAAAGAATTATCAATGTGTTGTAATTGCTAGTTTACTTAGAATTAACACTTGATTTTCAGCGAATACTCTGCTGATAGCACCAAACCACTTGAGGATAGTTCCAAGGGCGGATTGGCTCGCTCAACCCGTAGAAAATGCGCTTGATAAGATACGTCAACCAGTTCCATGGGTAATAGTTACGCACACAGCTACAGAAAGTTGTTACTCTCAGGTATGTAAAATATATATAGGGTATGTGAATTAATAATGAGCGTTTTTTTCGAAGTTTACGGATTCTTTTTCAAATAATGGTTCCAAATATATTAATCGAAGTATTGTCCATCGCTGGCCACTACCTTTTTCCATCTTTCTGACAATTTTCGGATGAGGCAATCCAATCATGGACCCATTTTTTGGAGTGTTCATATAAAGTGAACTCCTGATGGGTCAGACCCATGTGTCATCGACTGGAATAAGTAATAGTCTGAGGAAGCAATGTCTGGAGATTATAGTGGGTGGGGTAGAACTTCCCATTTCAGAGTTTCTAGGTAGATTTTACCGGTTTTGTAACATGTGGCCAAGTGTGTGTCATGTTGCAAAATCACTTTGCTGTGCCTTTCTCGCATGAGTTGAGTCAGATAGCATTCCCCCGTGATTATTTCATTCGGTTTGAACAGCTCAGTGACAGATGACGCTGCTGGTCCCACCAAATACAGAGCATAAGTTTCATGCCATGAATATTTGTACGGAATATTAATACGGCTTTGCGAAGAATGTTGATAGCTGTCCGGGCAGTCCCATGACTTTTTGCGCTTGGGTTATCATAACGAATCCACTTTTCATCGCCAGTGATAATGCGATTCAAAAAGCCCTTTATTTTTTTGGCATGAACAAGAACCCGCCAAAACGCTTCATCTGGTACGTAATTGGACATATTCGAATCAATATTTAGTACTGTTGTATAAGTTTCAACCAAATGATACTAGCTATTTAAGACGACCACAATGTGTAGGTTTTAGCGGGCAGACATTGCAAACTGGAATATTGAAATGTACACTAGTGGCAGCTTCTTGATCGAAACGCTCATTATTAATTCAAATACCCTATATAACAATTTATAACACTGTATATATAAAGGATAAATCTCATTTAAAATATTAATATTATGATTACAGAGCGAGTGCGTGTATCACGTCCGGTCAATACAAATGTACCACATTGAGTCAAGGAAATGGTTTGATATTGGATATAATTTTTTGGTCGGAGGAGATGGTTCTGCCTATCTTGGACGAGGGTGGGACAGCGTCGGAGCACATACCCTGGGATACAATCGTTACAGTATCGCTATTGCCTTCATAGGCACTTTTAATAACGAAGCACCACCACAGAGACAAATAGAAGCTTGTGAAAAACTTATTAAGCTTGGTGTTCAGTTAGGAAAACTAAAAGAAGACTATAAATTGTTTGCCCATCGTCAACTAGCGTCAACGTTGAGTCCTGGTGATAAATTGTTTGATATTATTAAGACTTGGCCACATTTTGTAAAAGATGTTACGAATATCACAGAGCTCATTCCAAATTATTGATTTTGCTGCCACTATTATATTAGGAAAGTAATGTTTAATTAGCCATCACAATAGTACTCAAATACTAAATACAAAGATTTATTTTTATTTATTAGGAAAACAATACAGTAGTATATCTATATATGTATATAATTTAAATAAATATATACAGATCTACATTGTTTTCATAGATGATTACGTTGATATATAAAATATGTTTTATAAATAATTAAACATATGTTGCCAAACCAGAGTTATTCTTTAGCGAATTTAAAAATGATTTGTCTCTGTTTTTTATAATGAAAAATAAATATTACTGAATGTTACCGAATGGCGACTAATTACTTAATATTATTAATGTTTGACAAATATAGGGATTTGTTTTCCAATGTGATAATTTAGGGACTATGTTATGTTATGTAAACATGAATATTTTCCACAGAGACATGTGGTGCGCTCAATATTAAGTAAGTTATTAGCATAAAAAATACAATTTTTATCTACTTTATTAGTTTTGTTTCAATTTATAATTATAATAGAGTATAGAACAATTTAATATAAGTACAACAATATCAAACAATATTGTTACTGTAAGCAATTTCTATTATGTATGTATATCTTTAAACAAATATATGAAATGCGGAAGATTTTTCATCTTTTTTATACATTTCATACATTGTAATAAACTTGCAATGTCTTTCTGTAATTATTAAAAACATTTAAAACAAGCTTGCATTAATCTGTCTAAGGTTTAATTAATTAGGTATTCTATGTTCTTCTCATGTAGGTATCTTAATATTCCTATTTTTAAATCATTAATTTTAATAATGGACATGCTAATGACAACATAAAAAAAAAAAATAGTTTATTTTATATAATATTTTTTGGTATCTAATAGTTATTAACTATTTCTTATACTATATGAATGTGAAAATTTATAATATTAGACGGCAACGGCACGGATCTGACAAAATTCTATTTTTATACTATTATATTTTTGCTGTAAATTTCATTCAAATTATATTATTAAGAAAGTATATCTAATATATATATATACATATATTAAAAGTTTAATTCTTAAGAATTTGTTAAGGTGTATGGTAACTTATACAGAAAAGTAACTATTGGTATAAAACCAATTAAAACTATTTTTTTATAAATAAATGATCTGTATATGCGTATAGCAGAGCTATATGCTGTATAGAGCTCAGATAATACTGAATGTTTAGAAGTAAAGATGTGGTTTAAAAAGTAATAAATTCCGTACATTACAAACATGTAATCTTTTTTTGTAACTGATATAGTTCAATGCGAATCTACTACTAAAAGTAGTTTATTTTTTAAATGAACATGAATTTATTTATTTCAAATTTGTAATGTATTACCTTAAACCCTAAAACCTTAAGTTTGTATTCTATTACATTTCGAATTTATATATATATATGTATATAAATGTAATTGATATTTGAATATACTGTTATTTGTTTGGCATTTATTGAATAATTTGTAAATAACTACATATAGTTATATTGTTCTATGTCAATGTAACAGGTGCTACCAGAAGACTAATATACAATATATAATAATAATATATAAAAATGTTGTCACAAAATACATATGTTGATTTTAGAATATGTTATATTTTGCTAACATTATATTTTATCTTTATTATTTGGTTTGGATTAGTCTATATCTTGATATGGAATACCATGTATTTGGTTAAAATGGTTTACAGAGTAATGCAGTCATTTAGAAAATAAACTTAATTTCGCTTCACCGATGATATTTTATTTGCACAAATATATATACATATATATATATACATAATATGTCGATTATGTAATTATGTTTTATGTTTAATATCGGTATCTTAATGTAGAATATCCTTCACAGTTCCTTCGCAGACTCCTTATGTACTAAGACTGCCTCTAAATTGCACATTATGCCCAGTGTAAGGGCAGTAAACCTAATATAGAAAGAAAAATGGTACCCATTCTCAGTGATATAAAAACGGCGGGGGTCATTACTAACCTGAGAAATACCAATAAAAGTTAAAGCAATTTAAAAATAATAAACATAAACACAATTTCATTTTAACTGTCATTTAATAAGTACATTATACAGTATTATTATAAAGAGGTAAAATTTTTGAGTTTGAGTGTTCGGGGTAATCTTCGGTACCGATAAACCCATTTTGAAATTTTTAATATTAGCCACTAATTGAGGATTACTAGTCCACAATTTTGCAAAATAGGAGCAAATATAATACAAAAGAATTTGCGCGGCAACTTTATAAAGCAAAAATTAAATTATTATATAATGTCTTTATATTTTTCTATATACGTCTTGCATGTTAACGGTCACTCGTCTCGTCATTTGTATGTAAAATCTGACAATTGTAAAAGCATCTGTAAATAAATGCAAAATACTTATAGTTTAAAATATATTACCCACTTCGGGTCGTCCGCTGGTTCTTTGTGGACCGCTGGGTACGGGCCCCGAGCTTGCGTTCTTTGCCCGGGCATTTTGCTGGGGTAAACCACCCCAGCGTCGTTCTTTTACTGAGGGCGGCTGCTTTTCAGCGGCCGCCTGTGGGCGTTGTGTGGCGGGCATCATTCTTTCGCTCGCCGAGCCGGCTTAACGCCGCCACGTCACGTAAATGACGTGATCACTCGGTGGAGAGTAGGTCGCGCGGGAGCGCGCGAGTGGCGTCCGGTGGGCGTGCGTGGAGGGGGGCGAGGTCGTGCAGGTGCGCTTCGCGCCCGCTGTCTGCGCGCGTCAACCGGACGAGGAACTGCTCCACCGATGGGATCTTGACGTCGCGGGCGATCACGTCATTACGGCATTTGTGCACAGACGGAGGGCGGCGTTTGGCCTTGGCTTGAGTAACAGCCCGGTCCACCTGCGGCGTCCTACGCAGCGACCGGTCGATTTCCACCCCTAGGTAACGCACTGTGTGTTCCCACTGTATGGGTTAGCCTCTCAGTAAAAGTGGCGGCGGGTATTTGCACCCGGGGCGGGTAAGCAGCGCCGTTTTACCCACATTAATGGTGGTGCGCCCCTTATCCAGCCACTCGGGGAGCAGGTCCCTCTCTCCCTCTCGGACCTCATCTCTCAAGGTGGGGATGTCGTCTGTGTACGACACCAAACCGTCGTGCCACACACGGTCGAACGCCTTCTTTATGTCGAGAAATACGCCGACCGTGTAGTGGCCGCGGTTGTGTTCGACAGCCATGTGGTGGTGGAGCACGCGCGTCAGCTGCAAAGTCGTCGAGTGTCCGCCTCTGAAACCGAAATGTTCGTCGAGTGGCGACAGAGTCGGTCTCAGGCGGCGGAGCAGGAGGCGCTTGAACGACTTTGCTACGTGCGAGAGCAGAGTGATGGGCCGGTAGCTTGCCGGCAGGCACTTGTCCTTGCCGGGTTTCGGGAGGACTATGACTCTACCCAATTTCCAGCTGCTGGGGAAGTGGCCAGTCCGGAGTATACCGTTGTAGAGCCTATCTAAACATTCTAGGGCTTTACGGGGCAGCTGTGCGAGCGCTGCGTTGCTGATCCCGTCCGCTCCGGGCGCTTTGCGCTTCGGCAGGCGGTTCGGGCCCATAGGCGACGGAGGTTCTTTTTCCGGGCGAGATTTTCGCGCAGATGGTGTGGCAATTCCTCTCGACGGCGAGAAGCCACGTTTAAGGTGGTAGTTGCCGCCTCCACGGCGGTGCGAATTCGCTCCGTTAAGAGTGTAGAGGCGGCTTCGACACCCTCTGGCGAAGATAGTTCGCCGTCGAGGTGTAGATGCTCCAATTCTGCGCGAAAAACACGTCAATCTATCCGCCGCCTCGACGGTCTCGTCGATATGGTGGTGATGGAGAGGTCAAGCGTGGTTAGAACTGGGAGGTGCTGCGTGTCAAGGTCATACAGTACCTCCAGTAAGACCGGGCAAGGCACAGCCTGCATTAGGGCAATGTCCAGAACGTCTGGGCTATGTGTGGGATTTGAGGGTACGTGGGTTGGGTGCGCTGGGCCCAACACCTCGTACCCGTGGATCTGCGAATCCTGGAGGAGTCTTCGACCTATCGGCGAGCACAAACGGGATCCCCAAGCCGTGTGCTTCGCGTTTAGGTCGCCCATAAGCAGGGTGGGACTCCTCCCATCCAGAACGTTCCGGACATCGGAGTTGCTGAATTCCGATCCCGGGGGACGGTAAGCTACCAGGACCTTCAGTTCCGCGCCGTCGTCGTTGATGCTGACTCCTATGGAGCGCATGACGCGGAACTCGGGGCTCTCTAACTCCACGTGGACTACGTCTCGGCGGACTAGTACCGCCGTACCGCAGTAAGCATAGCCCGCCGGTGACGTTTCGTCGCGTCTATACTCGTGGTAGTTAGGCACCCTCAACGTCTCCTTTTCTGTGAACTTCGTTTCACCCAGGAGTCAACAGTCTAATATGCATGTTCAGTGCTCAGTCGACGGGCGCTTGTGTGAAGGGCGCGGGCGCGGGGTGTGCCGTTCGCGCCGCGGGGTATGCGGAATGTGTAAGATGTGCGGGAGTTGCGCGTCTTGCGTCCGCTTGTGGCGGCTCGAATGCCACTCTCGGCGCGTTGATTGCCGGTGGCACCGCCTGGCGGCGCCGAGGCGCAGCTCGTGGGTCTTTGGTTGAGACAGCATGCGTGGCAAGGGAGGGTGGTGCGGTGTACGCAAATATTGGTGTGGGATCGGGTAGGAAGGGGATTGGGGTTGATGCCGTCACGGGCTCATCTCCGCGCCTCTTCTTGCCGCGTCTTCGGCGGCGGCGCTTTTTAGTTGCACCGGTATCGGCGCCTCGTTGCGTCGGCTCGTTAGCCGGCGCCATTAAGTTGGCGCCAGCGGTTTCCTCGATCGTTATTACGGGAGGGGGAGCCTGGGCGACGTAGGTACGAGGCGCCGCGGTGGGATTGTTACGCCGCCGTTGCTGCGCCGTGGGCGCCGTCGACGTCGCAGTGGGGACGGGGGGGGGGGCGGGGTTTGATTCTTCCACGCCTCAACCACGACGCCCCGCATGTACAGGAGCTCTTCAGCCGCGTATAAGCGTGCGAGCTCGTCCCTGTCCATGGGGTCGAGTTGGGCGTGGAAAATGCAGCCGGGGCGGCCGCAACGTGCGGGTATGCCCCGCACTAGCCGCACTCCGAACCCCTTCTCCTGCAGTGCCTCTGCAATCTTCGTTGGGCGTGTCGGCTGGGAGGCCCCTTATCGCCACCTTGGTGGGCAGTTCGGAGGCCAGACTATAAAAGTACCAACTTATTGTTGGGTCCTTTTCGCTGGCCTCTATCAGGTGTCTTTGGACGGCACGAAATTCTTCGTCCGTCCTAGGTAGGAACCGCACCCCCGTGCCGTAGGGTCTTGCGTTAGGTCCCTCCCCAAGGACGCGTCTGAGCTGGTCGAAGTGGCGCGTCCAGTTAGGGAGGCGTTCTGCCACTATGGGGGGGGGGGGGTATTTACCTCGCCCTGTGGCGGGTTCTATACCTGTGTCGGCTTTCCTCGTCTGTGAGGGGATTTCCGGGACGGGGCTCAAAAGGTCGGGACCTGCTGCTACTGCCGCAAAGGACGGCGGGGTTCGTCGTCGCGGCGAGGGGACGGGGTGTGCATCGGCTCGGGTGATTGTGGCTATCTAGCGTATAGGAGCGAGGTGCTGGCGAGGGCGCAGGCGAAGGAGCGCGCGAAGGCTCAGGCAAGGTCGCAGGAGACGGCGACGAACATGCGTCGCCGTAAAATCGCTCTTCTTCCCCTCCCTCCTCGCTCCCGCTATCCGGCGGTGGGCAGGGTGAGCGCGCAGGGGGTGACGGTGCACGGTACCCGACTGGGACGGTACGGGTTGGTAGCCCCTGTCCACGAGCCGGATTCTCGGCGTCGGCGGCGCCTTCACTAGGTCGAGGTCGCGGGGGGAGGGGACTCCTCTACATCCCTCCGTTTGTCGCCTCTAGCGGGCGAGGTCGGCGACGGCGGTGCGCGTCGTTTAGATGGGCCGGGTTGTGCGCATCTTTGCCCTCTGCCTGGTTCCCGGTCGGCGGCATTATTGCCGCTTCCCGCGAGGGCAGAGGGAGTGCCCTTGGATGCCGGGCGAGCGTGGAAGGTCTTGTTCCTCAGATCCCGACGCACAACAGTTCGGGGAGCTCCCCTGTCAGGAGGTTTCCTGGGGGCTTTGGCCCTTTGTGACATTACGACACGAAAGAGAGAGGTGGGAGAGGGTGGTGTGGGGACTGGAACCTCACGACGAACCTACCGAAAGTTAGGAAATTCCGCCCTAAAGGGGCAGGTGATCGCACTGTAAGACAGTCGCAAGTGGATTGCAGCAACGAATTTGCGTCAACAAATTCGGTCTGCAATACTAGCGCGTTCTCTCGTTAACAAAGTACACTTTGTGTAGTTGGATTACGCACTGTATCGCTCTCAACAATTTGCGCAAGTGGGCACCAGTTGCGGGGCTCACTCTGGAGACTCGACGGCGGACCGGAATCTCACAGAGGATCACACGATCAACGGTAAACTCAGCAAGCTACTAATTCTCCATCAATATTGGTAAGTATATCCAAGTTGATTCTTGCGTTAATTCTTCTTCTTCATTGATAATGATATAACTTATTTAAAAGAGCAAGTATCTTGCTAGCACTTCTTGTGATGAGGGAGTTTCTATAAAAAAATAAGTATGATCATTCAAAAGTGCTTAAGTTTTAATTTATTCAATTTTCTATTCTATTTTATATCCTATTCTTAGTATTTGCCTATCCTAATTATAATTAGATATTAGATACATAGTGGGTATGTGGCAGGCTACATTCTATACTATACCTATGTTTCTAATTTATCTAATTAATTATTAAACTAACGACTGCTTTGCGAGCGTGAATTGTAAAATAATCGTTAACAGTAATGAATTTTTAAATAGTGTTGTCCTTGATCCATGTATGTTAATACATTGTAATTGTTTATACGAACAAATTAATAGCGCCTGATATAAAATATACATATAGATTTCGAAAAATAATTTGTCAAAATTGCTATTGTAATCAATGTTTATATCCGATATTTTGACGGAAAAACTATCCAATATAAAGGGCTACATCCATAGTATTTGGTTACTATTTATTCTCTTTTTAGTTCTATTTGTTGGCCCGTCAGTTTTTGTTTTTCGTTCTATGGAGTTCTAAATATTGCCTATCCCTATTAGACTGTAGAGTGTATCTCTAGCTGGTTTAATCAACGATTAAAATTGTGAAAGAATTTTCAATTATGTAGTACATCCTTAGAGTTTTGCATAAATTTAGAAAATATTCATTCAATCTGTCTGATGTCTACAGTAAACTTTTATTAATTTTATATTTTGTTCCACAACACCTACTAACAGAATTAATAATTTACGTTATTTCTAATAAGTATCGTTTAATTTCATCCTTGTCGTTTGTCCTATCAACATGGTTTAATGTATATATATCGTGTCAGTTTGTGAGTTGGCGTATCTGTTCAATCGAAGGTTTATAATTGCTGGCTCGTGAATTACAAATAATGACTATTTTCCACTCTGGATAAACGGTTTTACCGTGCTGCATGTCTGTGTTGTTTTAGGAAACGATTTTCTTGAATCGGTATATTATAATGGTTTTATACAGTATCGATGGAGCATTGGACACGAAAGGCAAAAGCGTTATTAAGAAAAAGAATCGCAATAAGAAAAAATCTAAAGAGGGGTGTTTAATGGGTAAATTGAAAGAATTTTGTAGACGAACTGATTTACACGGATATAAGTACATTGTGATGGAGGAGCTCAGCTTTCTTGAAAGGTTAGTCTTGATTGCACTCTTACAAATGCCCTTGGTCTTTTACTTGGCGAAGACAGCAGGTCTTATAAGCCTTGGTGTCACCTGGTTTGTTTACAGGTCTTGTTTTGAAAGTTGTTATGTTTTCAAGTAAGATACCTATAGCGGTAATATTACTGAGTAAAGAGTTGATTTCAGTTCATAGAAACGACATTAGGTAGGTATATGTGGGGTAACACGGATCCACTGTAGATATAGTGCAGTTCATGTCTATTGTGTCATCAGGTTGTTTGCCAATTCATTCGTAGTTATAAAAATCTTTACAAATTTTCCTTCTGTTGTTTTGCTACGACTTTTAATCTTATGCACTCCATTCAGTGTCTCGTTGTTGGTAAAATAATATAGTATATAATTTCAATGTTTGTTGTTGTAGGTTCTGTTGGTTTATAGCAGTTGTAATGAGTACAGTCATTGCAATTTATTTTGTGGTTACAGCATACAGATGGTATGCCAGGAACCCCATAGTCACCGTAAGTAAGATTTACTAACAATCTCTGATTTTTTTTTGGAATTTAAATACACTCCGAGGCATGAGCGATCAAATATTTTAAAAATTGCCAAGCGTTTTTCGGGTTCATCCTTACTTACAAATGTAAATTTATACAATATGTATATTTAAAACAAAGAATAAGCAAGTTTATTGCTCATTCTACTTGTGTTAAAACTGTTTTCCAGATCAGTTGATTATTAATAAAAAAAATATTGTTAAAAAATACTATAAGTTTATTATAGTACATTACCTGCGCTCGCGTTTAGATCACTTCAGCCTGGATTGACATACATCAGGGCTGTCCAAACTGTGTGTTTTCTTTGTAGATCATAGTTCCCGACTTTGTCAAATGTTATAAACATTAATTTGTCTTCATTTAAGTTATTTTTGAAAGTTATAAATTCGCGAGCACTGTATAATAATAAATATATAATGTAATATATGTTTATTAAAATATTATTATTATTATACTATGTTTACTTTAATGTATTATTTTTCTTTGTTTACTTTTGATATTAACCGGCGAGCGTATTTTATAGCCGGTATAAAATACGCTCGCCGGCTTCGCACGGCACTTGATACAAGTACCTATTGCTTTGTATATAGATGAAATCTAGTTCCTTTTTAAACTATGATAATTGAAAATCTTAGAAATATGATAATTAAAAAACATATTATTTTCTTTGAAATCAATCTTGCCTAAGTAACTAAATAGATAAATTAACCTAAATAGATTAATTGATAAATTCACCTGAGTACCTACTCAAATACTAAAATCTCAATCCATAATAACTACAAAATATAACAATGTACTGAAAAGCAATTTTTATTTTTATTTTACGGCCTGGAGAACATCTATAGACGCCTGCAATCGTTGCGAATTATACCACGCTATAGGGCCAAGTGCCCCCTCCGATCGATCCCCCGTCAACCCTTCCGGTCGATTCCTCGTCTAAATCAAACGACGGCCTGAGCCGAGGTACGAACTCCTAGCGGTGACCTCAGACTACAATCATATTCGTCAGGCAAGAGTTGGCCTTTACCCGCTCCATAAATCCTTCCGCCGTTTTGAAGTGCCGCCTATCGTTGAAGCTGTAATGCTGTTGGCCAACTGCGGCCAAAAGCATTAGAGTAGTCAGAAAAAAAATCGCTTTCGCACATCTGAAAAAAAGCGCACAATAATATTACGACATCACTTTACAAATATTTGAATTTTTCGACTTTTCTATACAATATTATGTATATATTATACATATAATATAAACCTTCCTCTTAAATCACTGTATTTATTGCTGAAAACTGTATTAAAGTTCGCTGAGTAGGTACATAGTTTAAAAGATCTCAGAGAGTAAACAGCGGAAGCGATTTACTTTTATAGGTACTATGTAAAGATAAGCAAAGAAACATGGATGAATAAAGGATTCATCCAGAATTACAATGGATAAAGACATAAATCTTATGATTATGAGGTGACCGTTGTACATGTAGGGCATAAACAACTCAACATGCGACATTTAGGCGACATATTTGCCGTGTGCTGTAACATCCGGTATGCTGTCTCTTTGCTATTCACCTATTTAAGTACAAAAAACATAGGTATAATCGATAGTTTTTATATTAGTTTAAGTTTCTAAGGGGTTACAAATTATTTAATGGCACCCAAAACACACTACAACAGGTTATAGAAAGTACACAGGGCGCTATATGGGAAGTACCATTTCCTGCAGTGACGATTTGCGATTTGAATATAATTTCTCGTATGGCAGCACGACGATTTGCTGACAATTTGTAAGTATCAGTAACGAATCTTATCATTGCGAAAATTAAAAAATATATTTTGTTATTTGTAAATCATTTTATAATTAGATCTTATGTACTTAAAAATTATTTATCACTATCCTATAGTAGATTTGAATTTTATTTGTTCAAGGATATAATATTTAATTCAAATAAATATTCAATTGCAAAATTAGCTACGTTTTAACAAGGAAGTAAATCTTTTTGATACCAAAATGTTACGACGAATTACATATATAATAATAATAACGCCGTCTACTCACAAATTAATCAGATCTTCTCATATTGATACTAGACAACAGATACAAATACTTAAATGCCTTTTTTAATATATACATAGCACCTACACCACAGAAAACAACCAAACCAATATAAACAATTATACTCATGAATACAAATGTTTGCATCATACAAGAAATCTAACCTGCGCTAGAGACAACGAATATTATGAAATTAGCTGTAATCATATATGTATATACAATATATATACCCACCAAAGTAATCGTTGAGCTCGAGTTTTTGGTATTAATCAAAAATTTCCTTAGTTTTTAAGAATTAGTGTTAATATCTATAATTGTTATCCCGCAGAACGTTACCAGCTAATATTAGTGCCGATTTTGTGTTCAACGCCATTCGGCTAGCGCCTATGTTGCATTCTTCATACATAATTGATAATGAACATAAGGAAGACTTACGTAAATTGCAATTGGTACTAGACCTAAATAATGTATCAATAAATATGCTATTTCGGGAGGTAAGTCAGTAGACTTAAATGTTTTATTAACATGTAAAATATTCAGCACAACTATTAGGAATATTGCTGTGCAAAAAGTAAAGGTATTGCGCGCAATATTATTTATTGAATGCACAGCTTAAGGAACATTTTGCCTACAAAAACATAGAGGTAAAGTTATACTTAAAGATGATCATATGTACAAAAATATTTGCGAATGGGGAACATAGTAAAAGATATACATATAATGCAATTTTATTTAAATAAAATAATGTTTGGAATATAAAAAATATAGATTATAGGCGCAAAGATAAATAGCAACTACTTTCTGGATATTATTGTACCTTTACTGCTTCAATAAGTAAATTATATAGGTCATATGAAACGATTGTATCAAATATTGACCTCGATGTAGTGGTAGGTTGAAGGCTGTTTTATTTGAATATACTATACAAGGAAAAACTATTTTTTGTAATGTCTAAATTATTTACAGTTATCACCAGCAAAGTCATGCAATCATTTAGTTCAAAGGTGTATGTGGAAGAATACAATCTATCGATGTAATGAGCTGTTCCAAAACATATTTACAACTATGAGCCTATGTTGTGCTTTCAACTATTTGGCCGTGATGGAGAATGACAACGTGACCTCGTAAGTGTGAAAGTACTAGATTTTGTAAAAATATTTATAGATCTTTACAAGTGCGTAACAATCACATTATGCGCGAATTATGCGGTAAATGAAGTGGAAAACATATTGCGTCAACTCGTTATGCATAATATTAGTAATGCATATATTATGCACAGACATCTATTTTTGGGAATCTTAGAATTAATTTTTAATATTACTAAATAAGTTATTTGTTGTCGTAACAGCGTTCTGTTGTTGCGAAGCTTTGTAAGCATAGCAGTATTTACTAGTGTTTCATTATTTACTACAGTACTACTACAGTATTTACTATTCTATCATGTAGAGTGTATTGTAGTAGGGTTGTAGATACTACGCCATAATAACTAATTAATGAGTATAAGCTCATAAGAGAAGAATTTTGGACTGCTTTTATCATATTGTATATGAATGATTTTTTTATACTTTTTATGAACTTTTTACATTAGACTAACAATAATAAATAATATAAATTATGAAATATTAATGTATTTTATAAACAATATTTAAAAAAAAAAATTGTATTGACTAATAGCATTTCGGAAATTTGATTTTCCGTTGCATATGTTATATTTTTTATTTTATATATATATAAATGTTTTTATAATTATAATTTTATAACATAATAATGAAATAGTTCGGACATACTATCCGAAAAAGAAAGATATATAAATGAATTATATATACCTAATGTATTTTCTAAATGGAAACCATATCTATGTTATATAAAGCATATGTAAAATATGAACAAAAGTAGTAGTAATGACTATACTATTACAAGTTTCTACGATACGGGCCTATTATATATATATATATATATATATATATTAATAACGTATTAAATATAACATTCTTTTGCAGACAAGACCTTAGTACGAGCAGTCCTCGCCGCGTAGCGTCCTGTGGCTACCAAACAGCTCTTACTGTTATTCTGAATAATAATGCTGATGATTATTATAGTGCTTTCGTGGCTTCTCAAGGAATTTTGGTAGGCGGATTTTGCCGTGATAATGTTGATTTGTAAATTGTTATTAGCATTCCGGTACAATCAATTAGAACAAAGAAATTAATGTTTAGTAAATATTTGAGTACCTGTAATTAAAAATGGTTTATAGGTTTAATAATAATTATAATTTTATTCCATAATCATGAATATGTTATATATTTGAACTATATTGATGATTATAATATAAAGGTCGAATAAATAAAAAATATATTTTATAAAATATTTTTTTGCAGGTATTTATAGATGATGCATACAATATACCTGATATGGATACTCCTGTACGCATGGTGAATCCTTCCACGGAAGTGCTTATATCATTATCACCGGAACGCACCTATGCAACGCCAGGTATTAGGTCCTTTAGACCTGAGCAGAGGCAGTGTTATTACTTTGATGAGGTAAAGTTTTTTTCTACTATTGCTTGTATTATTTAAACCATACCAGTATTATATGATACTACAGTATAAATTGGAACGGAAATGGACTGAAACAAAAGAATAATCTAGATACCGCGCTAAAAATTTAAGGCTGGCGAGTCACCAGTTAGAATGAGCAATCGGTATTTCAGATCCGTTACTTCATAGTGGCAAAGGACTGGTCCTTTATTGCAATTAACCACTACATTTTCAGGGAGGGTGTATGGTACAGATGTCCACTTGATTTGTCCTTGTTCTCAATAGAAACAATTTTCTTCCATTCTTGCCTTGTCTTACCTTGAAACTTGGAAATGGGCATGAGTACATGCTATATTTCTAGACTATTTATTAATGATATATTGACTAAAAATGACGACTGTAAATATATCTTTGCTAGATCATAATTTTATGATAAAAACCTTGTTTGGAACGCGAAAAAGTGTGTTACATTGTAATCCTATTGTTAAACTGAATGATGATTATTTTTATTTTTTAAAGTCAACTATTCTTTGAATATAAGCGGGGTGTATTCCCCGGATAACAACCCGCTACTGTTAATGTAAAGTAGTGTGTTCAACTAGTGTACCAGTCAAATATAGGTTATAACTATAACTGAGCCTGTCTCATCTTAAAACTGAAAGTTTCTTCAATCAATTGTTTATTTTTATCGCTTTTTTTGTGATAATATATTAGTCATTAGTCATATTTATACCTATATTAGGAGGTACTTCTCTATTTAATAATACAGCAAAGATTATATAAGATAAGATATTCTTCGTGATTGGTTTAAATGATTAATAATATATAATATATGAATTTATACTAATATATCTGAAGGAAGTTTAAAAAAAAGACCTTTTATGAGATAGTCTATATAGTATACATGTTATTTTCAATTAAGTACCTGCGCTCGGACAGATAAGAAGGGCTTGTGAGGACAACTGTCCTCGCTATTGTGTATCAGGATAGAGATTTGATTATGAATAGAAAGGATAGATATACTAGCGAACTTGGTTATCTAGTGATAGCCATTATTAAGTCTCTAAAAGTGGCTATGGTCGACTCGATTTCGCAACCAGTCGCCCGAGAGGTTTGTCAAATAGAGATGGAGCGTTGTCTTTATGCACCAACTTTATGTTCATTCGGTTAGCTTTAGTTCCAATGTTGAAGACTAGCCCGAGTTGAAACGATTCGAACAAGTCAGTATGTGCGTTCAGATGTACGTATTGTTTTAATTAAATATATACCTATAATTTGCTCGGCGCGACGTACGCTATGATAGTTCATTCTGAGCCCATGTGTGATAAATAAACTTATGGACAACGACCTTCCTGCGAATTTGCAACCAAAAATAGACGCCAAAGAGGAAATTTAATTTTATACAGATATGTGTGTCAAACCTTGACCAGAACCACATAGCGAAGCTCAAGATGTGTCCCAAGAGTCAACAAGAGATAACAGGTGGTGTTTCACAGATGTGACGGTACTCAAAATAATTTGGAAGTTGTTGTTGGAAGAAGGTGATCGATTCTAAGGACGTGTGGAGTTTCGTGGCCTAGGAAATTAACAAGCTTCCACCACGTTCAAGTTCGACCACGTCGACGTAACATGTATTTTGGAGGAGATATATTGACTCAAGAGGGTTAAGTCAAGAGTCAAGGAGAGAGAGAGAGGTCAAGAGGGTTAATCGAAAGCATTGTGGCACTGCACTACTAACTACTACTACTACTACCCAACTTCTTGTTGTATATAACAGTACCAATTTCGGCAATGTACCTTGGCCCAACTTCTTATTGTATGCCACCAAGGCACTGTATCTGTTTCGTTCATACTACACCACAAAGGAACAGTATATCGTCGACTACATACGGACGGACGGAAGAATAACCCGAACATGAGGGTGACGCAGTTGGGATCGAGTCACAACGCGGGCTTCAACTCATTTATAGCCCGAGTCCCTACCAACATGCTGCAGGGAGTTATATAACTCCCTTCGGTCAGTAATCTTCCTTCATGATGGTGGCAGATTGACATAGTGATTGTGATGACCACAATGTAAATTAAATAATGTATATTAATATTTTATTTAAAATTTTATTATTTTCTATATGTGTTATTCCTTAATATATACATAATACGGACCAATATTGCTATATAACATTCAGTTGCCTGAAATAAATAAGAATAATAGTAAATAAAAATATGAATTTGAATAACAATACTATACGTGCTACAGTCGGCATCAAAAATATATTATGATAAATATAACAATGTGTTCAATGATATATTATTGACGGTGGAATTTCAAATAAATTAAAGCAATCCAAAGTGATTCATTTCTTGTTTATAGTATTTATCATATTATTGTAAACAACCATGAATCACTTGTAATATCAGAACAATAACTGACCGTTAATGTTTTGACCACATATTATAATTAAACGTAATCGATTGTATAGAAAAGAAAAATATATTTAATTGTCCAATTTTAATGAGATATGGTTTTACAAGGATATTATATTATTTTTCAAATCGGTTAAACCAAATGATAGAACAGACACAAATTCAAAATATAATTGTTTGTATTATAAAGTTTGTTTGCGTCGTACTTATATTTACAAAGTGAATAAGGGTGTTGGCATGTTGAGCATTATAAAAAAATGATGTCCTAACATTAATTAAATTAAAAAACAATTACTTATTAATTGAAATCTTTTAATAACGTAATAGAATTATTATTTATATTATATAGGCTTTTATAGTTAGGTTTTATATTATTGACTGATGATTAAGCAGGATTTACATGCTTTACTTCTTGGACATACATTCTTCAATTCAGTTATTCATTTATTTCCTGTATGTATTTTCTGAAATGTTTTTTTTATGGATGATAATGAAATAGTGCACGCGCTTCCGTTAACAGTCAACCATCAGTGGAATATGAAGATGCGAATGAGGTCAGGTCATTTAGCCAAACGTGACAAGGACTTTATCAGGATAGTTTCCAGGGGGAACCACCCGGAGGTCAACTTGATATGGTGCATTGCTAGCAATGGGATGACCTCGTTGTTACCAATACCCCTTCCCATCTCTGGGAAAGGGTATTCTGATGGGATGGGATGGGAAGGGGTATTCTTCCCATCTCTCACAATTGTTAAAATGTGTTTTATGATGTAGGTACGCTGTGCTATTTATTATATATAGTGGTATATGTAATATGAAATTGTTAGATTAATAAGGTTTGTTTATCCTTAATTAATAGCAATTACTATTGACGTAAATGCTGCGTTTTTTATTTTTTATATTGAGATAACGGAATTTTATCATGTTGTAATTGTTTGTTATTTATTAATATCTAAATATAAAGTTGTTTGTCTTTATGAATGAAAGGTTTATCACCATTCATTTTGCGTGCTAAGCTAATATTTTTTATCTTTATTTAGAGATTCAACACCACGCTAATTTGTTTATTAGATTTATGACAATATTTTGAGGGCACTTTATGGGATACTTAATAAATCATCCTTTTTTAAATATTCATCGACCACTGCCGTACCTACATGTATGTATATAGACTATTACTTATGGCACAAAGCTTCTTGCAATATTTTGAAGTTATTCCACCTCTTTTTTATGTAATTAAGATGGCAAACAAAATGACAGTTATTTCGGCGATAACCAGAGATCCTCGTCAATATATATGACCATTATGAACCTAACATTATCATGTGACGCCTGTCATACTATTTAAATAGTATGGCAGGCGTTATGTTGCTATTTCCGAGAACTCAGATTTCATACCTCTTTTCCTGTAATTTAACTCTAATTTAACTCACCTTACCTTACCCTAAGCAAATCACATCATTCATCGCCATTAACTCGGTATGGCACGTATATTCTGAGTTCATTTTTACAAATTAGTATTTTAGTAGAAAATGTAAGAATATTTAAAGGGATTGATAAATATACGATTACGGAATGGAGAATCTAAATTTACTACGTTTGTTTTATTGATCTCAATATATTAAATAAATTTAATAACATAGTGGTTATTTATTTAAACATTAAAGAGAATGCAAAATAGTGCAAATAAATCCCGCTAAAATGTGGAAAGACATAAAGCAAAAATAGGCCTTAGAAATTTTCATATTACGTATTTATAAATTTTGACATCAAAAAGGATTGTCTTTGAGTTATCAATATCAATCTTTCAGTTTTTAAGGAATGAATACTATTACTCATGTATATAAAAGTTAACAATGTTAGATTAAATTGATTTCATTAAGTTAGAAACTAAAACAAAATATTTTTGTAATCAATATACATATATATGTTATAAATAAAACTCCACCGCCGCGTATATCTATATATTTGCCAAAATCTTTTTCGGTCATCAACTGAGTGATTATAGAGGAAGTTTAAGGTGTTATAGTTAGTTGAGGCTTTGCATATATGATTAAATAGCAATGTGAATTGTGGGTGGGAGTGGGTAGTTCGATATAAATTGTTTATCATTACTACGATTCAAGTAAATGAAAACGTATATTTTATTTAGCTGTAATATTTTGCTTCTCATATCATAAAATCATAAGATAATATTTTTTAAACAAAACTTTACACCAAATATATATTTCACAAATAAATATCACAATAGCGGCATGTTTAATTTTTATGAATATAAATCACCGGATATATGAATATAACATAATGAAGCGTTGTATATGATTTTTTTAAAATAGATTAAGTATACTTTGAGTATATTAATTAAAAAAAAATTTTTTTTCCCTTTTATTAGTTTAGACAATATAGATTACGGGCTAATTAATCGTGTGTGTTTGTACGGATGCAATGCAGTGGCATTACGTATTAAGGTAATTCGCTAATAACTACCCGTGATAGTTTCGTACAGATAGTTACGCGATTGTATTTTAAGCTCATGAGATAATAATTATTGGTCAAGTGATAGTAGTATTATGTGCAGAGGGTTCCGTTGCGTATCATTATTTAATGTGATTATTGTATTCTTTTTAATTTTTTATACCCGTACATTGGTCGACAATTCCTGCTTACTTTGTTTGAGAGCTATGCTTTAACATAGCAGGTGTAGTAAGACGGATATTTGGCGATGGTTGGGTTGAAGTTAAATTTTTTAGTGATGACACTATATTTGAATTACAATATAGTATGCATTCCTAAAAATAAATGTAATCTATAATAGGCTATCGGATTATATACATTATTGCGATTGTATCGCTATTTTTCAGACAGTGTGTATGTTACCTACACACGTAATTATTGACGCAATAATTTCAAAGATATATCTAGCCTTATGTTAATCTACATATTTTGTGATATATCTCTACTGAATCAGAATATTGATAACAAATACACGCATAACATATACATATGTTAGAAAATACAATTAAAAATCACGATAATTTGATCAAATATTAAGTAAGAGACCCTAAGGATGTTATACAACAAAAGATAGAAATGGTATTTTTATCAAGCTGACATAATTAATTGGTAATTAGTTAGGAATAATGAAAGGTCTGTTAGCCTAAAATTGGAATTAGATATATAATCAAAGACCGAAAATTCCAAAATATGAGTTGTTGATAGCAGCTTGTCCACCATTATTATTTTAAATATTTGTATTTTTTGATATGTCACTTTTGACTTTTTGAAAGTTCCATTCCATCCATCCATTACAAATCAGTCTTACATGAATTGTATCGCATTGTCACATGACGTGATCGCTTAGTGCTGTTCATGTTCATAGGCTACGGTTACCACTTTCCATCTGGTGGGGCCTTTTTATCATTTTATATTAAGAAAAATAGAAGCATTCTCTATGTATTTGTATTTATACAAAATACACCGTTCGAAACTAATGTGTACCTACCATATCGAAGAGACCATATTAATGCATAGTACATAATCGACTTCTAAAGTTTAATACCTGAACTTAAACACAAGATTTGTACAAGTTAACACGTAACGGACCGCCTTATATTGGCTTTCTACCTTGTTTACAGTATATGTATGTTATATTAGTACCTACCTATATGTTGTAGAGTGTGAGAAATCTATTAATATGAATGTTTACTTGTATTATATATGTATGTATTTCAGTTACAGATTGGCATCTTCCGACAGTACTCCTTCCATAACTGTATGGTATTTATCAAAGTAGAACTGTTTCGAAGCATATGCCAATGTATACCGTACTATTTTCCCATGAAAGGTATTGTAGCGTATTATAAAGATATATTAAATGTAATTATTATTTGGTACTAAACACCTTTGTGCCCTATAACAATACGCTGAAGTAAATAAAGTACGAGTATTTTCGAGTTTAGTACTTTATTTTTCTAAAATTGTTCGTGCCCAGATCAACAAACTATATCTACTAATGAGGCATTGGTACTCAATGCGAAAGATTACAAGATAAAATTAGTTACCTTGGACAATTTAAAATTATTTAGCTTTCATTGTTTTTTTTTCAGGACAATATCGTGTCTGTAACTTCCATGACTTGGACTGTATGGAAAAACTTTTAAGTAAGTCTACCTCTGTATTACATTTTAATCTTGAAGGAAATTGTCTGTCCTTGTATAATAACTAACGAACATTTTGGTTTTCTATTACTTTTCACTGCATTTATTGAATCTCTTTTTATTCTGTTATTAAAACATACAAGGGGTAATGTAAACATATCAATCTATATTGCATTGTAAATTCTGGTATAGTAAGATCATATCTTTCAATAACTGTCTTGGCCAAATATAATAGTTTGTTATACTTTTATTTCTTAACGTACTTAGGAATCCAAAATATTTTATTTCATAGGTCCTACGGAAGTGTATCTCAACTATTCTAAGCACCACCAAACACTGCATTGCTTACCAGAGTGCGAACATTTCGATTATCATTTGGAAGTAGCACTTGGAACATTAGCTAACAATATAGAACTCAATGGACTTCCATTTTAGTAAGTTATTTACGTACCTATAATAACATATTTTTTTATGAAAATTAGCTAATATACCATCTGAAGGAAAGTGGTATCCGCCCCCATATATATGAACAGCACCACGGAGGTATCGTCTGATGAAGCTGTAAAGGCCAGGTGCGGCCAACAGCATTAGAGTAGTCCAAGTAACATTAGTAGTCACATGTCAATGAAAAAAAAATACTACGGTCATATTTTTTTCGTAGACATGTGACGTTTATAATAACTCATGGGTAGCTATTCCGGAGGTCTAAGTGTTTATGCCCCCAAATCCTGTATTATATTGCTATATCTCATCCTAGAACCGAAACGTAGCTTACAAAGCAAGCTACTTGGGATGAAATATGTAGTTGAAATAGAGATTCACACTGAAACGACTTTTATAAAGTCAAGTTTAGGGGTAAAATTCTTCCTAGCTGTATTACACTAAAAACAAGCATCTAAAAGTAGTATCCAAAATTTTGTCATAAACCACCAAAACTATGATTAGTAATTTGTTTAAAAACAGCGTCTGAAAAATTTGTTTATCTAGTTTGGCTTTTTATTTAGCTGTATTATTAAATATAACCAAAACCTTATTGCAAAAGTTTGATTATTCCTAGAAAAACAAATTTATTTGATAAATAATATAAAATATAAATATAAAATAAATACATTTATTTTATGTTACACATCCTATATAAATAGTAACAGTATATAAAAGTTTAATTATACTTGTAGTATGCAATTTCAGATAACAGAAATAATAAAGATGGCTACCTGGGTAGGTACGTACTTGGGTCTATAAAAATTTTTTCATTATATAGGTACCTACTACTCGTTTCCATATTTTCCCTATACCACAGATAATATTACATACCTGTATTAATCGTCGTATTTGTTGAAAAATAGGATTAAATATAATGTGTAGTGGGCATATGAGGTTTATTCAAGTGTTAAAGCATTGTATTGATGCGGTTACTTTCTTTGACATTGATAAATTTGTACATGAATGAACTCGAGCAGGAAGTAACAGAAATTAAGGAAAATGTATTTCGAATGGGTTGTAAGAAATGTTTAACGGCCTCAGTGATACTGTGGTTAAGCACACTGCCTTACTTCCGATGGACGCGGGTTCGATTCCTCGTACGGAGCGTGATTGTATTAGTCTGTATGTGTTCAATGTATATACGAAAAACATATCTATGTATTTGGATCAGTTATCTAGTATACTTAACAAGTTTTATTTAGCTTAACTGGGTCTAGATGGCGCTGTGGGAATTGGTCTGACATTATTTATTTATTATTATTATTATATGGGTCGTTATGTGTTAAACAAACGAACTATATGATATTATTGTTACTATAAATTAAATTACCGTAAATCAGCAATATAGAATAGAATAGAAGAATAGAAATTCAAATAATCTTAATTTAAGCACTTTTGAATAGTCATAACAATTTGTTTTTTATCTACTACTTCATTATTAAGCAATAGCTGCGTATTTACCTACTTGTCTTACATTAGGAAGCGTGAATTTAATACACTTAGTTTTGTTGGAGTTTAATAATAGATTATTACATGTGAACCAATTTAATATAGCAGAGATAGCATAATTTACATCGTTTAATTGATTACATTGGCGACTGGTTTTAAATACTAACGAAGTATCATCCGCAAATAATACTATATCTGCAACTTTCTCTACCATGTAGGGAAGGTCATTTATATAAATTAAAAAGCGAAATGGGACTAAGATTGAACCTTGAGGAACGCCCATTTTAATATTAGTTCCCTTAGACTTTACACCATCAATATTTACAGTTTGCACCTTATCCTCTAGATATAATATAAATTTATAAACGGATTTTAGGCATATAGGAAGACTTGATTTGTGTATTGCAAATCGAAATAGATTTTTTTTATCAAAGGTTATAAAGGTGTATTAATAAAAATACTTTTTTTATTACTTCACGTTTATTGGACGAATAAAATCAATGCACCCTCCTTAATAAAAATTTTTGTTTTATAATATTTATTATGTTTCAGTAAGGACATCAGTTTGGAGAACCGATCCTTGTTAAATGTGTTCTTCAATGATTTGGTTTCAACAAAATATCGACGTGATGTATATTTAAACTGGCAAAATATATTAGGTCTGTATTTGTATTAGAAAGCGTCGTTGCTTTATGGATTAACTTACAAACAGAATTGATAATATTTTACATACAATAGAAATAGTTAATTTGAATATAGTTTATCTTAGTAGTTTTTGATGATTACATAAGATATGTGACAATATCACAACGATAAGTAAGTAGGTATTGTGGCTTACCGAGCACAAATTTGTATGTCTATAAATAGAATATCAGCAAATTGCTTGTTCGCTGCGTAATGCACAGTCACATTATTAATCGGTTGTCAGATAAGCTTATATACGTAATATACGCGTTTAAAAAATGTAAATTAATAATAGTAATTAAAAATGAAAAATACAAAAAAGATTTGTTCAGGAACCCCAACGAGTGTCTTTGGCATTTGGTTCATGCCCTCGTAATTTATCAGTAACGGTCCATTTCGTTATTGTTGTATGGGTGGTATAAAAAAGAATAATAATTGTAACTATTTAAAAAGAACATTATAATAGTTTATATATTCTTTACATTAATAAAGAAATTAACTATAACATAACACACCTAATATAATATTTAAAAAATTATAAGCTATTGTATGTGTGTACTATTAGGAGCGCACCAATTGTAAGGTCTCCGTTATAGCTCTTAGTAGTTACAAGTATATAATAAGGTGTAGTCGTGGAATTTTAGAAATATATATTTATTTAATAAAATATCGAATTTCTGTATATTTTAATATATTTGACATATTGCTTAACATAAATTACAAAGGCGATAGACAGAAGCTCGATTAAAGTTTTAACAAAATCTAAATAAATAGGGTCGAAATAAGGAACAAATGCATTCACATGAGTAACATTGTTATTGTAATTTGATGTGTGTTATATTTATGATGGGAAATATTAATCTATTGATATAAATTCAAATCGTTGATAAAATTCATTGCAGTTTTGTTTATTAATGTAGTTATAACACACTAATAGATAAATAATAAATAAATAAAAAAATAAGTAGCCCTAGAATACTAAACGTAGCCCTAAAATTACTTACTAGATTGTGGAATGAACTATCTACCGAGGTTTTCTCGACAGACTACATCATGGGGTTTTCAAGAAGGGTATATCTTAAGGGCCGGCAACGCGCACGTGACGTCCTTGTTGTTTCAGGCGAACACAGACTAGGGTATCCGTTTACCATCAGATGGTCCGTATGCCTGTTTGCTAACGTATTATAAAAAACACATAGGTTTGATTAGAAAAACACGTCTTAAGTAATAGAGAATAATGTGGTAGCTTAGTTGAGGTGCCTTATAGTTAGTAATAGGATATGTACATAAAACAATATACATATAAACTTATATAGCGTTTTAGCGCTATTCTAATACTTTTATGTAAAGGTATACCTACCTAAATTAGCATTTACAGTAGAAGTAAACTTGATAATTAATTTATGTGTGGGCATTTACTATAAGGGCATTTACTGTAACCTCATAAATAGCCATGTTTTTTTGTAATATGCTAAATTGTAAATATTCTTGTTATCTAGCTGCATTTGGCGGTCTCCTAAGTTTGATGCTGGGTTTCACTCTTATATCAGGATTTGATCTCATACTCTTCTTCACTTTTACAACGGTCTACGAGCATTTCTTCAAGCATGACGAAGAGGACCATAAGAAGAACGCTTTTTCTGACCCTAAAATTTATACAAGCAATCGATTAAATGTAAAATCCTATCCAAAAAAATATGCGTGGTTAGATAAATCGGCTTTAACACCTCAAAAATGGTGATAGATTTTTAATATCAAAGCCGCGCTCATGATTATGTGAGTATTCATACGACTTCAACTTATTCCTTGCTCTGTTTGATATAACTGTGTTTTGTCTTTCACATCTTCTCTTTCCTTCAATAATAATATCAAGTCGTATCAAGTACTACAACATTTTTCGCGTCTATTTTCAATATCATTTTTGCTATTTATCTTCGTAGAACATCTTTCCAGCTAATTCTTTCCATACTTTTACACTATATTTTAAAGGCTTCGAGTTTGCCCCTTTTCTTTTTGAGCCAATGTCTACGCCTCACATACCTACTAAATAATTATCTAGCTTGTGAGACGTGGACAATGTCTTTTGTAATTACAAATATTATATATTTGTTGTTTAATACCTACTATATATAAATAAGTAAATTAAATGTATAGTATAGAACATCAAAAGATATTTATTGTAAAAGTACACGCATTTTTTGTCAATAAACACTTAATTAAATATAAATCGTATTTTATTTCAATACAATTCCAAATTAAACTGTATAGATATATAAGTGAAATATGGACGCAATCGAGGGCGACAGGAAGGATAAAACTAAGCTTTAATCTACACTTAGCCAAGATAAAACTTATTGTCTTGTACAAGGGAGCTCAAAGACATAGTGCTTGCTCTTTAACTTAGGATATTACTATCAACACTTTAGTATCTAATTAACTACATACTCTATATTTTTTACATTGTTGCGGTCAATACAGAAATTGGATTCATACACTACAGTTTTTGGCTACAAAATCCACGAGAGAACCCTATATTTTGTCGTTGACAATAAATAATGAAAAACTGTCAGTGTGAATGTTTATGTTGTTTGCAAATAAAGGAAACAATATAATACCTGTAATCCATCGCTTAGCTTTAGATACCATAGTATGAAAGATTTATAGTAAGTTAGTGATATTATTTTTATTTACCTATATCAAGTAGCTAGTCTTTTCTCATGTAGTTGGAATAGCATTCAAGGTGATGAGCCACCTTCCCAGCGCTTTGCACATCTCTATATCATGTGACATCCGTGATACTCTTCATGCGTTCCAGAGGGCTAAGATGTTATCTTATTCCGTAATTCAACAGCATAATCGCACCATGTTATTGATACATACTTAAAAAAGCTGTTTTGCGGCGGAAACAGACGAGGTTGAGGTACAGTCTAGTTCTGGTAAACTAGACTAGCTATGTAACTATTTAACTTTGACTCGCAACTATGTCTATGTAATACTTTCCCCACTTTTGCAACATTTCGCATTGATGCAGATCTGTTCCAATTGGTCAATCCCTAATAATAGGAGCGGATCTGCAAAGAATAATATTATATTATAGGGGGAAGGCTACATCCATTCATGGAGTCCATTACTGTCAATGTAACTAAGTCCGGTTAACCTCAACGCGGTCCTGTGAAACGATCGTGCTTTAATTCTTGTTGATATTTTGGACGATACGCTAACTACCTTGATCTTATATGCTCATCTCATCATCTTTCATTAATGTCCAGCGTAAAACGCAGGCCAGTGTAGGTACTATTATCCATTAAAAAAGCCTTCCTCGAGCAATGGGCTATTAAATACTAAAATAAATTTTAAAAACAGATCAGTAGTACCCGATATTACTTACAAACTTTATTATTTTATAATATTAGTATGGCCATGTTATACGTTATCTCGTATAACAGTGTGTTGTATCAACTCTACCTGTCTGAGAATAACTACCATACCAAAGTTACTATAAACAAGAATGCGAAAAGCATGTTAGTGGAAAACTGAGCGACAAACTTCTGGATATTCGTAGTACTAACCATCTGCCCGGCAGCAAGTAAATTTTGTGGAATTATATTGTGTTCAAACTAATCGGAATTTTACGCTAAAGTCCTATCTGTACAGACTAATTATAAATATAAGAATGTACTATCCACTCTACGAATGTTTGACTAGGACATTGACTGATATTGCCCTGATAATAAGAAGCGTATGTATTTGTCCGCTACAAATAGTTTCTTTTGTCTCTTTCATGCCAAATTTCTTGACATGATAGCGCTACGAGGTAATAAATATAAGGAGAAACAATACCAAGTTTGTAATATTGACTAACATTTTAGATATTTGGATTTGAGTAAAACTACAAACATTTTATACTTAATGCTTGAAGATCTATCTCAAAAAGGAATCTACATTGAGCTAAGATTAACGGACTCTGTTATGGAAAACACTCTCTCTTCAAATGTGCAAGTACCTGATATTCGGTAGTAGGTAAAATGCTTACATAATGGCGAGGAAACTAATTTAAACGAAAAAAGCTTCCCGTCAAGAAGTAAACAACATAATGATTTATCTGTAACTAATTTTTCCGGAGTTTATCTTCAACTAAAGGAAAAAGTAATACAAATGTCTTCTCTAGGTGTACGTCCATCATTCCTCCATTAATGTTACCAATTCGACAAACATTGCTGACGAACTACCTACTTTAGTAAAGAGTAAATGAGAAATAACAATAGAACAAAGAAATTTGAAGTCATTATAATCTTCAGCTACTTAATAATTTAAACGTAGTTATAACCTGGACGAATCAATAGTTAGTAGTAATCAGAGTGTCATATACATGTTTAAAACTTAAATATAACTTTACTACAATATTTTTATGCCTATGTTTATTATTATTGATAATATAAAGGTATGTATATTGTGAATAAATTTTTACCTGTAGTAGTCAGCAAATTAAGAGTCATAATAATTTGTTATCACATACCTAGTAAAGTGATATGTAGAAAAATTCCATTACAAAATTTATCATGTCTATAATTTATTACAAACATTGTTAAAAATTGTACTTGGTTTAGTGTTTCCTTTTCTGATTCATATACAGTTATTCTACTAATATTCCTTATCTCTTGATGTGGTTTCTAGTACAGAGGCCGGGAAGAATATCTCTACCTGTCAATGTCTAAAGAAAATTACAAAAATATAGACAGGCCACATAAAAAATGCCATAGAATTATTTTTAAAAGCAGCACAAAAATTAAAATTACAAATATATAACACAAAAGCAGACTTATTTTTTTGAAGGACAAATATGAAGTCGTGCAGACGCCTGCGTTAGCGGAATACTCTGGCGAGGCCAGGTAGGCCAGTACCAGTGAATAAACCAAAGTTACATTATGATATGGATTTTGTAAATTATACATATGTTATGACTAACGCCATCTACTGATATGAATTATGTATTATTCTGGCAGTTATGCAATATTATATATACTAGGTATATGTTTCTACTGTACTGGAATTTAATCTGTGATCAAATGAAAGTGAAACAGTTTATTAAACCGCATTACTTATTAAATTATTTGTTAATCCTGTTAATCTCTTAAATAATCGGATAATTTTATATTTTATTTTTAGTTATCTCATCATTAACAAAATGTATAATTAATTTATGATAACTACGTATTAATGAAATTTTGAAACCTGGAATATAAAGCGTCTATTTTTAAAGTAGAAACACTTCTTGAGAAAACATTTTCAAACACGCTGTTCTCTGTTTCGTTTCTTTGAAAGTTGTTTGTAATTTAAGCGGTTCCCCTTGTGGGAGCAACTGAATTACCATCGGCGCTTTAATAATTAATTGTAGCATGGCACAATATCGTACGATATTATCGTTTTTGTTTTGTGTAAAAATGCTATATAGTCAGAGGCATGAATTATGAATAATAATATATAGGTATATCCTGGGTGTTTCGACTAAAACATATGTGTTGCATTCCCTATACTATATTGAATACACAAAACTATTTATTTTCACAAGTTATTTTTTGTCTACATTAGAGATTGTGTTTCAAACACTAGAAATAATACTGTATTAATTATTCAACATATAATATGTTTGAATGATTAGCGTGTCTAGTACTTATAATGTACTATTTTTGTGAATCTTGTTAGTATTTACAAATACACAGAGATAATCAAGAGAGTTAGATCTTATGACCCGAATAACTACACGCCAGCATAAGTCATAATCAAGGCTAATCTGTGAAATAGCGTTTGGGTGAGTCGGAATTATGAAAATAATGTTGTCATGTCTGAGGCTGGATTATGTATTTGAGAGGACATTAAGATATTGTTATCTACTTAGATATACGTAGGTGTAAATTTGAATATAATTATGATAAACGCATTGATATTATAGTTCATTGTTAGTCACTTCTTATCAGTTATCATCAATAAAAATGATTAAAACGTTTTTGATTTAACGACGAAAGACATTTAATGATAACGCTGTCTATAAGCACTTAATTATTTCATATTTAGTATCTGTTTACCCTGACTTTGGCCGCGAGGAACCTAAACTTATTTTGGGTTTCTCGCTAATTTAAATACTCCATCTACTAATTTAACGGCGAACAATATATAGTTAGCTATATAGGTAGAGATTTTTCATAATCTTTATCTTAACATCATTATATTAAACTTTAATCCATTTTTACGAAAATTACATGGACTATGTAAACTATGGAACGCATTTTTTTTAATTACCACATAATATATTAAAGCAATTATACACACTACCATGCATTTAATACACAAACGTATAGAAGTTTGTGAGTAGGAACTTAATTAATATTCAAATTTGTATTATAAATTAATATGATACACATAATATTATGAAATCGTGAATAGGTGAAAAACGTAAGTAAATAAGTAACTCGAAGAATTAGTAGCATAGTGGAGGGTGATGGTAGGGGTTGATAATAATGGAGAATATTACCGCTATTGCTAGTAATGGAAACCATGGTGGTTAATTTTTGGTGAATTCATCACGTTGGGCTAACTAACCTGACTTTACCTATCTCCATCTTATAATACTCCACTGGTACCAGGGTTAGCGCAGGTGGGTGCATTATTCCATCATCATTCTAATAAAATATATAATTAATCATTTTAATAAGATTCAATATATCTATTCCTCCTATTTAATATTTTATTTTTTAATAAAGTAATACATCTTTATACTTGACTATTGTTCTTATTAGGTACATATCATCATGGATGGCACCTACAAATGTATACACACACGCAGTCATAGGCATAACTACAATAGTTTTTATAAACATGCGACAAATATAGAATGGCTAACGAGAAAAAACAATAATACAGAAAAATAAATGAAGAATGGTAGAAATAAATATGAGTATTAACAGGATACGTGTGTGTTATAAAGGAAAAAAAATCTAACTTCTATCGTCAACTATCCTTTTTCAATTGTCTAATATACCTAGATGTGCCATAACACGGCCTGTGTATGTCGCTGTTATATCTGAGGCTAATATCATGCTTACTATCAAATACTGATATGACACAAAATTAATACAGGACTTGAGTGGTGATATTTTCTATATACATATTTAACGACCTCGATGGTCTAGTGGTTTAACACTCCGCCTTACTTCCGATGACCGCGGTTCATTTTTTGGATGTTTTCTGTGTATAATACCTATGTATGCGTTTACGAAAAAAAAATGTATAAAAAAGCTTTAGCTAGCTTAACTTGGGTTTAGATGGCGCTGTGTGAATTGTCCTGATAGTATTACATATGTATATTCGTTATCGTACTGGATGTGTTAATATTGAAAAGTCGAATATGTGGCGATGTGTAAATTTTCAATATTAACCTTCCATCGCTATTGTGTTAGGGAATAGTAGGGAATCTAAGGAATTTGGCTTAGTGCATATGTAGATGTAACTTATACCTATCACCGACACAAGTTTCATAATATAGTATTTCGGGCATATACCCCAAATCAAAATGTTTTGAACTTTAGTTCTAAATGACAAAGTTTATTATTATATCTTTATAGTAAAAGAAATACTGTCAACTCAAAAGTCTATAAGTTTTGAGTCGATAGTATTTTATTTAATTATTTGGCGACATATTATTATTTAAACGGCATAAAAAAATTGTATACAGTTATATAGTTAATACATAAATTTATTGCAGATTCCAAATCAATACTACGAGGCAAGTTATGAAAATAGACAGCCAATTAAGCTGTCTATTTTCATAGCTTGCCTCAGACTCGCTGCTTCCGGAGATATTTGCTGGTCTTTAATATTTATCTGACCAGTGATTTTATTTCCTATTTTGTACGTTTATTCTTTAATTTTTAGTATCTAATCTAATAGTATCTACTTTTGTGACAATAGACAAGTAACCTATCTTTACCGTTGCAGCTAGACGTTAGTGTCTAAAAACAACGGTTCCTAACTATTAGGTCGATATGTATATCAGGTGGGCTGTCTAATAGTTTACCATTTATAATATTTGAAAATAAATAAAACATCCAGCTTAGAATAATTTTATTAATGATATTGACCTTGATTGCCCATGATATGACGACAAATATGATTAAAATATTCGCATACTTTGTTTATTTCTAATCATAAGTGTAGTACTTATGATTTAAAGTAAATGATAACAAATGTCTTGAATGAAACTAGATAACTATTCAGGTTTACTATATATTTATATTATATCGACCAAATTCAAGACATAATGTTTATCATTAAAATAATTCGTGAGGATAATTAAAAAGATTAGTGAAATTATTTTTACAAGTAAGTATTTCTTAACGATTTTTATATTATTGTCATTAAAAACAAAAGTAAATTTATATATTTTTTACTACAATACCAACGTGATGCCGAATAAAAAAATAGATTGCTACTTTACATATACGTAGAAATATATAAATTAAATCTACTAATCACTATGCCTTATCAATTAAGATTATCTCCTTTAAAACCACTGCAAATGATATCTAGCTTTCAGTATTGTATACGAGATCTGATTGTAGAGTGGTAATGGTTGAATTGAAATGTTAATTAATATATTAATGTTATTATATTAATTTCATAAAATTTATATTGTGCTCGTTATCATTTATTTCTTGGAGTAATTATTTAAATATAATGTGAGTATGCTACTGCTTTTAGCTTTGTTTTGTTAATATAAAAACGAACAAAAATATTTCTTTAATTATAGTGCCATTTTTACAAAGTTGGTCCGGGTATTTTCGTAGTTCGTTTCGTATTTCCGAGTCTTACGATTAAGCTAGTGTGTGTGAGAGTGTAGTTATTCCATTCATCTAGACTAATCTAGAAGACTAAACGCAACTACGGCTGGTATTCATAAAGGTGATCACAGGATTTTTATTATAAAAAGAGTAGGTATGTCGCTTTAGAAATGCTATTGCGTTTTTGGTGTGTAGAATTCGAGATTTTTATCATGCTAAATGCAAATTTATTTCGTATATTTCTTAGAAGGTAATGATAATTATATGGTTCTTGTAAAATGTATTTACGTGCTAATAATAACATTTGCTGTGCGTAACGCGGGCTTTAGTATTTTTTATTGCATCTCATCATCAATGAAATATTATAAATTAGAAAATATACTTATTTACTTCTAGGCTTGAACGCCTCAGTCCACTATCACAAAGTAACATACAGTTAATGTTTTGTAATATCCTATAAAAAAACTTTTAAATTAAGTTATTATCTAAAAATAAGTACACAAATTATTAATATATATATATATAGGAAAATAATTAATAATATATATAAAAATACGAAAATGTTCTTATTGGAATTTATTAGTGGTCTAATAAATCAATATTTATAGTCAGTAATATAAATTTATATATAATATATTTTAAAGATTGTATACATAGTTAAGTAATGGTAAATACTCATATTAAAAAAAAGTATTAAGATTTTAACAATAGTTTTCAGTTATTAAGCAAATGAATGCAAATGTAAATATTTTTTTGAATTTTGATACTTTTATTTAATTTATTTCGGAGTAAGTAATGATAATTATATGCTTCTTAAAAATATATTTACCTTAATTGTATTTAATTGTTTTCATTTATTATTAAGTATACAGCTAAGTATATATTAGATATGTCGTAATATTCTTTAATTTGATTTAACACGGCATAATTAAAGACAGCACTTTTTTATATTTATTCTAATTTAATATCACCTTTTACCTGCCTCTACCATGATACCATATTAGTTTAGAAGTAGGCTTCAAAACTACGTTCATATTTTGCATATATTATATTCAATATATTTGCACATATGTATTTATACATACATACAGGTTAAAGGGCACCCTTCTTTTTGATTTGTATGTGACATTTCGATAAAAGTGAGTTATCTGTATGAATCACCATTTTATTTAATGTTAACTTGGTAGGTCATGCGTTGGAGTTGTTGTAGTAGTAGGTTGTAGCAGGACAGAAATCTGGTATAAAATTGGAGCAGGGGATTGCTTCGGAGATCACCTCGTACGTAGCAAAATTATACTTACAATTAGTGTAGTGTACAGTAGCCTTGCTTATGAAGTTAGTATCGAGTGTAGGCCATTTAACCTCAAGAAACCTCGAGGCCAACTGCCGGAGTCATGGGCCGGACCCATGACTCCGGCAGTAGGCCTCGAGGTATACCGAGATGTTGTTGGAGTTGGTTAGTATTCCCCGCTCCCACCCTCCTATTTTGGTGGGTTGAAAAATTTCCACACATAATATGACATAACTTTTCTTCTTTCACTTTATAGGAATATATCTACTAGTTCTATTCGATCGAATTCATCGAGGTAGAAACTATGATCCAGTTTGTATCTTAGTACTCTAATCATTACATATAGTAGTAGTATAAAACAAAGTCACTGTCGCTGTCGGTCCCTATGTATGCTTAAATCTTTAAAACTGCGCAACGGATTTCGAAGCGGTTTTTTTAATAGATAGAGTAATTCAAGAGGAAGGTTTATATATATAATACATGTACACACCTGCAAAGCTGGGGCGATTGACTAGTAAATAGTAATAAAGTAAGTTGTAAAATCCCAAACCATAACTACAATTATACTTTCTAATTACTTGTTGTAGTACTTAATTCTGACTTTCACCTTAAATGCAAATGTTTAATATTAAACTCGATACCGCATAGCAAGACTAGACTTACGCGTTATATTTAAAAAAAAAATTGAACTACTTATTGCATAATGACATTAGGGATAATGAAGAGTTTATTTCAGTTATCTATTGGTAATAGAGTTATTTGTCAATATAAAACATTACAAAAGTTGTACAATCTGTCCCATTTCCATATGTTCCTTAACAACAAGAGTAAATATAATCAATTGCTCTTTATGATGATAAGTAATATATATACTTGAAAAATACAATGGAACTGTAATCGTTTTTTTATCAGTTGTCGGTGTTCATCTATCAAGTTTCGAGTACTGAGTACATATAATCAAAGCATACGGCATGACGGTATTTACTCACAATGAAGAAAGATATATTTTTCGGATAATAACCGTAATAAATATTTATTAATGTAGTGATTAGTAGACCTAAGATATATTCAATAATATTTACGTTTTTTCCCTAGCGCTACATATGCATAAATGCCCTTACTAGTGTGTCGCGTAGTCTTATTATTATTTTTAATGTCATAACTCAAACACAAGTAAATTTGTAATAATTAAAGGTTAAATAAATTATTGACATAACAAAATACCGAAAGTCATTTTAATAAATATGATACATATATTAGCAATTTTATATCTGATAGGTCGTTTTATCAATAAATAATTAAATTGCATTTATTTCTCATTAATTCTCATTAAATGGGGATCGAACAAAATGATGGCTTTAGCCAAGGTTTGGACCTTTATCTATGCCCTCAGACTGAAGTAGGGTACCTAGATAAGTCAAGCAAGGAGATTATCTTTTATTATCCATTATTTATTATTCTACAGACTAAATAAGATTCTCATTTATGCACTTCATGCTTAATGTTTATCTTACAGTACAATACAGTACATCCTGTATCCTTTGTATTCTAGGAGAACTTATAGACACAGGCAATAAAGATTTTATTTATGCGTATTAAATTTTATAATGATCATATTAACATTATAAAAAATCTTATTTTCAAAAGAATATTAGTTATAATATGAGCTCGTCGTGATTTCCTTCGCAATACTTTGATCTATGTATAATAATGATTGTAAAATTAACCTATGTATATAGATTTACTTCCACCAGACGATCAACGGACCTACCCTATATCCTACTATAATATCCGTTTTCTTTAAACATCCTCATTTTCAAAACATAGATTTAATCGGTATTAACAAGGATTAGTAATGATTATAATGTTAAATTTTAGCATTTAAATTATGATTTAATTTATTTGATTATATAAAAATTATTAGAGATAAACGATAACAACCGGACTTTTCATCAATATCGTGTAACGATACACCAATGACCACACTCGGTGAAGAAAAGTCGATAACACTCTACATTGGTGTTTCCTTATATTCATTCTTGTCAACTACATGCTATTTTTTTCATTTTATAATTGCATTATCGAACATATTTTGTCAGTTGTTATATTCGACGTAGAAGAGCGCTTTTACTTCTTTTTTATAATTTCTAGAAATGTTCCTTTAGAAATTTCTTTATTTATCGTTTATCGTCCTTTCATTCACATATTAGGTATTGACTTCATTAAAAAAATTATATAGTCGTCTCAATTAAGAGTATATTCCCTTATTTAGATTAATTTTAATTACATATTTACTTATTGGAAACACTAATATAAGATATTCACATATGAATTTAGTGAATTAGATAATCCTATGCAGAATTTTTGCAGTGCTTATATTAATTTGTCAATTTGCATATTGAACGTAAGAATAATAAGTAATATTGGACTCTAGAATCAATTAGATATCATATAAAGAGAAATTATTTATACAGTCCAATGTACCTGAAAAAATAATATAATCAGGAATATTAAAATCTCCACTAATAAGATAGATTAGATTATTTTTGCTGATTAATCTTAGCTCTGCAGCAAATATGATGAACGACTGCTTACTACAAATGTAATCTGCTAATAATTCTATTAAATTTAGATTATGGCTAAATTGAAATGAAATAACTACTAATATAAAATAAAATAAAATATATATATACTGACCTATGTAACATAATAAAAGAATTGATGTCAATAAATAAATAAATGAAAACCTTACCATTACATTATTTCCGATGAAGCCTGTGGATTGGTGAGATTAGAGATGATTATGGCAGGTACGTACAATTGGGGAGGTTTCATTACACATGCAATGTAACTCTTTAACTTGTACCTATTCAGATTATTAGCTTCAACTACGACGACCCTTTTTTTCGAACTAATGCTATTGGCATTTTAATTATTTTATTCTAATGCTGTTGGCCGCGGATGGGCTTTATGGGTTCACAGAACGATAAGGGGCGAGTGCAGATGGCACTCCAAACCCGCGAACTTATAGGCCGGCTGAAGGCAAACTTGTGCCTGACGAATACGATTTTATTCTGAGGATTTTGCTAGAGGTTCGAACCTCGGCTCGGCAGTTTAAATTGGTCTGTTAGAGGAGCGACCGTGGGCGTTGTAGTTGAATGTGCAGGCGTCCGGTAGATTGCGCTGTATGGTGAGGTGTCTTCGTCTTCGCCGGCGAGGATGGCGTCGTATGCGTGCGTGTGTGATCCGTGTGATGGAATGGTTCACGATCAGATCACGATTCAGTGTCGGATTTTGCAATAAATGAAACAGCTTTGGCGGCATGGCTCGTCGTGACAGAATCTGAAATATGTGCAGTCTCGTAAGTAAATAAACAGTAGAGTCGAATATTAACTCAATTACCAATCGATTTTGACAAACTAGCTAACCTATGTAGAAAAAAGATAAGTTTGAAGATATACATAATATCGTATAATACTCCTATTTTTCACGTTTCATGTGATAATGGTTAAATAATAAACAATTACTTTTGCACTTATTATTTAAATTGTAGTATAAACCAACAGTTATTTACTTGTTACAAAAGTTATGTTCAATTGCCACCATGTATTATTCAACGGTATTTTGTTTATATGTAGCATGGCATCTACATCAGATTTATTTTTATAATCGATAGTGACTACTTCTACTTCAGTAATGGCTTCACTAGGGTTGTTACTGTTTTCTTGAGGTTTACATTATTAAAATACACCAACTAAAACTAAAATCTTTAATAATGTATATGTACTTATCTAGATAGTCATCTATAGATAAATAAACTACTTGTTAAATTGTAATTTATTTTTTTAGTACAATGTTGTAACTAATACATTACAATACATTGTATTAATAACATGTTATAATAATGAAAAAGTGTAATATCAGTAATGTATTTCCTATATACGATTTTACTTTAATATCGTACTTACATACAATGACATTGAACTCTTTGCCTCTGTTTGAATTACTAAGAGCAAATGAGTGAAGTAGAGTTCGCCTATGATACTTTAAAATCAAATCGACATGTTTCGTTGTTGTGAATTAAAACTTTATATAGATTAGAAATCTGTGGTCGCCGAAGCTATTAGTTTAATTATAGATGACTTTCGAAATCTACGTCATTGATATACCTATCTATGTGGATGCTATCTGAACTAAACTAAGTGTAAATTAGCCACGCTTTTAATAGTTTCGTATAATTAGTAATAACATCAATGCTTCTGATTTTCGAGGTTTGTTTTATCAATGAATAAGAATGAAATGGTGCACCCAATTGTGTTAACATAAAACTTAGCGGGGCACCAGTAGAGGAGATGGATGTGATGTCTGGTCAGTTAGCTATAGTGATAAGTTCAGAAGTCATGAATCACAATGGTTTCTGGGATCAGATAGGGAATTCATGAGTATGATTGTTTGTATATTACTGTGTATTTAAATATTTATCTCTGCTGGAATTAAATGGCGTTGTGTGAATTGTCCAGGGTTATTTTTGTTATTATTATTATTATTATTTAATAATAATAATAATAACAAAAATAACCCTATTATGTAATATTATCTTATTTATGATCACGAATAAAATAATATTAGGCCTTATTATTATTTCTACGATTTTAGAAAAGTAAATCAAAATAAACAATACCATAGGGACTGGTCTGCTCTAATCACTATGACTGATTTCCTCTTATTAATTGTTTAACCAGTTGGTTATGTATTCAATATTTTTTTCTTTTTGAGTATTTAATTGAATTAGTGCTAATCGGTGGTTTGTATTCACACACTTAAACTTAAATTGTAAGTAAGAATAAATTATTTAAAAGAGCAACACACAAGTTTCTTGCTTGTTCTTCTTGTGATGAGACAGCATTCCGAATGAGCGGTAGATTAAAAAAAAAATGTTATGACTATTCAAAAGTGCTTCAATGTAAGTTTATTTGAATAAATGATTTTCTATTCTATTCTATTCTATTCATAAAGAAAAATTTTCAATTGATGTAATTCAAGTGAAAAGATATACTATATCACCATATATTATTTAAAACACTACATAACATACGAAATTTCAACCCAAGTCGAAGGCGAGGGCTTAGTAAAGTTAAGTGTGTTAAATACACACGCATATCGTATGACGTTTTTTATCTTTAATCTAAAAATGTGGCAATTTTTTAATTTATTTCAGACTAGCTGTTCCCAAGACTTCGTTCGCGTGGAATTCAAGTTTATTTTTCTAAGATAAAAGTAGCCTAAGTTACTCCTTATTACATCAGCTACCTGCCAAAAAAAGTCCCGCCAAAGTCAGTCCAACCATTTCAGAGATTACCCGGAACAAACAGACAGACAGACAAAAATTGTAATAAATGTTATTTTGGTATTTATATTCATATACATGTAGTAAAAAACGGTCATTTCAATATTACAAACAGGCACTACAATTTTATTTATATGTATAGATAACGTTTTATTTCCGTAGTTGAATCTAGAAACATTATATAAATTTTTATCCAAATAAATACGATTTTTAACATAACTATTGAATTTACACTGTATGATTAAAACGAACACTTTAGGAAATATCTTATTTTTAATATTGGACCCTTGCAAAATTGGGGCGGGTTGCTAGTGTTAAATAAACTCAATCATGAAACTGTGACAAACGTAGCTTTCCTGCCGTTTTACGTTTTTAAATCAGCGCGCTGTCTATTGGCTAAGGCTCGGTCAGTTCGAAATTTGAAAAATTGCAAAAAGTACAGTGGTTTTGGAATACTACTTGAATACTATTTGCGTTTATAACTACGTTTTGTTTATATATAAAAACGGATGAAATAAGATGCAAAGCGTATTAAAAAATACATTATTTTATGAAATATGAATGTAAAATTAATTAAGTTATACATGGTAGTTAATTAATACCACATTAAATTTCCTTGGCCATAGAAAATAAAAAAGAAATATGTATATATAGAATTAAAATTGGCGGGAAACTGAGGACCGATTTGGACCAATAGGAAGAGCTTATACTTTTTGCATGAATTAAAAATAGACCGTACAATCTACGTAAGCCCGAAAACGTAAAAAGTGGGAAAACTCGAACCGTGAAATATTGGTGAGGTTTTTCTGATTTCATTGTTCTGATATGAATACACACAACAATACACTATTAACAATATTCTGTCAATGAAAATTTATATGAATACGAGTATTGATTGAGTCATTTTTAAGATACCGAATCAAGACAAATATAATGAATAGTTTATTAATTATCGTAAATAGTTACAGGGTTTTACTATATTTTTCAGCTAATTTAGACGGATTTAGCTAGTTAGTTGGACATGTAAATACAATGAAGCTGACAAGTAACACGTGGTGATGTGAAGCGTATCCTAATTAGTTTAATATCATGGTTATATTTCAGTCACCTATTAAAATTTCATTTCAGATATTATGCGCATTCGCGTAATTATATTTCTATTGTTCAACTTACATGCTATTTAGATATTATTATAATACTAGTATAATACTAGGATAAAGCATTATTATGATAACAAAGACACTGATTATAGATGCGGAATTAAATAATTTAAGGTAGGTTTCATTACATAAAAACATACAAAACATATATTAGGATTATACATATACATAAATAATAAATGAACGTGCCATCATCATCAACTTTTATTATATTTCAAATTAAATGAATTCAGTACGATTTAGATATCTAGTTTTTATGGATGAGAATACGAATCTAGGAGCTTGTGCAAAATTTATTAAAAGTTATTTTACACTGAGTCGTGCATCTGTATAGGCCTAGTATTCTATCAATAGAACATCGTCAAAATATTACTGTTTATTTCATTATGTCATTTAGCTGATTGAAATGCCTACTACATCGCCTCGCTATATATATCGGCTTATATATAGTAATACATAATGAAAATCTTAGTAAGATTTTAACTTAGTAGCTCCTCTCCATGTGAATATGTATAGCTATATGGACTTAGTGATTTCTGTACAATAATTAATTTGTATTATCTGGTTGTTACTGGTGTGCTAAGTGATTAATAAATATCCTCTCTTTTAGATTGGGACATATACTTATATACTCTCTTTTGATGTAAATGATTTTACCACTATGTGGTTAATAGTATTTATTTATATATAATCAGAGTAGGGCCAGGTCCTACTTTTCAAACACATAACCCTGAATACTTGAGTACTGATGGAATTATGAAACTAAAATATGGTGTTTGTAATACAGCAACTATCAACGTCGTATTGACTTCCCCAATTCTGCAGTGTAGATGGTATCTACGAACTACACTACTCAGTTACTACTTGAGTATGTCGTGATGTATTTACGGGATCATAGGATCGAAACGGGTTTTTGCCCATACGCGCGTTCTGGTGTCTATTCAGCAATCATGCTGAAGAGACACCAGAACGATATCACTTCTATCTAATGCTTCTTCTAATGCTATCACTTCAAAGTCATATTATTGAGCCCTTAAGTGCTCTGCGGCCGAGTAATTCTATGATTTCATTTAGGACTTCATTCTCCACGGTTTGATCTTTAATATCACCCTAAAGAACCGAAAGAGCACGTCTTTACAATGTGTGTATTATAAAATCATGTTTTCATTTTAGATTTGTGGAATAAAAATATTTCGAGTACAACTGAAGACAGAGAAAATGCTTTTGCAAGGACAAAGTGTTATCGCCTACTTGAGTTTGATTCTAGTTTGGGTCACTTTCAGTGATGCAGCGGAAATACTTAGTAAGTTTTTAATAATTCTCGAAAATACATTTTGAAAATAAAAAATCATTCAGCATTAAAAATATATTGACAGTACAAATGACTAAAGTTAATTACGCGAAGTGAATATTGAAGCGCAATATCTATATCTACATAATTGGCCCATGACAGTGGCGCATTGACAACAAAACATGTGTAGGCACTTTCTCATTAGATTTAGTAGAGGCGTCATTTTGGACACTCTTATCATATATGTGATTGCTAATCTGTATCTGAATCTGGATTATTAAGGGAATATAATGATTGGTCCATCGTTAGTTATCAGACTATCTAAAACTGAGCTACATTCAGAAACAAAGTTTCTGCAGTACAACGCACAGACTACACGTGTTTAGCGATCATTTCATTCCATTAACAAATGTTTTGTTACAGACGCAACCGAAGATTTTAACAATTTATTGATGATCAATAGAAATGGTGAATCCGTATATATATCATATGAATTAATGAACAAGTTGACTTTAGAGCAGGAGAGTTGGCATCTGAAGCCATGGTTACGAACAAGGACTGCGGTATTAGATGGAGTTGTAAATGATATTTCTTGTTTCGAAGACCCTTCTAGTAATAATTTTCCTGAAGGCATATTTGATGGTAAGATTTACTGGTAATACTTTAAATAATACATTTCGTGCGTTATTATTCAGATTGTTATAGTTTCATGGCTCGATTGCTTATACTGCACTGCTATTATCTCATTTTACTATTGTTTACACTAACAAGTGGGCTCATATTCTCGAAAGAACATGGGTCTGATTTTATAAATTAGGCTGCTCTTCGAAGTGATTACAATCATACCCTGTAATTTTACTGTAAAATTATCTTTACAAATTGAAACATGGCACAAAACAATTCTTATGCTGCCTATTTTTTTAGTTCTTTGATAATAAGTTTATATTTATTGGCCGATACGAACACATATCTCGACCGCCGTTATACGAACCTGTTCTATGTCGTCGTCATAATAATGAGAAACTCCAATTAATTTATTACTTGTGCATTGTTTAAGAATCCATACGTAACAAGAGTGAAAAGAAATAGAATATTTTTATTTCTTCTGTTGGATGCAAATATCTACATAAAGTATTATGTTAGATTAAATCGTTGTAATTTAATTTATCTTGAGGAAGTCGAGAAATTAATTATTACAAAAATTTTAATTGGTTTTTAATTAATATTAGAATTAGATAATTTATAAAGCCGAATCACACTTGTTACGTTGTATACTTAAAAATAATTAATCTATTCGCGCACAATTTTTTTTACTTTCGTAATGACTTGTTATGTGTCAATTCTGGAGACCTTTGACTCATTCATGGGCCAGCTATTTATCGACCTGATCTATCTGATTGTGATAGGTCTTTGTCTAGGTCGTCTAGATTTATCGAACTTACCCTAGTCGCATTATGACAACAAGTTGAAGTTAATTTTTTGAATAATATTTACATATAATTTTCTTGATCATTTGGGAAAGTATGGTAATTATGATACCGTTGTGTGGTTGAACGATTATTAGGTGCATTATCAGCATAAGAGCATTTACCATTACAATGTATAAACACGCACAATGCAGACAGATCACTTTTCCACATTAGTTTGGCTACAGAATGTTATTTGTAATCCATGTTACCACAAGTGTTCGTATTGTACGATAAATGAAAGGCGTAATAGTAATATGTTGATATACAGTGCTGAGCCAAAACTACGCATTATTGTTATGATAGCATATTATATAAAACTTATTGAGTTTTATATAATATGCTATCATAACATAACAATATCAACTTGAAATTAATTTTATAATTTAGTGCATAGTGATGATCAAGAATAATACATGTTTATAAGTTTATTTCTATTTTATTTTTTAGTGAATATGTGTTTATAGTAACTCTGTATAAAAACGCTAATATTTTCAGAGGACCAACTACGGAAGGGGGCGTTTTTGTTATATGCATTATTTGGAATTTATACGTTTACATTATTAGCAATTGTGTGCAATGACTACTTCATTCCGAGCGTAGAGTTTATATGTGAAGATTTAAAAATACCGCAGGTTAGTTATTTTTGTTTCCTGTACTTAAATAATTATGAAGGCAAAGCACCTTAACTCTTATGAGAACTAATAATACGTGAGGTTATGACTATAATACGTTCATGAACTTAAGAGCATGGTAAGCATTGTCATTAAGGAATTCGGGTAGAAAATTCTCTATGTTAAAGTTTCGATAATATCATGCTACCCAGTTTGATGTTAACCTCAAATTAATAAAATAATTACAACTGACAATTTTTAATTACATCTCATTTCTAAAATACTAACTGAACCTGCGAACGTTGTTTTGCCTTATAAATTGAACTCGCTATTAAAAAATAGGGGTTGGTGATAGAAGGGTGAAATTTCAGGCTTGTGTGTATTTTTAATTCATATTCACATTATAATAAAAATAAAAAACATATCCATAAAATATATGTTAGTGGTGAACAATCCTTATTACTTGTAGGATTGAATAATTGATAGTAGCCGATTCTCAGACCTACTGAATACAAAATTTCATAAAAATCGGTCAAGCCGTTTCGGAGGAGTAATAGGAGTAATAGTTCTAAATAGAAAAAAGTAGTTTCACCTGTATCCGTTATTGAGTTTAATATCGCTTCGATTATTATGCGTAATAATTAGATAAAATATTACAGTTCTTGAAGTAGATACCTTGCATAATTAAGATATGTTGACACTGATTAGGTACTTAATGATAAAGAAAACAAATGGATTGTAAATCGATGTAGTAGGTTGTGTACTGATTTGAGGCCATTCCTTTATATCGATACCAGTGATGATGTAGGTATATGGACGGATACCTAAGTTAATCTCGAACTATATATTACTACCTATGTGATTTCTGTATTACATATATAACACTGTATCTATATGAAGAACAATGAAGCTCATATAGCCCTGGGGGAAAACCAAGCCTGCCTTATAAATCTCACAACGAATTTAATCAAATGGAGGTATACTCGTAGCGCAGTAGGAAACAACAATATATAAGTGAATAGAATATTATTATTATAAAACGCTACGCTATACAATGAAATTATGTTGATCAGTTGTATCTACGACATCAATAAAGTAGGTAATATAACCAACTTTCGTCGTTTTGAAATTTAGACAACTATCTACTTTATTTATATTGAATTTTTGTTACCAAAACGCTCTTATGTTATGCGATATTTTGTAATTATACTAAGAGAATAAATTTACTTCAAAATAAATACGAGTGAATCACCCTTATCTCTTTTTATGAATTCATATAGTCTTGGACATATGATCAATTTAATCATTTACTTTTAAATATAATACACATAGTATATGTTATTACAAAATATCAATGACCACTACACATATCCCATAAGAGATTACTTGATTGTATAAGATATTTTAGGTAAAGGTTAAAAAACGAAACTTTTATTTAATAATATTTTTGTACATTTCAGAATGTGGCAGCGGCTACATTTATGTCCGTGGCCACTTCATTTCCAGAGTTTTTTGTTAACGTAATATCAACATTTCTCACTGAATCTGACATGGGAATAGGAACAATTATTGGATCTGCAATTTTCAATGCTCTCGGCGTTGGTGCCATAGGCGGTCTAGCCGCAGTACATGTAAGTTATAAGTTATTGTTCTTTAGACCTATTTAGAAACCATTTTTTTCTTTTATAGAAATTGAATGGCAAACAATATTTAATTGATGATAGTATCTGATGGATAAGTGTTAGGTAATTTTCTTCTTATCTTTTAAAATATTAAAGTCTCTAGTGATACTACTCGTACATTGTTCTTCTGAAGAACTAAGATGTTATGATCCGTAATCTCACGATTTCCCTAACTTATCTCATCCTTCAAATGACTTTAATAAGCAAGTTGCTTGGCTACTGAAATAAGTGACACAGATAACTTAACTAAGCGGACGCCATTATTTTTTGTATAAAGTCGAAAATAATTATATAAAACAACATTCAATGCCTAAATTGAAATAAATGTTTAAATAGGTTTTGTCTATAAAGTATTAGTATACTTTATAGACAAAACTAGTCACAATTCAATATAAAATAGTTTATCTCTTAACTAAACCTACATTTATATCGTTATCGCGTACTATATCTAATACTCTAGTAGTACACGTATGATATAGTCTGTACGGTTCCCATAAACTGATAATATGTCATTGTGTGTAATTACCGGTGTACATTATAATATTTTCCATTCGTTGTTGACACATAGATAATGGTTCGTCATTTTATTGAAAGTCACTTACTATATTTTTGATTACTTGTTGTGTAAATGAAAATATTTTATTTATTTACAGTTTACAATACTTAATTATTTAAAATATTTTCGCTGTTTGAAAATTTTACGTACAGTTGCATTGAGGTAGGCGGGTCAGATATTGCAGTGAAATTACTGGGTATGAACACATGCAGGTATGTGTAATCCCACACACATCAACACATAATAATATGATGTTCATTTATACAATTGAGTGTTATCATTTACCGTCAGATTACAAGGAAAAAACTATAGTAATTAAAGTTATATTTTGTTCAAAATGTTAAAGACCGCATGCTCACCGGATGATCATCCGTCAATTTAAATGAAATAAATCTCGGAGTTAAAATTATTGTACACTAAAAACATATTTAATAAAATAATATACGTATTTAACATAAAAAAATGCCGGTTCCTATGTGATAAAGATTTTTTAATTCAACGTGTTAAAAACAAATGCTTTTTAAGACAATAATATATCGATTTTTTATTTTCTCGCAGTCAATTGCAATCGAACCTCAGCCAGTAACTAGAGATGTTATAATATATATGGTCAACGTTAGTGTCCTGGTAATATTTGTGTGGGATGGACAAATTGACTGGTACGAGGCAATGGTACTGGGCATACTATACATTGTCTACTTTGTGATAATGTTTAACAGTCTAAGACTATTTGCTCTTTTCGACAAACTATTTGGAAAATGTATTCCTAAAGGTTCATGTAAGTAATTCAATTATAATATTAAAGTATACATTTTTATTAACTATAATCTTGTTCTGTATTAGAAAAGGCCGCGCCTTATTTTATGTAGATATATATTATTATTATATGTAAATTTATTGTAGTTAATAAAAGAACTCACAATTTTTTCTTCGGGGAGTTAGGGAAAAGGATAACCAACTGTAAAAGTATTGCTTTCACTGGAATATTAGGCTTCATTTCACATTAATAATTTTCTAGCTATACAAAATATACTCAGATACCACCAGCTCATGCTATATAAAAAAAATATTCATACAAAACCACACTTCTCTGTCTATATTTGTATCAAGTATCTACTCGTATGTCTTAATGCACAAAAATAATTTATTTCTTTATTTAAAATTAATGTACGCAGTACAGTATGATTTTACAGTAGAAGTTATTTACCTATATATTAATTTTTATATATTTTCAGCCTCTGTCAATACTATTGATACATCTCTTAACGAAAATAATAACAAATCTGTTGAGGAAGGATTTGATAATAAAGAAGGCGAAGCCAATAAAACAGTCAATGGATCTACCAACGATAAGGCTATAGCTGCTGAAAATGGTAATGATTCCATTTATAATACAATAAGTTTAATCAATTTGTATGAATAACAATACATTTTTTACAACTAATTTTGTTTATATATTTTAGTTGAAGAAACTGAGTCGAAACCACCGACAAGTTTATGGCGATTTCCTAAAGAAAAATCGTTGATTAAAAAAATATGGTGGCTCTACACTTGGCCGCTTAAACTAATTCTCGGATTGACTATCCCTTCGCCTGTGAAATATAGAAAATTATATCCACTGGCATTTTTCATGTGTATCGTATGGATTGGAATAAATTCATATTTCGTTACTTGGAGCATGACTGTTATAGGTATGTTTTGTATATACTCGTAGAATATAAAGGATAGAGACTAGCTGCGTCTCTGACTCTTACCTATAATATCTCTAAGTGAAGTCTACCACACACAGTTTTATAGATTGCCTTACAGATACAGTGATACAGATATACTTTTTAGTTAAGAAATATAAAAAAAACAGATAGCTCGTTATATTTAAGTAAACAATATGTATGATGTATATTTATAACAGGCACTAAATGACTAATAGTTTAATACCGGAAAGATTAAAATGTGTGCTAGATATAAATTTGTCCAATTGTTGTTTATGGTATATTGACTATAATAATTGATATTATGTATATACCATATCCATTTATTAATTAATCAACAGATTTTAAGTTTTGGTCTGATATTTTATTACATACGCTAACGTCAATTTTACTAATATTATAAACGCGAAAGTTTGTGACTATAGATAAATGTTTGTTATTATTTCAAGTAAAAACTACTAAACAGATTTTGATGAAATTTTACAATAATATAGCTTACACATCAGAATAACACGTAGGTTACAATTTAAAAAGATACTTTGTAAATTAGTCAAATAATTGTAATGCAGTCGAAATTGCGCGGGTCAGCTAGTACAAGATATAGTAATTGTATGTTGCAATATTTCATTTTAGGTGAAACCTTCTTCATTCCTGAGTCAGTGATGGGAATGACATTCTTGGCATTCGGCGGATGTTTACCAGAGGCTTGTTCTATATTCATCATGTCTCGACGAGGTATATATATATATATATATACATATTTATGAATTATATTATAATGATATATTAGTATTCTGGTAGATTAAGGTTTATCTAGAATATATTATGACTAAAATAGTATACACTTTGGATTGGCGCGGATGTTAAGTAAAAATAGTCTCATATTTATATAAGTATATTGAATATTTATAAGCGATCTACGATGCAACGATCTAGGAAGCGATCTAGAGTGCTTCTCATAAGGGCTTCGATATCGCCTTTGATTCTAGTATCGCATGACCGTGGAGACTTTTTATATGAAAATTTAAATCTAGTTTCACAAAGTTGATCGTTATCTTACAATAATCCTACTTGTCGTTTACCGAATTGTAGAGCTTGCTACAATACCCGTATGACATAAAGTTAGTCAGTAGCTAATATATGTAAAGCGGAAAATTCCACAATACCGTTTTGATATGTCCTCAATAAGTATCTAACATTAACAAAATTAACAGATAATTTCATTACCAAAGCTTTTAGCGAATTTATTATAGCTCTATACGTTTATATTAATATATTTATTGAATTACTGCATACGTAGAATTAAGTAATTTCATGCAGTGATGAATGTCAATGCATATGATATTGAATTTATAGAATATATTGTTACTGTTGAAATAACTTTCATTTATTTTTTACAATTTAACTTACAATTTTACATAATAATTTTGATTTTTTATAACATTAGAATGGCTGACAGTATTTAAATCATATTTATCCATTGTCCAATATATTTCAATTAATAGATAAATATATATATTTTATGCGTAATAATAATATAACCTCATTATAATGTGTCAAATTCCAATATAAATTGGATATGCAATGTCTTATGTATTATATCTTAGATAAATGATGATAACAATCTGTGATGTATATAGATAGTATGTTAGTACACAATTTTATTGCATTCCTAAGAATGGCTAAGGCGAATATTTATAATGATGTTTGACTGCGAAGTTTCAAATTTATATAAATACCTGCGAATTGATTTAGAGGCGTTATGGAATTTTAATAGATATTTGCATAAATATGTTCGATAAAACAATGGCAATATTCTGCGCATGCTTTGTTATTTTTTTTCTATACACACATCAATCCCATATTATATTTCCAGGCTTCTATCTTATTTTCCACGTTTTTATTTTACATTTTATATCCATAATCTTACCTATAATTTTTCTTTAACCTATAAACTACTAATTACCAGGTGTACCTATTTATTTTTGGGCTTTCTTAGTTTATATTTCTTCTATTATGACATTTTTACATTTTCCTACATGGCAGTAGTCTTTGCTCTATATATATGTGGTTATATAGTCCAGTAAGAATGTAATGGATAGTTTTTGTTAACAATAAGTATTTATATTGTTTCAGGCGAAGGCGGCATCGGTGTATCGAATGCGTTGGGCGCGAACTCTTTAGCGATATTGTTTGCATTAGGACTGCCGTGGTTGATCAAAACTTTGGCAAACGTCGCCCAAGGTGCCGATCAGACGGCCATCTTAATTAATTCGGCTGGAATTGACTTCATCGTGGGCTCCCTGCTGGTGGCTGTCACATGTTTATGGATTACTTTATACCTTGGAAAGTTTAAATTAAGAAAATCTGTTGGAGCCATATTAGCAATTCTCTACGTTATATGTATAACTTTCGCGATTCTTGTCGAGATGGGTGTTATTTTTGACAGGGGACTCGAAAATTGTTGATCCGTGCGGCTCGTGTTGTAGTGCGTCGTTGATTTCTAACCACTGTTATTAGTGTGTTATTTACATTAACATTGTGTGGCAGAACATTACAATTAGACAAAACTTGGCTTGAAGTGTCAATTGAATTGTAATATTTATGATTTTAATTACAAATATATGTGCAGTAATTAATACATACACCCAAAGCAAAGATTGTTTGTGATTACTTTTGGTTGTTATAGTTCATATGTCTACTTAAGTACTATTAGGATGAATGACTTATTGCATTTGCGCAATGCCCATAATAATGTCGAATTGGATTGTGATTGAATTTGGATGTGAAATATTGATGATGATCTCATCAAGCCAGGTCTTTAATGGTGTTGGTAGAGAAAACAAGTATTTTTTTTACAATTTGGAGTTATTTGATTAATTTAATATGAAAATTCAAAAAATATATCTACAAATATAAGTAGCTTTCGAAATAAAAATAATAGTATGTGAATATACGTACATATACTAAAAAATTACAGAAAAAAATACTGATTATAAATGTCACATATGAAGTCAAATATATTATAAAATAGGATCATAAGACGCTGTTAATTTTATTTTATATATTCTACAGCACCGTTTTAAATATATATCTTCAAATATTGTGATTTAGAATGAAATGACAATAAGGAGAGTGTCAATGATGTCTGTGATGTTAGAAATTAATTTAGATCTGAAATGCGATACGTATCGTATATACGAGAAATGCATTAGCGTGCATAAATCATTGAGGTATTATGCTCTAATGTAAGTCCTAGAAAAGATACATTTGCTATAAGTGTCTCTATGGATTGCGGCATCAGTGCCGCTATTATACTCAGTTCCTAGACGCTCGCTAGTGTAGTCGCGTCTGAAAAATAAACGTAATCTGAATAATATTCCGTGTTGTGTAATAAAATATAATACATACATATATACTATAATTCAAGAAATAATTAAATCAAAAAGAGTAACTGTTTATTATGTTCCCTAAGACTCGTGGCGTTTGTTGTTATTCGTTGTTTATATTTGTCTTTTCCTTTATATACTTTTAGACATAATACCTCAATGTAGGATCAACAAATTTGTGTTATGTATATAAATCTATGATTAGTGATTTTGAAAATGTATGTTATATTTGTTCCACTTTTGGTTTAAGTTGTCGATTGCTTAACCCCTCTTTCCCTCATGTACATAAAAAGTGGATTTAAATTGGTTACTACATAATATACTACTTATTTATTTACATATTCGTTTTTCTAATATACATTCTTATATACATTAACGAAATAAGAGTATGTAAAATTTAAGTAAGTATGTATATTGGCTTAGACAGAAATGATTAAGATAAAATTCCAATTCGTAACCAGTGGTAGTATTTAAGTAAGGAAACTCTAGAACTTTAACTAATATGTCTGTAATTTTGAAAACTAAAGAAAATATGAGTAACTTGATCAATTTATTGCAAGTAAAAGAATTTTCAGTTTAAGCTAGTATATTAGTACCAATATTTTCATAGTATCGTCAATAAAATGATTTGAAATATTTATTATCGACTTTAATTTATTTACTAAAATAGTCACTGATAGTAATTGCATTCCATTATTATAACGACCCTTTATTGTTCTTTTTCCGGATATAGGTTTCTCCTCATTAGAAAGGGATTTAGTTTAGCATTACCATGATAGTAAGGAGATTTGTAGAAGGGTTTATTTCGGCGAGGTACGTCTATTGCAGAGGTATATTTGTCCGCACTTTGTTTTTTTACTGTCTTTTCTACAATATCTTGGAGATGAAAAGGTTATTTATTAATAGTCTTCCCGTATGCACAAACGGTATATGCTTTCGAGGGAATTGGTGGAGGATAACAGGTACAATAGCCGTTAACTTTGAAATAGTCTTAGGGCGGAGACGTTGGTTATAAATAGGGATTCCCATTAATAACAAGAACCAGAAAAGAAAAGGTTTCACACACATTGATGACATTCTGTAAACGTATAAGTAGTAGCCGAAATAACTAAATATACTGTATAAGGGAACTACTTATAAAGAAGATAAAGTTAATTCTGTTTTATACCAAAAACTGTCAATTTCTAATTATATAACATTGACGTAATTATCATAGACTCGGAAGATGGTAGTGAATAAGACTGGTAAGATACGGGAATTAGACTACTTAAATTATTATACAAAAATAATACAGAATAATACAGAAATAATAATAATACTTACCTCACATGGACAGTACTAAGGAATGCCCAAAATTTTATAAAAAAAATTGTGGCGATACTCGTTGTTTATATTGTTTATGTTATTAGTAATAATAATTTTTAAGCAATCGTTCTCAATTCTTTGCCAGTACCATCTAATAAATATTTTATTCACTGAGATAAAGAGACTTACGTTACGTGACAGTTCTTAGTCATATTATTGGAAGTAAAGATATACAATATAATACAATAACATTAATAGTGCACATTGGTATTGAAATAAAACACATATGCTTTGGTACGTGATAATAATTTATTTAATAGTGTTTTTATAACATATTTTATCTAGGCTAAGAATAGTACATATGTAATATAACATATTTGTATACAATTACGTGTATACGACCTTACAGGACTATCGATTAAACATACTGCCTTATCTTAAGATATTATCGAGTTAGATCCCTGCATAATACACACTCTAGTGTTCATGAGCATCATGTTTTTTTATTAGTAAAATGGCAAACAAGCTGCCGGCCCGCCAGATGGTAAGCGGCAAGCGACGTATAAAAACATGAAAAGAGCACCATACAGACATAAGTGTCCAGCTTCCGTACTTAATAATTTCACTCTCCTATCACACCCGTCAACAGAAAGACAACATGTAAATAAGCTAGGCTGTCTGTTTATATTAGTCTGGGTGTTTATTGTTCATACTATATATAATTAAACAAAATAACATATTTGAGTTCTGACTAGACGAATCATTGAGAGTTGCATAAATATTTCTAACAATAGGTAAATTTCTTTTTATACGTGTGGCATACAAGCTGTATTAACACTTAAATTAACTAACTTAAATCGCCTTATGTGAAGTGTGTTCATTTGCAATTCAGTTTGTCCCTTTTAATGACCTCATAAATTGTCGGGTTGGAAGCTAGCATAGCCTTTATGGACATCAAAGCATTCGCCACATTAGAAGTTCGTTAAAAATGCTACAAAAGAATGTTTTTCTCTCCAAAAATACATTGTCGGTACCGAATACCTTTTATTGTACTCGGAAATATGTAAGATCAACAAAATTTATGTTGAGATGAAACATTTCTGCTTTTAAAAGTCTCAGTTATTCTTAATTCTAAATAAATGTCTGACTAGATTTGTTATTGTAAATGAGATAATAGTAGTATAGAGATTGTTATAAATACTTATTAGTTAATTAATATCTGTCATTTACAGCTATACAATATATAATATACTTGTAATATAATGCGCTTGTAGTGAAAAACGTAAAAATGGCTACATGGAATGTTAATGACAGTGTTATTCGTGGCTATTACAATTTCTGAAGGAAAATTCGCGGAAATATGAAAATCATGTTTGTATTTTTATGGAATTTTCTGTCTGGACTTGTAATAGATTTTGTAATAATGAATGGACTCCTGAAACATTTTCCTTGACTATCCAAGTCTATTGAGTAAATTTAATGTTCAATAATTTTGAATACATATGTTTCATATAGTCAAAGATTTAAATTAAAACATGTAATTTACTATACACTTGTATTAGGCATACCTAGTCAGTTTATATATAATTTAATAACTACCTACCTATCTGCTAATTGCTGCATGTTTATTATATTAACAACAACATTGGAAATTCTAAAGTATTCACAGGACATAGTTTTATATAAACCTAGCTGAGCTTGAAACGTAGTAACTGTACTATTACGTAGTAACAATAGTTCATAACATTTTTGAACGTAAACCAAATGGAATGAAACAATCGCAACATTTTATGTGAAGCTTACTATAAAGCATTGGTGGAAACCGCGTCCAAAATTTTAGTTTATCTGCGCGTTTGTTAACTTGCAAAGTTAAATAAACAAATTAAAATTATACAATACTTCTATGACAACTGACAAACTACTCCAATATACTATCAAACTTTGGTTTTGATATTATTATACGTCGATGAAGTCTACTAATTATAGTTTTTTTCATGTATTTTCCATATATAGACAGAGTGGTTACATTTATTATAATATGATTAAATATGAATAGGTGGATAAGGATATTTTTAACCAGAGTTACATATTTTATACTATATTTTCTCTTGTATTTACCATGCTTTCTCCACCTGTTATCCCTGCAACAAGTACACATATAAATATTGAGGAACAATTTGCAACTGACCTTTGTTCAAAGTTTTATTTAAACTAACTGGACTGTAGAAATATTTTATATTTTATGGCTAAAATCTTATACTTATTTTCATTACTGCGTATAAAATTAATAAAAAGTAGTGTATTAGTCATAGGTATTTGCTAGAATTATGAGAAATAAAAAAGAAAAACTCAGATACTTATTGCATAATATTATTCAGTATATTACTGAATGCTAGGCAACCTATCTCGATTTTAAATATTTTAGTTCAGTTATACATCTACTAATTAAAGGGTAATAACCTACATAAATAGATAAACAACAAAACAAGAAATTATTTTAGAATAAAATAAATTTAAGTAACTTAGATTTTAATAATTGTTTTAAATAAATCTGTTTTTCCTATATTTAATTCATAATTATTAATATGGATTTATTACTATTATTCTCTATTGAAAATGTTAACTATCGGAATTGTTTATTTAAAAGTTAGTAGGGCGACCGCGCTTCGTTTAGCGTTCGCTAGATGGCATTATCCATATAAATTAATATATAGTACCTATCTATAATCATATATTTTTTCTTAAATTGGCTATGCATTTACACAAAAAAATTTAAGTTATAGGTATATATTTTAATTACAATAACAAATATGAACAGTATTCAGATATTAAAAATAAACAATTTCAATGTAACATACATTGCAATTGTTTATTTTTAATTTTTACATTTTACAATATGGGAAAAGATTATTTTATATGATTATTTTAATGAGATTGAGAGAGATTTAGAATATCCTAAAAATTAGAAATTTTAGGATAATCGCACATAGACAGTTTTTTTTAAAGACAAGTTTAAGTTTTTGTAAGATCCGCCAGCAGTGTTCTGCGCTGGTCATTCGAAATTATAATTTTGAGACAGAATGTATTTGACAATGCAATCAGCCTTTATAGATATTGATTCTTACCTGTCATGACTATCACATCGTTGCTCCTGAGGATCCTAGTGAGTACTGCTTTTGTAGCGGTCATTACGTCATGGTTCGTAAAGCAGAAGAGAATGGCAACGCAGAGACCCTGCACATACAAAAGTTAATTACAAAAATATATCGTAGATATATCTTTACTTGTTTACCTAATAATATGCCTAACATCATATTGATTGTTATTTTAGGGCAAGACTCAATACTAAAGAACATCGGTTAGAAATATATTTCATCGCTTGTCCTTTTTTTTAAGGAGGTTTTTAATAAAGAAAGTAACAGCATTTTGTTTCGAGTTTACTTTATTTTTTATTTGTTAGGAGAAGCAAGTAACTAGGCGCATATTAACTATTTATTTTAGATGTGAAGGTTAGTATTACTTTCTATTAATTTTGACAGCCTCGGTAGTCTAGTGGTTTAATACACTGCCTTACTTCCAATGGTCGCGGGTTCGGTTCCTCGCATGGCACAAACATTTTGTATTCATGAGTATGATTGTTTGTGTCGGTCTGGATGTTTTCTATGTATAATATGTATGTATTAAGAAAAAAATATCTATGTATTTGTATCTATTATACTTATAACACAAGCTTTAGCTAGCTTAACTTAGATCTAGATGGCGTTGTGTGAATTGTCCTGAGAATATTATTATTATAATTTAATTAATGATTTAGGGTTGCTACAAAATAATATTGTTCAGAATAAAGAATAGACTAGAGATAGTAGGAAAACAAAATGTATATTTAAATATATTTTTTCCTAAAATGGCTCTGTAAGATTTCCTTATACCATGGAGGAAGGACTTAAACATAGAGATAGATTATAAAATTACATTATGAGGATTCCGTTTGTTGTACTAAACGTCATATACAAACACAAAAGATCCATTACGGCGTAAGTAGGGACCATTTTAAATAATATTAGCTATTTAGGGACACTTTACCTTCGCGACCTCATAACGTTCCATTAAGTGGGATTTTCAAATAATTCAAATAAAAAATTTCTAAAGTATAGATATATGATACTGTGACATAAAAATAGACTTGACATGATAATAATATATAAATGGTTAATATCGATACCAGTACTATAAAGTCGAAGAGGTACTCTACCTGTACCTTTATACAACAAATCACGACTGAACGAATCTTAATGAAATTTAACGCGATACTATATTCTTTCCCTAACACAGAAATATGCTTGTTTAAAAAATAAAGTGGAAAACAGCTACAACACAAGGTTACAACAATAGGGACAGGTAAATTGTAGGTTTATGACTTCATAATAGATTGGACTTATAACTTGAGCTAATGACCGCCACAGACAAAAAAATCTATTGGCAATTCGGTATAGACTAATAGCGATCCTCTCTGGGACATCAGCTTTGGTGTGATAAAATATGAAAAAGATGTAACGGTAGTTAGATAAATTATTAATTGTAAATTATTTCATCTACGCATTTGCACTAAATCCAACATACATAGTATTGGATCTAAGTTATTGGCTTCCAAATCTTTGAACATGCATTCGACTAGTTACGTTATTTTATGATTTGATTTACAAGGTTGATTTATTTATCAATTGTTCATTGACGTACATTATTGAAATTAATACTTAATGTTAAATATTTAATTACTTTTATCTCTATTTCTATCTTATTTTCAATCTAAATGATATTGATTATGATTTATGATCGATCTATTTTATTCATCATTGCGTTAACTGTTATTGTAAATAGTAAAGTTGATCTCTTAACAACTATTCATATATGACAATATTGCTAACAGCAATAAGTAGTACGCACAAATATATACGTTGGAAGCATATAAATATTATAGGTCTTGTTAGTAGTAGAACAATTTAGTTTTTTTACTTCAATTTAGTGTAAAGGTTGAATTTATCATTTACTATTAAGATTTTAATATTACTATTAACCAGATAAAGATGAAAACTTGAGATATAATATACATTCATTTTATTACGATCACTACGTGGGATTTCTTGTAATACCCACGGGAATCAAAGCTTCATGAGGGTCCAACCTTTTGTAAACAGCTAATGCTTGTATATTTGTGATGTTTAAGCTGTAAGTAGGTATGTATGTATAATATTGCGTAGACATACTACGATATTCCATTATAAAAAAATGGTAAAGAGCTCGACTTATTCACATATTATTAATGGCAGAGATTAAATATATTAAAAAAATATATACAAAAGTACATATTTCACCTAAATACAAACAATTCTATTCAAAATATAGTGAAGAGTATATAGAATATGCACGTTATTATAACCTGTCTCAGAATAATTTTTATGACAAAAGATAGCCTTATATACATACATAAGTCTGTTCTCGTGATACCATATATCTTTCAAAATGTAGACAATAAGTAGACGGACAGCAGTCTAAAGGTATAATTTTTGTTAAGTTATAACGGTTACAATGGCAGGAATGAATTTTTTTCCCACCCGACTTGATTATTTTTGTACAGTATCGATCATCGTGATATTTCAACTATTTTACTAAAACCTTTCAAGAATTATATACGTAGCTTATTCTTTAGAAATTAGACTATACCGTACAAATAACAACCGCATTAAAATCCGTTAGTACTTTTTGGGATTATTGTGAACATGCCATATCTAACTCAGTGGTAGTTTTATTATACAATATGTATGATATACAGATATATAAATATAAAGAAGATCCATGCATTTAACTCACCTGCAGACTAGTTAGAAGGGCAGAGATAACCTGGTAGATAATTTCACCTTGAGTACCAGACGGTGGCCGTAATGGAATGAGTACGAAATGCAACCCAAACAGTGGTATCTATGTAAGAAAATATTTAAAGATTAATTACAAATAAAATTATTATTTCAAATATATAGGTATATATGCCGAGCAAAATAAGTATATTAGCTATGTTTAAGATACTGTTTACAGTTATATACGAGTATATTGTACGGGACTGCTTTGTTCTGTATTTGAATCATATGCACATATATATATTTTTAGGCCCCTTTATACGAGTTATAAAAGTGGATATTACAAAACCATTGTATAATAGGGGTTCTTGATATACCTACGATTTATGCTCTTTGGTCTGTAAGAAAATTGACACTAATACAATTCTCGTCATTAGGATTGCAAGTCATTAATAATTTGTCATTTAATATTTGAATTTAAATTCTTACAATGAAAATTTAGATTATGATAATATAGAAAGTTGACATTAACATGATCTTTTTTATTATCAAAAATTGTACTCATATATAATATTAAATAGAATGTAAATATCATACAAGTATAAGAGCTGCTCGAGTTGCTTTCCTTGCAGCTAGTGATGCGTGCTGATTGGGAGCCGGGTGTAGTTTAGTAAGCAGTACACGAACCACATTAACTAAAAATACTGTAAATAAAATAAACATTTGGTAAAATCATTACGAGAAATGTGGTAACGCGAACGTTGGATGTTTTTATCCAAGAAATAGCAAGACAAAGAAATACTGAAGAACAAAATGATGAGGATCAAAGGATCACTCTGGTTCGCCGTTTAAGCAGCAAATTCTTTGGAATTTCCCAAGATGGTTTAAGAGGAGAAGGAGTACCACATTAAAGTTGATTTCCTAAATAAATTGCAAGGAATGAGTATAAATATATGAATATAAATAATGGTAATCATTCTAATTGAAAATTCTTGTTTTTAATCATTTATTATCTATAATATAAGCTTATGAATATTAACTGCCATACTGAATTTGACTACTTCACTATTCAAATTATGTTCTATCATCTGAAATAGATGAATGTAAACAAATTATCAATCTTTAGATATAATTAATACAAAATTCGAAGAAAATTAGATATATCTCTATAATAACTATATCATAGAAGGCCAAATATATAGATAGACAACAGCTTAATATCGTATTTGCAGAATGAAGAATTTAAGCTTCTTAGTGATTTCACAAAACTACTCGTATTTTACTTGAGTAATACAAATACGTATATTATAGGTTTACAAGTGTAACTGTATATGAAATTAATGTCAAGAGAAACTATTTTCATGGCTTTAGTTTTATAATGTAAATTAGGGTTCAATGAGGTATGAAACAGTAATGGCGTGGGTTACGTAGTGTTACGTTACAGACGACGGGCGGCGCACGTGACCCTTGCTTCTCCTTTGTTGTCCCTTGGATGTCAGCCTCATTCTAGGTTCGTCTACGTCTCTATAATTTAGCCTTTTACATGATGGGTCAAATATATAATGCGTATGTTGCTATAGCAGAACCTTTAGATAATACTGGTGACATATAGGTAACAGTAGTAAGTAAATTGGTAAAATACGCGCTGGTAATGATCGTCAAAAGTAATTTTGAATGTCTTTGGTAAGAAGAAATCCATTTCCATTCATTACATTAAATGACGACGTTGTATTTAGCCTCCTACTTACAAAGTATCGACAATTTTTGGTAAAGAGGTTTGCGACCTTCAAGCGGCCTGAATTATTTAATAGCGTTTGACCACAGAATAACTAATACTACCGTAGGACTACGAGTATAGCCAACGAAGAGTCAACGAACCAATATTTGAGATAAGGTAATTTTACATTATTGCAAATGTTGCGATTTTTGTTATAAAGATTTTAAAATTTAGTAATATATATATGTTTTTATTAAATAAAATAATAACACATTATAATAATAATAAATTTTATTGATATCTTTATAATAAAAAAATAACAAGATATATCTTGACTTCTCTTTTCGCGAGTCCTCTTAATTATTTAGTACTTAAATTAACTATCTAGTTTATTTACTTGAATAGTACTGACACTTACCAAATGAAGCTACGAGAGACATCAGTACTGGTACTATGATAATCCAGAATGCGTCACTTTGGTCCATCCAGCATCTTTAAAGCAGAATATTAATGATCTCATTATTTAATACACGTGTGGGGTCAAGGGTTGGCGGGTAACTAATGTTTGTGAAAATCCATTGAATATGGAAGGTTTAAACATGACGTTATTCAAGTGTATAGTCTCGTATGATTAATTTATTATTTCCACAACGATAGTACATATGTTGCCACTTATAGTTTTACTCTTCTAGAACTTCTGTGTGATTATGTTTGTTATAAGGTTTCTTGTGACGTGATACGAAGCAACTTTAGTGAATTTATTAGTTATATCAAATAGGTATAAAATATAAATCTATTGAAATTCCGACAAATTAGGCACTGTGTTATATATTTGTATCGGAGGATAATAATTCAAAAATAATAAACGCTACTAAATTGGCGCCATTAGTAGGATTATGTCTATTACCTACTACATAGACATTTCAATATTCAGCTTTAATTTCCCTGTGGACATAAAAATAAATATTTCGTTTTGTGCTTGCCACAGTCCGATAAAAGGGACACTCACTCGGTTTTACGAGCTATTTAATTACATCTTTACATATAATAATACAGTAATGATATAAAAACTGTTTGTTTGCCTGTATACGTGTCAAGATTAAGGAATTAAAATGAATATGTTATTATATTGGTAAGGATATGTGAAAAAAAATCATACTAATACAGTTTCAGTAAGATTTTTTTCTAATATATCCAATAAGCCACCTATATCAATGTGTAGTTTATTTCCTGTCATTTGATTATCATCAATACTTGACGTCTACAAAGTGAAATGCAAAACACACTAACGTATTTGTAGATACAACTACTTATAAATAAATGCGATTAACAGAAACAACAGCTAAAGCGGCTCCTACTAAATTGCTACCCTTTCGAGATATATAAGGATAACATAAACTCTAATTAAAATGAAGTTAATTCAAAGTACTTAATGGTATATATATAATGGTGCTGTATATAGGGAGTATCCTTTTGATACTTGAAAATGTAGTAGAACTTAGTAATAAATTCTATCAGAGCATAATAGTTTCAACTACGGATAATCTACTAATACAGAATTAGTTTCTAAATAAGGCATCTTCTAGAGCGATTATATTTAAAAATTGAAATGAGGATAAAGGATAAAAGCAGTTAAAGGAGTAAGTACTTTTATTATAATCGAAGGAAAGCATTTTATATACGATCCATCGATCACCAAGTGTGGTGTAGGTACTATGTACTTGTAGAATCGCATCGCGGTGTATCCTGAGGGTGGAATATTCTTCAAAGATGATCAGAAGAGAAAATAGATTTCAAATATTGTTTACTTTATTAAATATATTTTTTAGCACTTTAAGTATTAAGCGTGACTTATTGTCCAGTTAATAAAACAGCATTTTATTATTGTATATTATTATTAAATATAAATGATCTATTAGTCGTCAATTACCAATAAACTAGGAGAATATTTAAGAATATGTTTAGCGAATAGTTTTTAAAATGCTAATGAATACCGATAGGTTTTATAGATTTTTATAGTAATTATATAACTATTTAATAATATAATCCTGTTTTCATATAATTAATGTAGTCAAACATGATTTGAAAACGAGATTAGTGATTCAGTATGTACCTATATATGTTTATATATGTTTTTCCGTAGTAATCTGATAATATCTGTAGCACAAAATAATATCTGTTATTTGTTATTGTTTTTGGATGAAATAATAAATAAACTATGTATAATCGTAGTGTTATCGACTTGGAGTATGGGCTAGTGTATTCAATGAAGTAGGTAAGTTTCATATATTGTACGTCATAATATTTGAAGGCTAAAAATAAATTTTTAGCTTGAACTTTTTGTATCAGAGAACATCCGGTTTAATTTATTAATATTATCAACCCGAAAGTTTGAGAATGGATGGATGTTTGTTACTTGTACATGCAAAAACTACTGAACGGATTTTGATGAAATTTACAGCAATATAGGCTATAAATTTAACGCGGGTGAAACCGCGGGCACAGTATTTAATATATTTTCAACGAATGGTGGAAAACATTTATGTATATAAAGAAGTTCAATGACATAATGATGTCATTATGTCACAAAAACACAAATTTATCTACACCAGCAATGGCTGGTGTAGATAAATTTGTGGAGAAACTGATGTCATCTGATGCTTGAGGTTATAAGAAAGAACAATCAAAGAGAGAAAGCCTTACTAGAAATGTGAGAATTTATTCTTTCTTTCGATGATTACTGACCTATTGTTAAGTAATACGGGGATGATTGGTAAATATTAACATATTATTATAAATAAGTATGTTTTTAATTTAATTTAGTTTTTTTGGCTCAAATATGTACATATTATTCCAAAATTGGTCTCATTTATATATATCACGCATTACCTACACGTGCAATTTATTTTGAGACCTTAGGCATAAAAACCTTAATAACACCTTATTTAGACCTTTCAATGAATACTTACAATAATTTTAAAATTTGCTTATATAATTATACATAAACAGAAAAGTTACAGATTTTTTAAAATCCAATGTATATGTTATGATGGAATTAGGAATTATACTATATTATTTCATCAATTATGAAAACGTATGAAATTTTCAATTTATATATTATTATATAGTATTACAATAGTCTATCGCCAATCGCATGAGCACAGATATACAATGCTGTTAGTACATTACATGGTAGTAAAGTTAGTAAATACCATTAAGGAGATAATATCCAACTAAGTTTGCAAAAACGATAAATCGCACGTGCAAAATTATTACGCTTCGTAAATCTTCACATTTACATAATGTGACATAGTACTCAGTTATTTACATTAAATGGTGTTAGCAAAATAATATACCAACCTTTCTGTGTCTTCATAGGTATGATATCTAATGAATGAATAAATCATGATGATGATTAGAGGCAGTCCCCAGCCCATTGCTACGAACCACCGCATGGCTACGTCATCTTTCACGAAAACCTAGAATATTTTTATAAATGTTTATTTTTTATGAAAGGTTTATATATCATCGCAAGCACTTATAACATTTTATTTAGAAATGTGACATGATTTTCAATTTGTTTCTTTATTAAAACGTTATTTTCTAATAGCAGCGTATATATGTATAGGTACTTATTCTGTATTACTCATTTGATGAATATGTAATGTCCGCGCTAACGTTATACTTTGACGGTGTACCAGTGAAGTATAACAGAATGAGTATGCAGTAAGATCTGTATACTGAATGTGTACTTGTTTAAATGTAAACTACATTTAAACAAATACCTGATTTTGATTGGTCAAAATTTTAAAAGTTTGGCTTTAGGAAGTTAAATTAAATAATTATGCATTTAAACAATTTAGAATGTCGTGGTCCTCCTTCAAAACAATTGTAGTGAGTAAAGTTGTCAAGAAGGGCTAACTAACCTAACCTGACGGTCACCTTATCGTTCTCTACAGGTGACCTAACATCATACTGTACACAATATTTAAATAATTAGTGTTCCAATGCTTTCATTTTTTGCTATAAACGCCTTTTGAAATAAATATTATGAAATAACAAATAATGTTTTTAAAAATATATTAAAATTTACTTTAGAAATGGTATTGATTTTTTGTTTGGTTGTTGTTCATTGTTGATATTTTGCGTTAGAGGAAAGAACGATTATTTCTTCTAAAACAAGGGTTTTTTATATAGGTATAAGGTATTTTAAAAATAGGTACGATATTGTACAACGTACATACGAGTAGGTAAAATTATTGTACAACCTGATAATTATGGTACAGGTTGTCAATATCAAACAACCTTACTATATTGCATCAAACGCATGTGTCACACCTACTACACACTAACCATATCAGATGTCCAGTGAGACGCAATGAGAATCAAATGCAGTAGTACAGACAGGTTCAGTGTTCAAGGATGTGTATGTGTGTATATTGAGTCGGTACAACTATGTAAAGTTAAGATCAGAATATAACAAAGTGTAATAAATCACTGTTATATATTCAATTAAGTATGGAATGACAGTTTCATAAACATTATCAAAAGTTAATTTTATCTATACTACTAGATGTAGAATATACATTGTAGAAAAATGCTTATATTTAGAAATTATTTAGTTGGCACCAATTCTTAATTAAATACTAGGGAAGTGGTATCTAATTTGAAGTTTAAATTTATACATTGATCTTATAGGAGTTATAAACTGTGTCCTACACCGATGTGGTCACGTTATCTCTCTCATATTGCTGCACAAAATAAAGAACAACTAGTATTTATTATAGGTATTAATTTACATTTATTTTTATATATAGGTATTATATTACTTTAAATATAAATAAAGTTTATAGTATTGTGAGGTAGTTTCAAGATAATGACTAAAGTAACTGCTGGAATTTGGTATTGAGAAAATATTAAACAAATAACTCACTACTACAAGAGCTATATGCAGATGTAGGCCTTCACAAAACATCCATATGTAGCTAGTAACCATGAAGTAGTTAGTTATGATGTGAAGTATTTGGCACCATATCTGCAAAACATAGAAATGATTTTCATATGTTCACATATACAAAAGTACTCTGTGCAAGACGTTATTGCATATTTCTTATGTTTTTTTTATTATTGAATGTCAAGAATATTTTATACAAATGTCATTGCTTTGTTATCTGCTATTCTGTCTACTCTTTTTTTTTCGTTATATTGACTGTAGAATATAGTCGAAGAAACTGTATATTACTATATACAGTTTCTTCGATTACATACTCATTATAACTCGATACTCATTAAATAAAACAAGCAGAAAGCACCAATGCTTTTTGTATAATACCTACCATTTGTTTTCAATATTTGACTGGTCGCCAATGTTATAAAAACAAAGGGTTTGATTTGAAAATTATGTGAACATGTTGAAAGGATTATTTTTATCTACTGAGTTGTTTAGTATATTTCACTGTAGGTATAACCTTTAATCGTTATCAAGTACATTTATTCAGGGATGTTTAATAGTATTGAAGTTATAGGATTTTCATAAAAACTACTATACTAATATTATAAATGTGAAAGTGTCTGTCTGATGTTTGTTATATTTTCAAAATTAACACGCTAAAGGAATCCTAATAAAATTGTATGTAGATTGTATCCCAATATATCTTCATATTAGGCAATCAGGAGATTAGGTCAGCTTTATGTCAATTACATATAAAATGGAAACATAGTTATAATAATCTCAGGACAACTCACACAGCGCCATGTAGATCCAAGTTAAGCTAGCTAGATCTGGTCTTATGGGTTAGTACCCAACTGACTGTTAGTAGTAACAACTGATATAAATTCATAAATATTTTTTCGTAAATACATTCATATTATACGTAGAAAATACTCCGATCGATACAAACAATCGTACTAATGAATACAAATATTTGTGCCTTGCGAGGAATCGAACCCGCAACCATCGAAAGTAAGACAGTATTTGTGATGTAAGTGGTGAAATAAATGACTAATTATACTTTATTATTACTAAGATAGAGTTATCTACAAATTACAAAGCACTTACTCACTTACTTTAGTAAATAATGCAATAAAATTAAGTGATTACATAATAATCGTTTGCTCTTACTGTTCATAAAGGTTGAATAAGTGTTATTTACTTATTCATAAAAAGAGTTTAATATAATAATATATACAGAAGCTTATATAATGCCGAAATACACGAAAAACTCGGAGAATGTGTTATACTACTGAGACATATAAAGTACTTAGTACGTATTAGTATGTATCCTACAGTGAACAAACTTATTATGTCTATGTTTATAATAACGAAACATTGGCATTACCTCATTATTTTGAACAACACTAACTCTGTTGACTACTGCCTTGTACCACACAATCCACAGAATATTGTTCAAAGCGAAGGAAATGAAGAGGTGTATGTGAATACGTATTCGCGTACATTGAAGTGATCTAAAAAATATGTAGGTACATTACATACATATATTTAATTATCCTCACTTTTATTATAAATGCGAAAGTAACACTATCTGTCTACCTAGCTTTTACGGCAAAATTACCGAACCGATTGAAATGAAATTTGGTACACAGATAATCTAGACCCTGAGAAAGAACATAAGCTTTTTATTGCGAAAAAGGATGAAAGATTGTATGAAAGTATCGTCATTTTTAAAGCTAGAAGCTTAATTTATTTTTTAGGCACACCTACAATTTATGGATGAAACTTTTAACGGCTGATAGAAATGCGGTTACGCGCTTGCTAATACAACATCAATGGAGGGTGATAGAATGGTCATGAGCTTGATTCTGTTCACGTTCACGCGCCATCGTCACGCTCCCAAAATGATAAGAAAACTTACTCCCCTGTAGTTATACTACCTAATATTAAATATCATTTGTACTATGTAAGTAAGCGCATCAGTTTTCAAATTATATGGATAATATAAAAATTTGCTTCAATATAAAAGTTTTACAATTAACAGATTACATATATATATATATATATATATATATACTTCTTAGATACTCGAAGTAACCGAGCAGATCGCTAGTTTAAAATATCTTTTGTATTATAGTATATATATGTAAATATAGTTAGTGTATATTTCGGCATCCTTGTTAGTGGTATACTTAAGTTACGTAAATGTTATTATTATCCCCAATAAAACCAATATACATTTCTAAGGTGCTGATTATTAGAGGAGAAAATGCTTGCTCACGGAAGTCTATTATTAAATTTCCGTTGTACTTTCAGCTATATCTACTACAGTAATATTATATGGACGAGGAGTAGCATCTATATTGTATTATGTAATTTTTATTTTATTTCACTTACATGTAATAAGTGAAGAAAATCTAATACAAAATCTTAAGGTAACGAGGTGATAACAGTCTGTTAGTAGTTAGTACTCTCTGGAAACAAAATACGTAGCGCGACAAATTACTCCTGTGGTCGTTTTCATTGTATAGAAACATTATGTTATTTCATTAAAAACATAGTCAACAACAGTAACCAATATTTATCATATTATGTATATTATATACCGCATTTATACCGCATAAAGATTATATCAATAATAGATAATTATTATTGATTTGCGTAATAATTCACTTGACGCTATAAGATTTGTCAATATTCAAAGTTGTAACCGACGTAAAGTCCTTTTTATTTGGTTGATTAGATTAATAGGTATCAATTGTTAATCAGTAATACATAGTAATACAACATAACAGTTCAAACAGAAAAAAGATGGTTGTGAAAGGGGATTGTTTGGAATCCAACCACGTGGTCTCCCTGGATATTATTATGTTTGTTTCCCCATACAGGATAGGGTAATTAATCCGACCTCATGCTCTTCAAGTACTATCCGCTATACAGTACGCGCAGGCTAATACAATATTTTATTTTAGGTCATTTGATATTAGCGGCCTTACAACGATTAATATCGTTTGAATCTTCTGAAGATTTTAGTACTTGATGCATATGCATCATTTAAAAAGCGTAGCATGTGTGTCATGGAATCACTTGAGCAACAGTTAGAATAAAATAAAATTTATATATACATTACCTGAAATACACGAAGATGATAATAGAAAGCAATAGAGCAGCTACCGAAATTGAATAGCCTCCAATGTAGATATTGTTAATGATGTTTCGGAACTGTAACAAAATAAGTAGAGTAATCAACCAGAGTCGATTTCTCATTAGTTAAAAAAATTTTTTGGTTATTATATGTTTGTTGTGGGCTATATTATAATCTTCCTTATTTTAAGGAGTATCGCACATGATGATTAACTCCACACTGTTTCCCCAGTAGAGCGGAGTTTTGAACCGCGCAGTATGCTGCGCTTAATAGTAGAGTTTAGTCTTGCCACGATGATCTAAATTATATTATGGTGTATAATTAAGAAAAGTATAAAAGATAATATCATTTATAGATTTTAGAAATAGCAGACTACGCTTGCTGTCACAAATTAATAAGTCTTCTAAGTTCTGACCCAGGAAATAAATCAACGAATCCTTCTCAGTTAAGTTGAGAATTTATTTTTTTGACACTCCGATAAATTTTCCGTTACTCCAAGAGCCGTAACGTAGATATTTTAAATTATTTAAACAACCATAATGAAATCACTTGATTTTGTCGTTTTCAATTTCTCTAAATTCTTGTACGGAAATTAAAATGTTAAATAAAATAAATTAATTTCTGTTCAACATTATTAAATATTACACACATCGATAGAAAAATTAATGCCTAAGTAATATTTTTAAATTAATATAGTCACTGCATGTTATATTATAACAATTTAGATTGCGGCTCCTTCTGCGCAAATTTAGAACGCAACGACATTCTAGGATTTCGAGCTGAACAGCTTTTAGTTTTCTGTGATAAAAATCAACGTGACAACCTGTGCTTTCTTGAATTATTGGGTGATTGATAGCTTAGTAGAAAAATGTTCGGGGCGAGTGTAAGTGACGCTAATGTTGTGCCAAGATCCGGCGTCGTCGTGTAACGGGTGTCACGTCATCCGGTACAGTGATATATTTTCACATACACTCCCTCGTATTAGTGTGTGTATTTACATAATCATACGCTCCGCAGAGGGAAAACAGAAGTATCATACACACAAAGGATTAGGCAAAATAGATATCACTTTTTTTATTATGAATCGATGCTTTCCAGTTTACTTCAAAATCATGACGAGATTATATAGTATCTACTTGATAAAAGTTTGTATTTTGATTTCTACGTGCGTCATAAATTAGTAGGCGATTGGTCGGGCCGATCCTTCGTGTCCTGATAAATTATCACGTGAGGAGACTTGTTGCTTAAGTCGCTCCACTAATATTGGTATTTGCGGTAAACCGTATCGTATGTGATACTTTTATTCTTATTTAATGATAAAGTAAACCACGTACGTCACAAAATAAATTGTGATTTCAGTGGTATCTCTATGCGCTGTTTATCCTGAGCGTTATGATTTTATGTTATCATACAACTGACTTATCTAAATCTAGAAATCAGAATACAGCTTTCTGTGCTAGATCTTTGATGGTAAAAAGGTGTGATAGGACTGCTCATGTAATTGAAACAAAAACTATATTACCGGACACACTGTACAAAGATACGGTATGTCCGGTAACATAATTTCTTCTGTGATGTTAAAGACTATTATACCTATATACTATATAAAAACTGATCTGTTTATACTCACACTCAGGTCTTCGAAATCAACACAAGTCGTGTAATTGGACCAAGGTCTGTGAGTTTCCGGGTGGTGGAACCAAGTGCCATTCTCGTTGCACCTGCAAAAATTCAATTTCTACACCCCATCGTTGTGAATACATGGAACAGGAAATTTGGATAATCTTACTTGTTGGATATAGATAGTCTTACTAAGAAAATTTCATTTTTAAAAATATATGCAACTAAACTCATTTATCAAGGTGGATATTTTAACTGCTTATGAAAGTCAAGTTTTACTTTCTATTAATATTTACTTTTGATTCTATATATGGATTGAAAGTAAATATAAAAGAAAAAGGATAGAAAAGAAAAGGAATAGAATATAGTAATCTTGAATACAAGTAAAAGATCTATAGTCATATAATTTGATGCTTGGCTTAAAGAACACGCAAAGTTAATTGTCATGAAAACTGTGTTTAACTTATAGCAATTATGGACTTGTAAAATTGGGATACTTCTTTAAATAATAACATTTTACTAAAATAATAGTTTTGAATCAGTAACAAAACTAATTAGACACACCTACTTTACATAACTATGTAGTATGGTAAATATGATTAATATTTATTTAACAATAAATTTATAATTATTTTTGAACGAGCTTTTAATTATCTTTCTGTTCGTTTTTACTATTCATCTGTAATAATTTTATCAAACTTTTGTCTGGTTTTTAATGAAGTTCCAATTTAGTAAACGCATGTTATTTAGATAATAATAAAATAAGTTCTCCTTGGCTCACAATGTCTCTAAATAATACCAATGTATTAACTGTGCAATAAAGAATATAATATTCTGGTAATAACAATAGTAAAATTTTATATCTGTTCTATCTATTATGCTAATATTTTCTGTTAGACAGTTGTGATAAGAATATTTAGATAGAAACAAGACCGAATAATAATTTATTGTCGTCAATGAAGTTGAAGAAATAATTAATCTTCTTTACGTCTTTTTAAGAATGTTTATTAGAAAACTTTTATTACAATTTGTTAAGGCACTAAGTTTCTATTAAATAAACAGTTATAAGCGGAATGTAAAACAGGCTGGTGGATGATGATGGTAATTGGCAACCGTCGCCTATACATATAAATAGCACCACGGATATCACGTTATCATGTAATGCCCGTGATACCACTCATGTATCCTTTAATTTCACTGTCTTAATACATCCTTCAACCGAAATATATGTTACAAAGCATGTGGTATGGTGGCTGTAATAGGTGAGAAGTGTCATTTACCATCTACGTAAGTATCTCTGGTACGCAGATGTTTTTTTGCAAAGTCTACTCAAGTATTATTATTAGGTACTATATTATTATTTAAAAAATATTTAATGTTATTTAACAGTAATTAGTATTATATTTAATATGATTAGATATATTTTATAATAACATTTTATCCAAGGAAGAGTGGCACTGTTCATAAGACAAATAATGAAAATAGACGAGCTAGGACACATGTACATACCGTGTATTAGTGTTGTTATTGTTATTGATACTTTACCGTAACATAAGAGATCCGCATTTTGAATATTTACAGACGAATTAACATTCATTTCTTTAAAATATCTGCATTCTCATACTAGCATAGGTATATACAATTATATGAATTTAAAATAGACACTATATGAATTATATAATAACATTAACTTCATATAATTGGTTTATAAAACCATATATTATATTACGCTCTTTATCCTAAATGTCCATTATACTCATTTGACTGCGGTTATAAAAAGAAACATGTATTATAATTTGAGTAAATTGACTAATCCCGGCATTGTAGAATAAATATATAGAAAAAGATAACCTCTTTGTATAAGCATGCTGTAATCATACATATAACAAAATTGTAAAGCGTGTTTATAATAAATATTCAAATTATGTCATAGTGGTACAAAAAAGAATTTACATTTGTTGGTATTTAGGTTTGTGTACACTAATCCCAAAATGGGTTTAACCGATTTGAATGAGTATTTCATGAATAATATGATGTTCCAACACGGTTCCATGGTTCTATATTTACTTGTGTATTTTATTCTAATAGGTTCACAAATTAATAACAGTTGATTATATTATACATCTATTAAAAATACTTATTACTTGTTATAATATTGGGTAGAGTTAGTCAGATGTATGTGTTTAATTTTAGTAGACTTAAACAAAGAGTAAATATTAGAAGCATAAAACACTTTTATATTTAAATAATTAAATTTGACTTACATAACTGTTGCAAATTATACAGCTATATTTATAAATCCTTTAACAGATAAAAACTTCAGTTTATGAAAGAAATAACTTTTCAGAAAGTTATTAATTACTTCGGATAAAATTGTGTAAGTATAATCTACAACTTGTAGAGATCAGACAATATCATATAGAGGCACCATTGTTGCTGGATTCCGTAGGCTTGTGTGTAATAGAAATCAATTATATAAAATAATTTTCTACGTAGGTATATAAAAATCATTTGTAAATAAAATTTTTAATACTATATTAATGAAACTAGTACTTTACGTGTGTCTCTAAGATAGATAAGATTAATTATTAATTTTGTGAAAAAGTCGATAATCGCAAATCATTATTTTGTATGCGCATTTTTATTCAAATTTATTTTGATTGAATGTTGGAAATTGAGATTACATAGTTGTTGGGGTGCTGAATTTTAAATTATTCATAATTAATTTGTGTTTTTTAATTACTGAATAAAATTATTCTAACATTCTAATCATGACGATCAAAATTACTCAGACAAATGTCAGAGTAATGGAACCCTAAAAAGGGTTTAATTTATTTTCAATATTTTGTTAACAATTAAGGCTAGGGCAATGACCTTGATGATGTTGTAACCACTGATAAATTATCAATATACATATATATTAATAGCTACAATCTTTCATCTACGTTGATCATATCGCGGTATGACGCATTTTAGGCATTTATCTTAATTCTAAATTGAACATACCTTACATAGAAGACTTATCATTAACGCATTTTGTTATCTCTAAGTACATCTATATGCCTAATGATATTATTTAATCTTAGATTGCATTACTACAAAACATATTTATGTAGGGAAGGGAAAAGAATAATTTACAAAATATACATGGCTGTTTAGTAAATTATTGTTTTCACTTCTCTACATAAATATGTTTTGTGGTACATTAAAACTTTTGGTAGGACGTTCAATCCAATTCAATTACTTATTTCATTGTAAGACATATTTTATAATTACCTTCCATTTTAAAGAGCTGCTGTATGACAATTGAAATATGCATTTTATTAATAAACATTTTGTGTGTTCATATTACTTATGTATCAACTTTGGTACCTACATGTATTATAATTAAAAATATGTACCGAATAAAATTGTGAACAAATTGTATATATTATTTACTGAAAATATGTCGTAGTATTCACAAAGAATTCGTTCAGTGAAACATTTTTGTCTTGTGTAGTAATTGTAATGAATACTTTGTTTGAATACAAATTATTACATAACAAAATAAATGCAAACACCTGTAACTTTTAATTTAATCTCATCGCGATTGTTCACATTTTCTGTTTGTTTGTGGAATTTTATCGTAGATATCTAAAAGATATTTCAATTGCGTTTTGTTTTGATCGCATGTGGGATTAAAATGTTGTATACCATGATAAATAGGTATTGATTTTTTTAAATAAAATTGTAAAAAACCTTTTTATTATTGTAGATATAGTACACTATAATTATAAAAATATATATACGAATATTAATATGTATTATCTTTTAGACCCTTTACGGCTTTGTTATTTATTTATGAAATTTATTTCACACTCATATTGTATCTATTTGGAATGTAAGAAGAATATAGGTGAAAATACGAGTAGCGACTGTACTTGAACGAGTTGCAATGGATTGAAGTGGCTACTGTGTGGCTGGGCCTCAGATATAAATGTTAAAAATACGTCTGGTTCTCCTAAATTGAACTGTCATAATTATAAATGGTACTACTCAACACAACGAGGACATTAGGCTTAAGGAAGTTGGAAAGGAATAGACGTGAAAGCGTCCGTTATTAGGTCAGCTCATATTAAGTAAGCCCTTTTTACAGTGCATGGCTCCTGCTTCCTTTGAGGTAGGGTATTTTTAAATTAAACTTTTCGAGTTGAATATCTTAGATGCCTGTTTAACCACTTGTTCTGGCAGTAATGGCTTCAACTGGGATTGAAACCAGGCGCGAGAAAACAAATATATTGAGCACTCGACCCGCCGGGCATCCATTAAATTTGCTTTCTAAATAAACATCAAGATTATTCAGTGGATTACTTTATACGCACATATATTTATTTGCCGTTGATTTTTTGACGGGCGATTTAGTGTTAAATGCCGGCCACGAGCGTGTTAGCCGTGCACTATTGGAGTCCCGTAATCATTTTTTAGGTTTTTAATTATAATAACAATTCCGTCATATCTGGCAGATTACAACATTGTTACTATGTACCTTCTTATATATTTTTTCTGGAGTTTTGTTTAATTTTATGTTTTAGTTGGTTGCTCTGACTTTCAGAGTGTCAAACTTTGTGATGTCACGTAATGTTTGTTAAGTAGTTTTAGGTTAAACCGCCAAAATAATGTACCTACATATAAATCCTGAAAACACAAATATATATATTTACTTACTTACTTATTAGTTTATCCTCAAAGGTTGCTTTCACGAGTTTATCAGTTTATGAGGCTTTTTAGAGAAAACTATCGCATTTACTTTGACGTTTCAGAATAAACAGGAGCGTAAAGATTTCAGGCAAAAAACAATAATATTATTCTTATATTTTAGAAATGTGATATATAACTAGTAGATATTCTTATTCTATATACATCGTTGCGATTTTTATCGATAAGCTTCCTAACTACTTATCCGACTTAAAAACATAACTTTAAAACCAATAAAATGTACCCTACATTTTATTGATCTGAATGTCAGAAAATATTGATTCACTGCAAAATGTCTTCTTCAGTCGGGTAGTTTTTTAAGTTAGTTACACACTCACGAAGTACTTTTTGAAATATATTGACTTTTCCTATACTTAAAATAAGTTTTTATACTTTATAATTCATGCTCCGAAGATGATATTTTTTCTGTGGAGTTTTTTAAACCTTATTGTTATGTATAACATCAAATAATTCTTTTAAAGTCCTAATAATCCTTTCACACATCTGATTATGAGAATTATAAACACAACAAAACACGAATAACTGAAATAGGGTTAACCGTACTGAAATAAGCTTATACACATTTGCTAATTGATTTCATCTATAAGAGACAAAGTTTGTACCGCAACATATTTTATATATATGCCTTATTGTATTTATACGATAGATGTAATGATTTAATATTTAAATGTACTTATTTTCTTTTACTGTATAATACAAACGAATGCATATTCTACCTATTTATCCAATAATACGTAATACAGTATTTTACTTTGTATAGTGGTAGATTTTTTGTGATTTATGTATTAAACATATAGTTATTTAAATATGTAATTATGAATTTATGATAAATATTTTTGATATAATTTGCGAAATAATGTTTTTGCAAGTATTGCTTACTCGCTAAAAGCTAGCTTAGTAATGATAAGCGCATGTCGACGTCAATATGAACAGTACGGTTGATATGCCCACATGTCGCTCATGTTGTTGTAGTGGGCATCGATCAGATCAGGTTTGGTTTGTTATAGGTGTTTTCATCACCGGAGAGTAAGTAAGAAATTAAAATGTTACACGTAACTGTGTGTATTGTCTTTCAGATTTGAACTACCAACTTTTCGGTCTAAGTCAGGGTACTGACTACTAACTAGGTCACGATGCCCTTAATTCTGTTTTATGTAAATGTTTAAAACAGTTCCATGGTTACTGTGGTTTTAGAAAATATGATTTATACATATCTGCCTATAATATGTATATCTTATAAATATAATATTTACAGATGTAGGAGGAAAATAATACTCCAAATAGATAATAATAGTAACAGGATACCACAGTTACCCCTATAGATTATATTGTATCAAAGTACTACACACAGACATATACATATGTTGTATTATTGTCTGTGATCAAAAGGCATTGTTTATTTACGTTATGTCTGCAGATTCTGTCTAAAAAGTGTTTTCTATAGTTGAGAATGATAGCAGTAATATATTTATGTATAACGTTTTACAAATGTTTAGAACTTCAAAGATACCGCAAAGCTCAAGGGGTTTTTTACATAATTAGCATTAATAGTAGAACTCATGTAGGTAAACTACTATATATACAATTTTTAAAATTAGTTATATATAGGTATTATCTGATTATTAGCTGTTATTATATATTTATTTCATAGTTAATTAAATACCAAAAACAGATCACATTTAAGTTATTTAACTCCATATACAAATGAATGCTACTATGTTCAGTAATACATTCAGAATGCATTTATTACAAAGGATTGTTGTGAAGGTAAGTAATATTACCCTTATAAAGGTGCCAACTTTGTAGTCTACTGAAAATTAACAATAATTACGGGTTTATTATCCTTTTTGCCTCAGTTCAATTATAAAGGACTGGGAATGTATAAGTAAATATTTTTAATTACTTTACGAATATAATAAATATTTTTGATTGTACGAAAACTATTTGAAATAATAGTCTGGAAAACCATATAAAAAAAACCATATACAATAACAGTTTTATTAGTAGTATACCCACGATTTTTTAAAAAATAATCTATGTAATCCTTATCCATTTCCATTATTACAATATGTTCAGCTGTTTGCCGTAGTCGTGTAAGGCAAATATGGAGCCTGACAGAAAACATATTTTGAAAATGTGTAACTGTTTAGTTAATCAGATTTATAACAGGAAAATCAAAATTTATAAACACAGAAAAGCAATATAAATAGCAAATAAAGGTTTATATTATTAACCGGGTCTTAACACGAACTAATTTTATGGCAGTACTACAGTCGACTACAGTCAGCTCGGGACCACGGCTAGTGCAACCTAGTCGAAACGTCGACACAGGTAAATACCTTTATTTGTCATAAAATTAGTTCGTGTTGAGACCGGGTTAATAAAATAAATAATGTATATTAAACACGTAAGCTTAAAAATAACTATAGCAAATAAAGGTGTTTTATAATATTATTCAATTGATTGTACTACTGCAGATTATGGTATAAATTTAGTTTATTATTAATAAAAATAATGTCCCCATATAATTCACGCAGGGACATCTAATCCCAAGCTAAGCAGTGCTCATGTTATGGATGCTAAGTATAGATATACTAAGTTTTTTTAAAATTTATATGTAATATAAATATAAAATACACTGATCTATATAATCATACTCTATATATAAGTGTTATGGTAAACTGCTAGACAACCGAGTTACTAGCTAGAGAACAAAATTACGTAGGTTTTCAATCCCTGGTAGCAATCACTATTCATTATATTTAGTTAACAACTCTTAAATTACGAAAGAATTGCATATTCTTAGAGTTTACAGATGTCACAATCTACCAGGGATACGATTTTTTTCTTTAAACTAAATTAATGATATTTAATAGAAAGATAGCTTGTATCCCAACAAGGTTGTGACGTCAAAGAAAATTCCCGCAGACGAAATCGTGATTAACATCTTGTAAATTATAGTTTAAACCATAAACTCAAAATAAATTGACGTGAAGTTTATGATTTAAACAAACAATTTATCCATACTCCCTTTTTGTGGCGAGCAAACCATGCGTTTATTCATCAACTTCGTAGTTAGTAAATAATTCACAACATATTCTGTTCTGTATTCTTGCTTTTTTTAGTAATATTATATGATTGATATTGACCTGATTCAGTAGTATGAACTGAGTCAACACTTTATATGATTGCCGCTTTTATCTTCGACTCTATACTTCATGTTTCCTAATCTTATTGACTCTTCTAAAATATTATAATAGATATAGATTTTCGTATTATCACTTTAATTTCATTATAAGTTTAACTATCAAATTTCATACCAAGTCTATAATAAGTTTCGATTATGAAGTACAAACTACTATATTATGCTTCGTTTATAGTTTCAGAGAAGATAAATCTGTCAGCCAGTTAATGAAAACTAATATTAACTACTTATACTAATATTATAAAGAGGTAAAATTAGTTTGTTCTTATATAAAGAGTAATTTCATAAATTATTGATCTGCAAATTATAATAACCTTGAGTAATATGTTCCGTTATCGTGAAAATTTTGCGGAGGATGATGGTAAGTATTTCAATCGCGAAGCCGCTAGCGATAATTCATTATATAATAAAAAAATATGACCTTTAAACTCCTAAACAAATCTTCATTCAATGAAAATATGACCATCTCGTTCATATTAGTTTAAAAAAAAACTCCATCATATTCAGTATATTCCATTCTTCTCTGTTCGGTCTATAATATATATGTCATATATTATCAACATCAAAGTACTATACAAGTACTAAAATGTCCACTGGATGAGTTGCCACATTCTTTATTCTGGCCACACTGCAGTTAGTTAACTAGCTAGATAGATAAGATACTATATACATAATAAAAAAAAAAGAAAATTATATAATTTACAGTAAATATAATTTATTTTTTATACTTATATAAATTTTAATTATATGGGAACAGCAAATATACTATTATATAACTATACCTTACTGTTTATTTTAATGCATTCAGTATGCGATTAAGTAGCACATAATGTATGTCACACATTATTTAAAATCCGATTTAACTATATGTAACTAAATTGAATTTAGCCAAAGGTCTCAATACTATCAAAACATTTTAGATTGCAGACTATATTTATAACTAAGAAGTCAATTCTATTCCCTAAAATGTCTCTGCCATATCTCGCTGCTCTAATTAAAATATACATTAAATAAAGTGGATATTTACCAGATTAGAAGATATTACTTAACATATATGGATGATACTATTGATCAGGTCATTTGTAATATTTTTGAAAGTATGTCTAAAAAAATATTAAAATGATAAATATCCCATTTACGTAATACGTACAATTGTTAAGATACGTGAAAAAACATTTAAAACAGTATAAAATACGATTATTAAGAAATTTGCTTAGCTTATAAAATAGATAATACGGCTGTCCAAGCAGGTCCCTTTAACGACAGTCTCATTTGCATATTTATTGCATTAGTAAATAATATCGTAATGATTGTTACCTACTTTTTGTAAGCGTAACGTCGAGGATCAAATCCAACGATGAACTCCGGACAGAATTGTTTCGATGTACTGCCGCCGGGCATGGCATCCCAGCATGCAAACCCGTCGAAAGTCCGTGGACACCATGGACCATCTTCTGGAAATTAAGTAATTTAATATATTACATATCTAATTATTCTTATACCAGATTCAAAGTCTAATTATTCCTCTCCATCCTAAACTTGCCTGGAAGAAATTGCTACATAGCGATAAGGCCGTCCATAGTTACCTTTTGTTCAAGTATAGTTTTTATAATTCTGTTAGAGTAACACTAAACAGTTTTTAATTCATTTATTTTTTCATAATGGTTAAACAAACTTTTTAACACGACACATTCTTACGCTTATTTGGCCGATTTAAAAATGTCGAGTTTCTCACGTCGCTTACACAATTTGTTACAACTTTCAAATGAATTATGATGTCAATTTTTCTTATTAGCAGAGTACTAATACAATCTTTTTACATAATTAAATAAGTAACTACTGAAAATAATAAAACTGAATGATAGGGCATAGTAATTGTTACTTTACATTATAACATAATGTTATACATAATTTGGTTTTTTTTAGAAACGTCTAAATAGTTTTTTCTCACATTCCATTTGACAGAATAAGCTACTCTGACTGTTTTAAGATGTATGCTTTGGAACATTTCCGTATTTCTACCCATAAATCAAAACATGGGTAAGATAGTGATTGTGCAAATTTTCAGAAATAATATAAGTTACGTATTCTGAGTTACGTTTTCCCCAATCTGTAACAAATGTTACTCTTGGAAGGTCGTAAGTTAGTATGTGTAAAGAATTAACTTCCAATGCTTCAGTATATTTATCATGATCAAAATAGAAATAAACGACTGGCATGCGTAACAATTATTTTGTAATTATATATAATACGTACGTAATATTGATCGTAGAATATATCAACAAATATTTATATCGAAATAATTGCGACTGTCTGTAATCTAATTATTATATTCAACCTGTTCAATATAAAGTAATAGTACCTGTACGAATATACAATTTTGAAAATAATTGTTAAAAAATACACACCTACGCTGCAATTTTAATAATACCTTTTCCAAATAGAGTAAATAATGTTGCTTGCAAGCGGTGATTGAAGCGAGTGCTATAGGTATCTGCTTCTACTGGTGACAAAATATGATTGATCTGGGAAATTGTTTACAACAAGCCTACCTATACATACTAAAAAATGTACATGTCTATCGTAATATGCAATTGCGATGGGCTATGAATTAGGGTTCTTGTGGTAATGTTACTATCAATAGTAAACCTTGGCGTTTTGAATATTTATATATTTATTTCAAAAATTTCAATCAATAGAATAATTAATTCAAGTTTATTTTCGGGACTCAAAGCTTAGCATTTGAAAAGTATTCAGATGCTCTCTGAAGTTTGAGAGTATATAGTTCAGAGATTAGATATAAATGACTAGATCTATTTATGACAAGCTACGTAGAAAGTTCGTTCAAAAGCAAAATTAGTATAGTAGGTGCACACTTCATCTCTATATTTATATGGGGTAGCGGGGTAGAATTTAATATTGAAGACCCAGAGAAAGATTGAATAAACTTTGCTAGCTTCAACACAGCCATGATAACAACGAGGTACATCGAAATATCGTCATTGAATTAGTTATCTACATACATACTTACTATATATCATATATACTGCGCGCGCCTTAAGACCCAAAAATAAGTTAAAAATGATTATTTTAATAATTATAATAATATTACTTACTCTGGTATTTTGTTTCGTCTGAATCCAGTATTTTGCTGTGGGTGGCGTTTCCTAGGAAGCACTGCTTTATTAATTTATCCAATAATCGCAGTCTGGCATTCAAACTTTTTTCTGATGAGGAAACTTCTACAGTCCCAGTTTGGTTTTCCATCTCCTCCATTGCTAGTTTATTGTTATCACATTTTATGATTGCATCACTTATAGATATTTTACATAAGACGTGAGTACTTACGTCCTATTTATTACCTATCGGAAACATGAAAGTGGTTAAATTTATTATTATTATCATAGCGGATGTCATTTATATCCATTTTTTTATCATACGGTTTAATCCTTTCGCGATTGTGTTTTATTTTTCGTTCTACCTAGACATAATCGTTGGTTACCGTGGAAAAATACAGATGAGGTATACGGTAATCCAATTCCAGTTAAATAATGTGATTAAGCTGTGTTGTATTTTTTGCGAAGTAATATAATTTATTTTGAAATAAAACTTTACACATTACGTTAAACTTTCTCTACATTGTTCAACTTCAAATCATACGCACTTAATCCTGCCCGTCTCCATATTATTAATGCGTGCATTTTTTTTTATATTTGTATTATAATGATATATATATATGTTATACATTTTATTACACGTATTTATTTGAAATAATTATGTATGATATAAGAACGAGAGACGACCTTACACTTTTTTTCAATAATTACTATAAAATAAATTAGGACCATAGATGATAAAAACGTATTGTCTATGAATACATATATAATATTATTTTACTTATGTTTTATTCTTCGTGTTAAATTCACGTCTGACTCATGTTTATTAAAAACAACACAATTTTATATTTAGAGTTTTAGTGAAAAGGGTTGTTCTGTTATTTGGGTATATTTACATATGACATAAGTGCTGTGTATCCAATTTTCTTTCTATATTTTCTATGTTTATTTATACTGGGAAACCCCTATATGATTATCTATTGTATGTTTATTTAATCAGCCGACATCTTACCACTGCTATAAGGCTTTTCCAATCCAACATTTGTTATAGTTCGGTGACAAACTTATCTTTATTTATTGTTGTAGTATGTCAAAAATCTTTTTTAATTGAAATATAGATATTAATTTAAATTTAAACTCTTTTTTAAGTTGGAATTAATTAGACATTGTTTGGTATACAAAAATGTATAAAATACAATGTAAATATGAAATATAAAACTATATGGAAAGTAGGTAAGTCAGGAACACATTGTTATTTATTGATCTCTCACCTAAAATAAATAATTAAACAGACTTCTTATCACTTTTTATGTGCGAACTGATTAAATATAGTAAATTTAAAAAAAATGTCCTTGTTCCTAAAAATAAATAACATTCTGCAGGATTGACCCTTCTAGCGTGGCAACTTACTAAGCGTTACTTGATACAAGTATAGCTAACATGTAAGTGTTTTCGACATTAATGTCTGTGACCTAAATGGATAGTCACATTACGGTTCAGGTTGTTTATTATTCTTTTATGCTGCGTAAAAAATCAGACTATCAATAAAACTGATGTTTATTTGGATTCGAACTTATTTTATTTTAATTGTAGATGTGTTCAACGATTAATGAACTAGGATATTATTAATAATAATAATCTCAGGACAACTCACATAGCGCCATCTAGACCCAAGTTAAGCTAGCTAAAACTTGTGTTATGGGATAACTGATACAAATGCATAGATATTTTTTTTCCTATATACATACATATTATATATAGAAAACACCTAGACAGATAAAAAGCATTAAACTCATGAATACAAATGTTTGTGCCGTGCTAGAAGTCGAAGCCGCGACCATTGGATGTAAAGCGGTGTGCTAAACCGCTAGACCACACAGGTCGTCAAAATATTCTTTGCAATTTCCATATTTGAAAATTAAATCTATTAGATATTCTGCTGTCAAGTTAATTTTCATAATATAACGAAGCCCGAAAGAGAAAATGTTAAAATGACTGAAATTCTAACCAATATCCCGATGTCATATTCAGGTACATAATAGTTTCAACGAGTTTGAACGCTCTTCATACAACCGTAAATTGTCCAACTTTTAACCTTAAACTGATAAGTCAGGTTGAATGATATGAAGCTGTGAAACTAAATAATTCACCGGACATGACTGTAACTGTATGTTCATTCATTGTAGCTTTAATTTGCTAGACAAATATGTATTTCGTATAAAATAAGAGCTTATTACAGTCGAATATATGTATCGAAGCAGTATCTATACATCAACATTTTAAATACATAACTTAAAAAAATATATCAAATAGCTTTACATAAGCATACATTAGCAGTTCATTATGAATAATATAAGAACAAGTTAATTACCGTGATAATATTTCATGTGTAATTCTTACCGGGGCGTTGGTAACATAGAAATATAGCTATAGCTCTTATATTATTATAGAAAGTAATAATATATTTTAAAAATGTATGTAATAGAAAAAAAATGGTTGTCTATCTGTATATATTCTTGACGTAGTAAAAAATCTGCCTTCCACGTATGATGAACTAAGTACCATGCTAAATGTATTAGAGAGAGTCGCTAGTGCAGGTGACTTTGACTGTGATCTCTACTTATTGCAGTCTACTCTATGTTTAATAGTGTACTTATGTACAATGTATGTTTACCAGCGATACTTCTATGGTCATGAAAATGTATTAGATACTATTTAAATAATAGAAGAGATAAGTGGAATTAATATTTATAAAAATACTATTCACCAAATATCACTAAGCGAGCCACCCTGAATAAACTAAGTATACCAAAGATAAACAAGCGTGTGATTCATTCCAGAGGCATGAGCTATATAGAAACAGAGTAAATAATAAATGCAAACGTTATTAGTTACATGAAAGTTTTATAGTACACGTGTAAATTTTATGGAGTCCTCTGTGCGCGTTAAGTGATTTGTTAGATTACTAATGTTTGCTTTTCTGTTGGCTATAAAAGAGGAGAAAAATAAGACGATTTTTACTAATAGACTGTTTGCTACCGCGTGATGCAGAACGCGCTTATGTAACTATGTCTGATTTTAGCACACCCGGTTTGTTTTTGTTTAGCATGTTTTACTCATATTACACAATGCAGTATATTATCTTGATAACACTACAAATGCTTTAGAAAATATTCCTTTTCTAAAGTTTTGAGTTATTCCATTATTCTTTTGTTATTTCGGCTTAATTTTGCTTTGCCTGGCATACATTTTTCTCGTTTATAATTTCAATCATGCCACAATCTCAAAACGATATACACACTCCCATGATCTCCACAAATGACGACTTCATTGTTAATAAATGACATGGTCCATCTTCAAACGATTTTTAATGGTAGTCGTAGGAAAATATTTGCAATTATGATGTAAATATTATTAATAGAGCGTTTATAAATCACCATTTGTTTATACGAGGTCGTTAGATGAGTGACATATGTACATATGTACATACAGACCCGACAAAGTTTATAGGAGAAACATCTGCTATTCGGAACACAAAAACCGATATTAATAGAAAAGCTACTTTAACCTGAAACAAAATACAACCTTTTGACATTTATGTAAATGTGATACCAGTTTTGTTTAGTGCTGATAAATCAAAGAATATTGAAATAATAGAAACGATTTTTTAATGTTAGATAATTTGCTAACAATGCAGTCAACAATAAATAATTATTAAACAGAAATATATCGAGATATAAGTTATTGTGCATAATTATGACTAGCGACTATTTAAAGTTTATGTACGTTATATAATGTTTACCTCTTTTGTTAAAAGAAAATAAAATCTAAATAGTTGCAAAATATTAAGACATGTATGAACTGGCTATCCCGACAGTCGTTGGCCTGTCACAGTGAAAGCCTAAACTATCATCAAATACGCCAACTATCATATAAATCCAAAACAGATTATAATGAAATTTTTGTCTGGAATTATCTGGCTTGGGTAAGTTATATTCAAGTATTCAGTACAAAGTATTTTTTCAGACGTGGTTGGTAAACCTTGTAAATATAAAATTTGTAAATCTTCTAAATCATATATTTTAAAGTCAAGAAGTTTATACGCACTATATAATATGCAGAATATTAATTACTATTCTTTTAAATTTATAAGTAATATAAAACTATAATACAAATAATAGCGTTTAACACACTGCTTTACTTCCAATGGTTGCGGGTTCGATTCCTCGCGAAATGTTTGAACCCAAGTTCGGCTTAGTTTATTATTACATATTATAATTAAAAACTCAAAGTAAAATGCCTAAAGATAAAATGTCTCAAAATCTAAAGATCCAATTTTCAAAATGGCTTGGTCTAGATGACAATTAAATCATCAAAATTGGAATTTTAACAAAAAAATATTCTTTTGTTCTCACTCTAGTATTAATCAGATATGGGGATTGAAATAGAATCAATTAAAAGTTAATTCCATTACCAAAATACTGGCTGGCTTTGTCTCTGAATTCTAAATTTAAATTGTTTCACAAAGTTTTCGTATCTGAGAGATTGCAACTACCATTAATGGCCTATGTTGAGAGTGGATAGGTTATATGCATGTTACATAGCTGTTTCCGGACAAATTTATTTATAACTAACATAAGAAACCAGACATGTATTTTATACATGTTTGTTTTCCATGTATAAGGAGTCTAAACTACTACCTAATTTATGGTATTTTGCTCACGTATATTAAATTGACAATTGACATCATTAATATGACATGATACGTAAACGGAATATTTTTTTTTTTCAGTTATTAATAACAATTTTGGAGTAGCTTATGTACGTCAAAATTAAAGAACTTTATGGAAAACCCATTTTCAAAAGTAAGATATTATAATAAGTTGACTTATTTGCAAAGGAATTATCGAATCATTTGTTCAATATTGCAGATAAGGAGCAAAAGAAAAGACGACCGATAAGTTACAACTCAACTCCATAAATCAGAGGGGTTTCTTAATATTAAACCAACTTGGACGAAGTATTATACTGAATTGTATTTAAGGCAAAATAAGCTGGATTTAGTCTATATTATTATAGATGATATATTATGTTTATCTATTATGTACTGATTTATAATCTGCACTAACATTATAAAAATTAGCGGTGCAGATGATCTGGTGACATAGCCTATACCGCCTTACTCCCGATGGTTTTGTTTTCGAGTCTCTTAATATGTGTATTTTTGAAGTATATTTATTTTTATT